CTGGAGCTGAAACACCCGAGGCTGAGATGTTGCCTCTGGCAGGAAAGGCTAGTTTTGCCCCTGCCAGGCACCCTCTGCACCTCGCTGTAAATCGCTCCGCCAGTGTGTTCAGCTCTGCCTCAGTTTCCCTGTTCCTCTTGCCAAGGAATTTTCCCAGCTTCCTACCAGGACTTCGGAGTCAAGCCTGGCTTTAAATCCTAACCCCACACCCAGTGGCTGAAGGGCCTTGGATAGGGTCTGTGACCGCTGGTGAACGCTTTCTCGTCTGCACGAGAAGGACGCGTCTCCATATCCACGGAGGCTGGGCACCATGCAACACAGCCAGCTTTCAGTAAATGGACACGAAGAAATCGCAGGCCGTAGCTCAAAACAGACCCCAAACGAAAATTGCACCATAGCAACAAAATAATCTCTGACAAAACAATTTTGAATATTTTTAAAAAGATTTTAATTTTAATTTTTTTATTTGTATTTTAAAGATTTTATTTATTTTCAGAGAGGGAAGGGAGGAAGAAAGAGAGAGAGAAACATCAGTGTGCGGTTGCTGGGGGTCATAGCCTGCAACCCAGGCATGTGCCCTGACTGGGAATCGAACCTGGGACACCTTGGTTCACAGCCTGCGCTCAATCCAGGGAACTACGCCAGCCAGGGTTAAAAAGATTTTATGTTAAAGGGGGATGGAGCAACATCAGTGAATGCTTGCCTCTCTTGCGCCCCCTACCGGGGACCTGGCCTGCAACACAGGCCTGTGTCCTGACGGGGAATCGAATCAGCACCCCTTTGACTCACAGGCCTGCACTCAGTCCACTGAGCTACGCCAGCCAGGGCCACGACAATTTTTTCAACATGTCACCTCTACATTCTATGATTTCTTTATTTTTAACAGGGTTTTTTTTTTGGGGGGGGCGGGCATAGAGTTTACAATCATTGGTCACTGGTGGAATTAGCAGCGGAGTGAAACCGCCCGCGGGAGAGGACCTCCCGGTTAAGTTACCAAGGAAACGTTTCGGAGACAAGCGCTCTGGGTGGAGCCGGCCCGGCAGGATGGGAGACAGAGAGCTAAGTGCAATCTGCCCCAGGCGTACGCGTGCCTTTCTCACTTATTTTAAAGATTTTAAAGGGGGAGGGAGACAGAGAGGGAGAGGAACATCCGTGTGTGGTCGCCTCTCCAGCGCCCCCTACCGGGGACCTGGCCCGCAGCTCAGGCCTGTGCCCTGACTGGGAAACGATCCGGAGACCCTCTGGTTCCCAAGCCGGACGCTCAATCCACGGAGCTACACCTGCTCTGGTCCGCACGGGCTTTTTAAACCGTCACAGTAAAACGCTTCCACCTGCTCCACAGAGGCAGGACACCTGTTGCCTGACACCTGAAATCTTGGGGTTTTCCGTTCCTAGCGGACTGGACGAGCAGCAGTGCTGCTCAGCGGCGGCAGGTGGCGCCAGAGACCACGTCCTGCAGCCAAAGCCCAGCTGCTCGTCCCGCATCCCGGTTCCGAGGAACACCTGCCGCGGAGGAGAGGGCCGCGCGGGCCTGCCCTGGGGTCAGTGCCTGGAGCTCACGGGCTCGCGGTGGGTCGCCCATCGTCCCCAAATCTCTTATGACCGAGGCCGAATTCTAACACTGGGACCCCGCGGTTCCCTCCGGGGCCACGGGAACACCATTCTGGGTCTTGACTGAGTTCCCGGGACCCGAGAGAAGAAAAGGAGCCTTCGCTCACGTAAGTTGACTTTTCTGTCTTCTCACGTTCGCCCTCCCACGTCCTAACTCCTACCGGCACTTCCCTCCCCGGGTCATTTTTGGTTATCGAAGGGTGACGTGGTGATTGAGAGCTCCGTCTCTCTTTCTCCTTTCCCCGGCGCTATTTTGGGCCGTCTGTCTGCAGGACTTGAAGAACAGAGTAGACCCCGGCCGGTGTGGCTCAGTGGACTGAGCGTGGGTTCGAGAACCAACGGGTCGCCTGTTCGACTCCCAATCAGGGCCCACGCCTGGGGCGCAGATAGGCAACCGCATACTTTGATGTTTCTTTCTCTCCCTCTCCTTCCCTTCCCCTCCCCCCTCTCTCTAGAAGTAGATGAAATCTAAAAACTGAAATTATTTGAAACCCACGTGAGCTTGGGCACTGCCTGCTCTTGCCCCTCCCACCCCTCCCACTCCCCTCTGAATTGCACACAAACACACACACACAAAGCAGAGGTGAGTGATATAAATATTAGTAAAAAAAATTCTGAGAAGGTGACGGAGGGGATGGCCTTGTCACCTGTCGCTGCCCTCCCCAGGATTAAACTTGGCACCTTCACACAGGGCTGCATCGCCCTTTCAAGCATGTCCGCTCTGTCGTCTGCCCCCGCTGTTCTGCCGAGCGGGGACTCAAACGGAATCCTCTCTCTCCTGACCGTCTCCCACCTAGCAGTTCAGCCCTTGAACTTGGCTTCACCCTCCTTTGGCAAAACAAAACCCTGTAGGTTTGTTCCTGGAGGAGGATGGGGACCGGGGCAGGTCTGGCAGAGCATGGTCTGGAAACAGGGTTCTTCTGTGGTGTCACAGGAGAATTTTGGGGACACACACAGCAGGATTTTAAGCCATAGTGGGTCACTCTGTGGCTCCGTAACTTTAAGATTCGTCCATGTTGTTGCGTCAAGTTCTTGTTTGTCCATTTTCAGGGCTACTTCTCACTTGCTGGTGGAAATAAGCCACAGTGCGCTTATCTAGAATAAAGTTTTTGCTTTTGAAAATAATGCTACTGTGAATATTTTTGTTACATGTCTCCTGGCACACATACATGAGTTTTTCTAGGTCCTAATATCAAGGCATTCATATTCAGAAATGGAATTAATGGGTCTTATGTCCATGTTTACATAACAAATTTAGAGGTATAAAACATCATTATACTCCGAACTTAGATTTCCCCAAACGTTAATTAATGATGCTGAGCAATTTTTGCGTGGCTATTTATAATGCTTTGTTCCTTTCTGATTTGCACATGTGACTTTTGGTCTTTTTAGTTTTTCTCCTCTTTACTGATAGGCCGTCTTTACATACATGTATGTATACTTGGTGGGTATCCATACTTCCTCAGTACTTACCTGTCTTGATCCTTGGCAGTTACCTCAGTGGCAAATCCATTCTCGTAGCTGTGGCTTATCTCCTCACCTTGTCAATGCCGTGTTTCACACATGTATGTATGTTTATATATGTAACACATTGACACTGGAGGCGCCCTTTCCCACGTTTGTTTCGGTTTTCCGTGGGGCTCTCAAGTCGGAATCGGTTCCTGGGGCTGCCACTCGGGGGGCCAAGGGGCACTGCAGACGGGCTGGGCTCCAAGGGGCTGCCCCTCTGCGGCCACTTCCGCTGTCTCACCGTCCGCGTTGCTCTCCCGGCTGCCTCAGTCGACCGTGAGGACTCGGGGCGCCAGGGACGGGCCAGCGTGGGCACGGCCCCCGAAGTGGTGGGCAGCTTCATGACAGTCACGCTGGAACTCTCTGTGAGGCCACCACGTGTCCTGAGGGGTCCCCTCAGCTCCACCAGAGATCCTTAGTCACCCGAGAAGACCTGACATGTGAGTTGGAAGGAACTAACAACCTGTTTGGGGTGGAAGAAGTTGGGATTCTTTGGGACGACAGGTTTTGTTCACTGAAAAGCCAGAATGAGAACCAGCTGCCCACGTCCACTCCCATCCTTTTGTGCCATGCAGGGGGCGGGGCGGGGGGGCGTCCAGGAACAGCTCAAGCCCTCGGCACCAAGCAAAGGGGGAGGCCCTGGGCCCTAGGAGCAAACTCGCCCGCTGTCTCCCCAAGGACGCAGCCCTGCAGCCTTCCCCGGGAGGGGCCCAGAGGCGCCGATCTCCGTGAAGACACCGCTGGCAGCCTGTCACCCTCGGGCTGAGCTCCGTGGGCCACTGAGAGTCAGAGCTCACATGACGCCCAGGAGGGCCTCCGCCTGCCCAGCAGCAGCAGCTGGAGTGGGGCCCCTCTCGGCCTCCTGGTCTCAGAGAGGCCACCCTGCCCCGGTGCTGGCCGGCAAGGAGATGTCGCCAACCCCTCCTCGCCAGCTCGCCCACAAGGACATCTGCGTGAGATGACCCGTCGGGGCTGTCACGCTGGCCTGCGCCCCGCACTGCAAGACGTGTGGCCGCCCCAACCACCCGCACCCCAAGGAGGAGGTGAAATAAGGCCCCTCAAGGGCGAGCTGGCTGCCTGGACCCCATGGCCCTGGGGCCTCAGTACAGTTTCCCTTCGGTCGACTGAGAAGTGAAATAACAGTAACAACCATGCCCCCAAGTCCACCCAGTGGGCCCCTGCTGAGAGCCAGCGCTGGGCTCGAGCTGCAGGGGTGCGGGAGGCCCTGCTGGCCGCCCCACGGGAAGGCCTAGGAGAGAATGTCGCCCGGGAACAGGTCTCCTAAGTTTATTTGGGCAGAACCGGTGACAATGGCCGGGAAGCGACACTCCCGCAGTGGCGGCGAAGTTCTCCCGCGGACGGCAGCGCTGCCGCTCGTCTCACGCGTCCCAGCGACCGGAGGGGACAACGCTAGGGGCCCACGGACTTCGCTGGCGGCAGGTGCGGGCGGGCAGAGAAGCACCTGACCGGGACGAGCAGGGCGGCCTTCCTTCGCGCGGACCCCGGGGCTGGGGGGTGGGGGTGGGGCGGCAGGAGCGTCCCCGCGAGCGGTCCGCACGCGTCGGCCATGCGACACCACCCCGAACGCGCTGAGGAGCGCGGGCGGGGAAGGGCAAACGCCGCCTCCCAGCACCGCATCGCGCGGGGCTAGCTGCGGGCCGCGGTCGGCCTGGAAACATGTAAAGGTGCGAACCGTCCGGCTCGAGCGTCGGCCGGGATGCACCTTGCACGTGAGCGCATCTTGGAAGAAGCCGGCGATCTGCAGCGTATGTTGAACCCCAACTAACTGTGGACGAGAATGTTCTACGTACTAGCTCACGTGCATACAGAAAACTTAAAAAGCCTAGCTAAGACTTTAAGAAAAACACTTACAAAACACGTCATATCCATAAAGTTTATTTTAAAAAATTGTTAAAAACTAACCATACAGGAATATTTATTAATATACTTAAAAAGTTTGCTCCCCGTGTCGAAGGAAAATACATTAGCAACATCTTCCAAACACCATCTTTATAAAATTAAAACTTCTAGAGGCGGAAATGCACTACAGTAGATTCTCGAGTTCACGCTCTCGCCCGCAGGGTCGCAGACCCGTCTCCCCGCGACCCCGCGACCCCGCCGCCCAGCGCGGCGGCCGGCGTCCTGGATCCAGTGACATTCGAGCGCGCCGCACGGCCGCAGGCCTTCCACGGAGCGAGCACACGCCGCACACTCACCACCGACAGGGGCGCCCTCTCTACCCACGGCCAGGCGGCGACTCCGGAGACGCCCCGGACGCGAGCACGCACGCGCGGACGCGCGCCCCCGCCTGTAAACATTCACCAAGAGCTTCCGGGGCAGCAGGAGGGGCAGCCGGGGCGGCGCCGGCGGAGCGCGCGCCCCCTCCGGTATTGCTGAGAGTAGGTAGGTTCTGAAGGCAAACGAACTGTGCGAGCGAGCCGGGCGTGTGTCTGCGGGAGGCGGGTCTGCGCGTGCGTCTAGGCCGAGGACCGGGATGAGCACCGTTTTCACTGACTCGGGGGCAGAGTTCAACTCAGCAGCACACGCGTGATCGTCGGTGTCGGGAATGAGAAGGGACTGCGGGTCTCCGGGCCCCTCCCGTGGGACGCGCGGGGCCCACGGGAGCCGGCAGGGACCGCTCGCACACACCGAGGGCGGCGGCGGCGGCGGCCGCCCGGGCCGCGCGCAACCCGCGAGTCTGAGGCACAACTGTTTCTTCCGTCCGTAGACGCGGGACGAGCAGGGTTAAGGCTGTGTTCGGCTCTGAAGAGCTCCGGCTCCTCGTCGGGGTCCTCCCACACACGCCGCACGCACACAACTCGCAGGCTCCCGGGGGAGGTGAAACGTCCCCGGACAGTGTTCAGATAGCTTTCTCCATTAAATTCACTGGCGGCGTATTTACACAGAGGGAGTGCTCATATTTAAAACCATTTTTTAAAAAATGCAATCATATTTTAAAACTCTTACTTATCCCAGTTCCCCCAGGATCATCCTCATCTTGGTTTCTGACTTCTGGCCCACTGCACACTTGTCGGATTGTTCCCTGCGACCCCCAGGCAGTTTGGACGCTGCTCGGAAGGCCAGCACACATCACGGTCACTGCCACCCGCTCTGGGACAGGCCTGGCTGCAGGGGGAAGGGGGTGCCCGGCGTGGAAGGGTAACCGGGAAACCCGTCCGGCTGGGCGGGGTAGCTCTCGAGCGCCGGGGCCGAGTGCACCTGCGAGGAGAGGACGTGCAGGTTAGCGGGGGCGCCCCACCAGGTCCGCCGTGCAGCCTCGGGCGCCTCAGGCGGGAGGGAAGGAAGAATGGTGGGGCAAGGTCAGTCTGCTCGGTCTCCCAAAATCGGTAAGAAATGTTCAACTTCTTCTGAGGGTGGAGGTGCCCCGAAATGCCATTAAAATATTTAACACTTTTAAAAAATAGGTTTTCTTAAAGTTTAGCTTAACGCGTGAAACACAAGGCACAATTAACCATCGTGTATGAGATTCCAATCGTAACCTCTTAAAACTGAGGCCCGGAAGTATGCAGTAGCAGGAAGAAGTCATGCCGATGGAGACACGCTAGCACCTTTGTCAGGAGCTGCCGGAGGAAGGCAAGAACGAGCTGCAGACCTGGGGAGCGTCAGCCATCAAACCTGCAGACACGCCGCTAACAGCCACCCTGCATCAGTGCCAGGGTAACGGCGGCGGCGCTGGGAGGCGCCGGAAGGGGCAGGCCTAGCGGCCACGGCGCCGCACACTCACCTGCTGCAGCAGCGCCGACTGCGCCGCGGGGCCGCGCGGCAGGTCCTGCAGGGAGGGCTGCGCCGCGCTCTGGGAGAACCCGGGCACGCCCGGCAGGGACAGGAGGCCTGGAAACACGGAGCTGCCCGCGGCCTGGAGGCCAGACGACAAGCTGAAACGGCAGGAACACAGGTCAGAGCGCCGAGGACACACAAGAGCTGCCGGCTCAGTGTTCGTCTCGCCTGTGACACCGTGCCCTGGGCTCTCTCTGCTGGGAGGAACCACAAAAGGCGGCCACTTACTCACACAAGGTTACTTTCTATTATAAAGTATTCTGAACTCCTCTACGCCTATGTTTTGCATTAGTTTATTCCTTGTTTCATAATCAAAGCAAATTACCAACTACAAATCCTAATACTGCCTGAGCAGCCATTCATATTTTATGACATGGCTTAACATGACAGCAGGTCAGAGAATGTTTTAAGCGCTGAAGTTTCGGCCAGGAAAACATAATGTAGCACCATGGAGCGTTCCTCCTGCCTTTCACGTGAATGACTTAAAAACGAGACTAAATCGCAAGCTCGGCAGAGAAGGGCCCTGTTTCCCAACCGCCCACCTACCTGGCCTGCGCGACAAGAGCCGAGTTGAAATTGGAACTGAACGCCGAGGCGAAGCCGGGCAGGACGGGCGCTGGCGCGGTGGCGGTGATGGGCAGCGGAGCGACCGCGGTGACCGTGGAGGGCGCCTGCAGCCCCGCCAGCGAGGGGAGGGCGGGGGCCACGCCGGGCGTGTTGGAGACGGAAAAGCCCGGGTAGGGGGCGTTTGCGGACGGCAGAGGCCCTTGGGCGACGGAGAAAAGCGAGGGGACGGCAGTGGACAAGTTCAGGGGGAAAGGCGCGGCCGAGACGGGCGCTGCGCCGGGGAGCCCTGAGAGCGCAGCCGCCGTGCAGCTGGGGTGAGCGGTCGCTACGGAGGTGACGGCCGCAGACGAGGTCGCTATCAGCGCCCCCGGGAGGGACACTGAGGGGCTGAGAGACGGGTTCCCTGTCAAAGGGAAGCTGCTGGTCAGCGAGGTAAAGGGAGGGAGCGCGGTGAACACGGGCGCGAGGGGAGCAGCAGGGCCGTGGGCCGCGAGGGCGACGGAGGCCAGGGGGTTGGAGACACTCACGGGCGTGCTCAGGCCGGGCAGCCCGGACAGGGCGGGATTAAGGCAAGAAGGTAGGCTGATGGGCACCGACGCGGATGGGTACGCGTGGCCCAGCGCCCCCGACAAACCTAAAGTGCCGTGAGAGGGGGTCACGGAGTGAGACGGGCCTTTGAAGGCGGAGGGGGTGGGACTCGTGGGCTCCGTTTTGATGGTCACCGGGATGGTGGTCACAGCGGGGCCGGGCGGCACAGGCTCGGCGTGCGGGCCGTGCAGAAGCGGGGCTGAGGAGCCCGCACTCCCGGGCCCCGAGCTGGAAGCTGGGGCTGGAGCCACCAGAGGGGACTGGACGGGCAGCGCCGGGGGCGAGGACGTGGAGGTGGCCACGGGGGAGGGCAGGCCTGGGAACACGGCCAGTCCTGGGGTGGCAGGCCCCTGGCGGGCAGGCAGGGCTGAGGGCAGGTAGCCCTTGCCGGGGACCAGCGCAGGGGAATCTGAGTTGTGGTTGGGCAGCGAGGAGAGTGGGGCCAGCCCACTCGTGACAGCAGCGGGCCGAGCGGAGGAGCTGATCAAACTGGTGTCGGTGGACGTCAGGAAGCCTTTCAAAGCGGACAGAAGGGGACTGCTGACCCCCAGGGGACACGCCACGCTGGGGGCGGCCCCGCCGGCAATCACAGAGTGGGGAACGTGGGGCGCGCTGTGGGAGGCTGGCGGCAAGGGTAGACCTGCGAACACCGAAGACAAGGGCGCAGGGCCCGGGGTGCTGGTGGGAGCAGCTGTTGCGGGCGCCGCGAAGGGGAGGTTCGCGAAAGGGGCAGACGTGGAGGCAAACGCCTCACTGGGGGCGGGAGGGGCCCGAGGGGCGGCAGCCGCACAAGGACCTGGCAGCGGAACGAGGCCGGGAAAAACGGAAGGAACGGGAGTGGACGTGGCACTGTGGACCGACGTGACCGGGGCGGCCAGCAGGGAAGGGGTCCGAATGACTGTGGGGTTCGGTGCCAGCGGCGGCGGCGCAGGAGCGGCGGAGACCTGCCCCGGGAACACAGGCAGGACGGTGCTCAGCAGGCTCAGCCCGGACCCGGGGGTGGCGGCCGACGCTGGCGGATGGCCTGCTGCCTTGACTGGGGACACGGTGGGCACAGGAGTCGCTGCGGGCGTGGCGGGGTTAGACCCGTGCGGAGCGAAGAGCTGGCTCGCTGGGGCAGGAAAAGCTGTGGGGGGAAGCAAAAATGCACCATCATGCTGAGATGTCAAGTTTTAAACCCCCATGGCGCACAACCCCTCTGCAGCAATTAATAAGCACGGAGACCATCGGTGACAGGCGCAGTGACACCCCCTGCCCTGTGCGAACCACGAGACACCACGGCAGCAACCTCCACCGCCAGGCCCCGGCAGGCCCGGCGCCTCCTCGGCCCGCTCGGCACAGCCCTCCGGGCGCTGCGAAGCCTCGCCACGCAGGCAGACTCCTCTCGTGGGCCCCAGTTTGTAACAATGCGGAGAATCTACTTTAATTGTGACCTACGTGGCTGTACGGGCTTCCCTCTTGTCCTTCCCAGCCACTTCCCGCGAGCACAGACCAGCCACGCCCCCTCTCACGAGCTTTCACGACACTGCGAATCGCTCGGCGGCCTCCGCCGCGCCCCGACTCAGGCTTCCGGCCCGCGTGGTCCGCTCCTCTCCCGACACTCACGCCTTCCTAGCTCCACGCGGCTTGGCCTCACAGCTCCCGCGGGGACGGGAGCCCCCTGGCCCAGCTCAGCGGCCGGCGCGCCAGCGCAGTCACCGACTCCAGCCCCGAGCCCACGGAAGGCGCCTCCTCGAGGCGTCTAGAATTTGCCGCAATACTTTTACTCTGACGAACTGTAAGTAACTGACCTAAGCGGTACTGGGGACGACCTGGCAGCCATCTTGCCCGAGCCCACGGGGTGGCGTGCACCCCCTACGGATCCGTTGGGTGCCCGCCCTCAGTGGCATCGGTGCCAAGTGTGCCGGGTGTGGCCGGTGTATCCAGTGCTCCCAGCGTTTCAGGTGTGCCCGGTATTTGCATTGTGCCAGGTGTGACTGGTATGTCCGCTATGTCTCGTGTTTCCGGTGTGCCCAGCATTTCCGGTGTGCCCGGAAATGTGTTTCCGTGGCGCCGGGGGTGTCCGGAGTGCCCGGTGTACGCAGTGTTTCCGGTGTGTTGGGTGGGCCGAGGGTGTCCGGTGAGGACGGAGGGCGCCCCTGCTGCAGTGACCGCCCGCCGAGGGACGGCCTCGTGGACTGAGGCTTGGGTTGGAAGCCCCTGCACGGCGAGGGCTCTTCCGCCGCAGCATGGCCGGGGCTGCGCTCGTCCCGGGGGAGGAGGGGGACCGCAGGGAACAGCCCAGATGTAACCCACCACACAAAGTGAGGGCGGGAGGTCTGGATAAATCCCACAGTTGTTTTAGAAAAGAAATGCGGCAGAAGAACTGAAAACCATAATACGTAAATACATGAACTTCAAACTCAAAAGGCCTTGAATCTGTACCGTTCCATGCTATAAGCAGTAATTTAGTTTCAAGGAACAGAGAAGCTGTCATTTTAGATTTGGAGTACACATGGAAATAGATTTATACTTCCTTGGTATTTAATTTATTTTATAAGAACTAGAATCACAACAAGTGTATAACTATTTCTGTGTTTGTAAATAACGTACCAAAAACTAGGCATTTCTGGTTCAATTCCTGGCCAGGGCACAAGCCTGGATCACAGGCCTTTTTTAAAAAGATTTTATTTATTTTTAGAGAGGGAAGAGAGGAAAAAGAGAGAGAGAGAAACATCAACGTGCGGTTGCTGGGGGCTGTGGCCTGCAACCCAGGCATGTGCCCTGACTGGGAATCGAACCTGCGATGCTTTGGTTCGCAGCCCGTGCTCAATCCACTGAGCTATGCCAGCCAGGGCAAATGAATAAAATCTTAAAAAATAAGAAGCCATGATAAGATCAGAGGTAAGAGACTGATACTCAGAAAACTGTAAGTCACTGATGAAAGACACAAAAGATACAAATAAACAACAGCATTATGCGTAGAAAGAATCAACGTTGCTAAAATGTCCATGCTAGCCAAAGCAGTTTACAGACTCAATGCAAATCCTATCAAAATACCAATGGCATTTTTCACAGAATTAGAACAAATAATCCTAAGATTTATATGAAATAATACAAAGACTCAGATTAACCAAAGAAATCTTGAGAGAGAAGAAGAAAGTTGGAGGTAGTATTGTGCTACCTGACATCAAACTATACTATGAGGCGATAGTCATCAAAACTGCATGGTACTGGCACAAAAACTAAAATATAAATCAATGAACCAGAGTAGAGACCTCAGAAATACACCCACACCTATATGATCGATTAATCTATAACAAAGGAGGCAAGCATATACAACCAGGTAACAGCCTCTTCAATAAATGGTCTTGGGAAAGTAGACAAGTACGTGCAAAAGAATAAACCAGACCCTTTATTACACCACACAAAAGAATCAACTCAAAATGGATTAAGGACTCAAGTGTTAACGCCCAAACCCATAAAACTTCTAGAAAGAAACATAGGCAGTAAACTCTTTGACATTACTCTTAGAAATATTTTTGGATGTGTGTGTGGGCAAGAAAAGCAAAAGAAAAATATAACAAATGAGATTACGTCAAACTAAAATGTTTTCACAAAGTAAACCACCAACAAAATGAAAAGAGGACCTACTGAGTGGGAGAGCACACTCACCACCCACATCCAGTAGGTCGCTAATATCCGAAATACACACGGAACTTACACAGCTTTGCACTAAAAAACAAACAACTGGGTTAAAAAATGGGCAGAGACACAATATAATGTACAGATGATCTGTTATACTGCATACCTGAAACCTACATAATTTATTAACCAGTGTCACCACAAAAAAAAAAAAAAAATGGGCAGAAGACCTGAATAGGTATTTCTCCAGAAAGCACACACGAAAAAAGATGCTGAAGGTCACGAGCCATCAGAGATGCAAGTTAAAATGACAGTGAGTTATCACCTCCCACCTGTCAGAATGGCCCTGATCAGTAAACCAACAAACAAGTACCAGCGAGGACTCGGAGAAAGGGGACCCTCGTGCACGGCAGGTGGGAGCGCAGACTGGGGCAGCTGCTGTGGAGAGCAGTATGGAGTTAACTCCAAAAATTAAAAACAGATCTGCCATGACCCGACAGTCCCACTTCTGGGTACTTATCTGAAGAAATCCAAAACACTCATTCAATACTGGGTTGGCCAAAAAGTTCATTTGGTTTTTTTCTGTAAGATAGCTCTAGTAGCATTTGAAACCATTTTGTTAGACTGAATTGTGACAGCTGGCATATCAGTGTGCATGAAAAAAATTATTAAAATTGGTGAATTTTTGTGCAGTCATTTTAATATTGAAGATGGAAGAAAATACACATTTTTGGCAAATTAAGCTTATTATTTCAAGGAAGGTAAAAACGCAACTGAAATGCAGAAAAAAAAAGACGTGTGCAGTGTGTGGAGCAGATGCCGTGACTGCCTGAACGTGCCAAAAGTGGTCTGTGCACTTTTGCGCTGGACAATGCTCCACACTCAGGAGACTGGTTAAGGCTGATAGCAATCAAATTGAGACATTGATTGAGAATAATCAGTGTTCTACCACATGAGAGATGGCTGACATACTCAATATCCAAATCAATAGAGTTATTGGTAAGACATGAAAAATGTGTCTTTTATTTTAAAGAACAGACCAAATGGACTTTGGAGCCAGCCCAGCGGCACTGCGTCCCCATGTCCACTGCAGCACTGTGTTCAGCAGCCGGGACAGGAAGCCGCCTCGGGGTCCTCGGACAGAGAGGGGGGTGAAGAGGGTGCAGCGCGCACACAGGGGACACTGCCCTCTGTGACAGCGTGGATGGACCTAGCGGGTGTCTTGTCACGTGAACTGCACCAGTCACAGAAAGACAAGCACCATGTGACTCCACTTCTAAGTGGAGTCTCAGACGGGGAGTGCACACATGAGGCAGACACAGACTCGTGCGCCAGCGGCAAACCGAGGGTGGCGGCGGCGGCGGCCTGGGGGGAGTGGGGGGCTGAGGAGTGGAGCTTGGTCATTCCCTGCCGTCCCAGGGACGCAGGCAGAGCCCAGGGGCGTAGACAGTCCTGCCGTAGTGGCTGCTGCCGTGCCGGGTGGCTGCTGGACCCACGGGGGTCCCTTCGAAAGCTACACATGTCTAAACCGCTCTCCTCTGCACTTGAAACTAATACACCACGAAATGTCAACCGTAATGGAAAAACATCTTAAAAAGCACCTGTTTTTAATCAAACGGATTAAGGTGGTATCTGATATGACATTTTTTCTCTCAGAAAGGCTCTTTATCACCCTATGTTTACACCCAAAAGGAAATGAGGCTTCTAGTCCCACGCGACGCAGAGTGACCAGCTACAGTCCGCACACGGCTGGACTGCGGGGAAGGCTGCGCACAAGCCTGTGGTCTCTTTCACCACGCGGCCAGCACGCGCGTCTCGTGCCTCGCGCACCGGCCCGCCACTGCTGCCCTCTCTCAGCTCACGCCGCTCCGCTCACGGCTCCCACCGGGGCTTCCCCGGGGCACACACACTCCGGTCCCGCTGTCACCAGGGCACAGCGGCGGAGCAGACTGTCAGAGGGACGCCAGGTGTCTCCGAATCAACTCTGGCACTTACTTTGACTCTGTGCAGGTTTTGATGGATTGGAAAGGTCTTCATTTTCTGTATGAAAATAAGGCAAGAAAGGTTGATCCAAGCTTTAGTCAAATTACTTACCACCATAATAATCAGCGATTGGGGTCAATTAGAGAAAAACCCGGGATATGCAGGTATACTGTGTTAGGAAAAACAATGTGTGCCTATGGGGAGAAGGGAAATCAGCAAAAATCCCAGTAGTAATTGTATGTAGAATGACAGGATTATGATTAATTGATTCTTACTGTGCCCCACCCCCCCCATTTCACCTTAACGAGGTTTTGAATGAGCAGGGTTATCTTAAGACACATCTGAGAACCCCTTCGGAAAAGAGGGCCGCAGTGCGCCGCCCCGGAGGGAGTGAGTGCAGCCCGCCTGTGCGGTGCAGGGAGCAACCACTGTCCCTGCTGAGGGCACAGGTGGCCACCCCCGGGAGCACTCCTACGCGGTGCAGACTCCGAGGTGGGAGGCGGATGCTGCCGTGGAGGAGGCCCCCTCGAGGGCCCTGCCCAGGGGCGGCGCTCTGCGTGAACAGGCCCAGTGCCCGGGCCGTCAGGGAGAGCCAGCCCGAGCCAGCCTCTGGCTGAGGTCAGTGCAGCCGGCCAGCAGACACAGCCTCCTGCACCCACCGCGGGAAAGGGCCTGTCCAGCCCGCCGTCGGTCACAGACACGGTACGGAAAAGGGGACCTCTCGTGGCTTCACAGCAACCGCCCGCAGAGCCGACAACGTGACAGGCCTAAGGTCCAAAGGGAACCCACAGCCCCAACTGAGTCCGAAAAAGAACACATCTGGCTTAAGGAACCAGAACAGACGGGTGTCTGTCCACAGAGACTCCGTGGAGGAGAGGAAAAGAGCAGTGAAACCCTGTGATGTAGATTCAGACACACACACACACACACACACAACTGTTAAGACACAAGCAGAGAAGGTGAAGACTTTTAGATATAAAAATCTGACTCTAAATAAATAAATGCACAGAATGGTAAAGATTAGAATATTACTTAAAGTTAAATTACTTAGGTAGGAAAAAATCCCATTAAAAATGGCAAAAATACAAAAAAAAAAAATACACATGCCACTTAGAAGACAAATAGAGTGCAATATCAGAATACCAGGGAAACTAGAACAGGGGAAAAAGCAGGAGTTAAAGGGACAGTAAGAAAGGAGCTTCCCAAGCTTCAGAGACCTCAGCTGCCACACCCTGAGGGCCTGCGGGCCGGGACAGACTGGCGGGAAGACGCACTCCCGGATGTGCTGGGGAGACGGCATCTCTGCGCTCTGGAGACAAGGACGCCTCCTGGGAAGCTCACAGACAGACAGAGCCGAGGTTCTCACAAAGGAAACAGAATTAGCTGGGATGGGCTTCCCAACGACAGCCCTGCACAGGCGCCTTTCTGAAGAAACTACTCAGAAAACTTCTCTGCTGTGAGAAGACAAGGCTGACGTTTCCGGACAGGACGGCCGAGAGCCGGAGACACAGTGAGAAGCCGTGCGTTCAGAGGCAGAGACGAGAGGACGGGCGTGTCCCCGCACTGCCGACGCGGAGGGGGCAGCGGGGCACACGGCGGGCCGGCGGGCGGGTGCGGCACAGCTGCCCCCAGTCTCTCGCGCTGGCAGCAGCCCTTCCGAGTGTGGGAGCAGTCACTGGCGTGTCCGAGATGAAATGTTTAAGGTGAAAGACGGATACAGTCGCGAGTGAAAATAAAATGGGAGAACTGAGAACAAATATGTAACCTTTATAGTTGCTGGAAATTGCTATTCTCTCCCTCACTGGTTTAAATGAGAATCCACCTAAGTATAATCTATAAATCAAGTAAACTAGCAAATAAAATCTGAAAAAAAAAAACTGAAAATAAAGATACAAGCAAAATACCTTTGTAAAACAAAAAACAAAAAGGAGCCAGAACAGTATTAATACCCAATAAGGCCAGGGAAAAAAGAAACATTTCTATAGGAAAGTATAACTCAGCTGACATTATTTTATACCTAGGAAACTCAAAACACTTTCAAGATTAAAAAAAAAAGACAGGTAATTCGTAATAAGTACCTAGACACGAAACATTTCATTTAAAATTGCAACAAAAAGCACTTCTGAAATCCCTAGAGACACACCCAAGGCATGGACCCCGTAGCGCGGAGAACGGCAACAGCTCCCCACCCGACACGGAGGGGGCCTGGGGAGAAACACGGCCCCCGACTCGGTGCAGACACCCACACGCGTGACTGACCCGGAGGACTCCATGTCGTAAAAATGTCCATTCTCCCAAGTTGTCCTATAGCCATACATACATAAATTTAACTGTTTTAATCGTGTAAAATGATCTCCAAGCTCAGAGGGAAGAAAAAGTTTCCAGAAACAGTCAAAAGAAAACAGCACAGCTAGCGTTTCCGGACGCCAGAGCACACTGTAAACCTGCCGGCCGAGTCGGGGGGGCACCGTCATAACCGAGAGTAACTGTAATGGGACACAGCTTGGGGAACACAGCCACGCGTGGTATCTCCAGCAGGGAGAACAGCGGTCAGTGAGTGTGTCTGGGTGAACACCAATTCCAGACGGAGCAGGACTCTCACAAGACCGGGGCCCCCAGGCCCCTCACAGTGACGAAGATCTGAACCAAGACAACATGGTCCCAGCTTCCCCTTCACCACGTCCACGCGGCTACATGAAAACGTAAGACGCTAAAGGCAGGAGGTACCATTAACAAGGGCAAGAAATAAAATGCTCTGCAACCAGCGTTCCGCGGTGTTCATTTGATAAAAAGAACTTATCAAATGCTGTTAAGTGACTTTGAGTCTCTGAGAAGGCAGAAAAGAATTAGGTTCTATCCCTACCCTACACAGATATAAAAATAAATGGCAGTGGGTTAAAGCTACACATGAAAAAATTACAATCAAAGTAATTAGAGAATAAGAGAATGTAGATCATATTTCATACTGTTGGTTGGGATGGGGAAAAGTTTCCTAGGCAAAAGATAAAACTCAGAAAAATCTAACAACAGCTAGTCAAAATAAAAATTAAACTTCTGTATAAAACATAAATGAAAATGTAAGCTAAACAAGCCCTACCAGATTGGTGTGAGTTAAAAACTGACAATACCCCAAGCTGAAAAAGTGTGAAGAAACTGTACACTCACACACTCTCACTGGTAGTCTTTTTGGAGAACAGCTTGGCAACATATAGAAACAAGATTTAGCCCTGGCTGGTGTGGCTCAGTGGACTGAGTGCTGGCCTACAAACCAAACGGTCGCTGGTTCGATTCCCAGTCAGGGCACATGCCTGGGTTGCAGGACAGGTCCCCAGTAGGGGGTGTGTGAGAGGCAACCACACATCGATGTTGCCTTTCTTTCTCCCTCCTTTCCCCTCTCTAAAAAAACCCCGAAAGAAACGAGATTTACACTTCACACCCCATTTCCCCAGAAGGCCCGAGGAGAAAGGCCACACTGGAAAGTGCTCCGGAGAGCAGTCAGACCCTCCGAGCACCTCCTGACAAGACTGTCTCCCCACTCAAGGTTCATTTGCCCAGAGGGTGACATTCCGAGTCAGTCACACATGTTCTGTCCGTCACTTGCTCACGAGAAGGACTCTCCTTTGGCCTGCTCCTGTCTGCACACGTGGGCCGAGCACCCTCAGACAGGCCACGGGGCCGTCAGTCGGTGCACCCTCTGCTGTGACCCCCCTTCCCAACAGCCGTGCCCGCCCAGTGTGCGCGTGTAAGTGAGCGAGCCACGTGCTCCGACCGCCGCCCCCCCCCCCCTCCAGCCCGTTTACCTGCTCCTGCTGGGTTAGGGGTGTATGCAGGTGGAGGGGGCATGCCCGGGGCTATGACACTGGCTAACGGCACCAGACCTGCATTGTTGTAAGCACCTAAAGTAAAAACGTAAAAGAAAAAACATAATTCAGTTGCATTTTGTGACCAGGAGTCCCAACTAGATTAATGCACCCACTGGTTTATCTCTGGATCTGTTCCACAGTGGAGCTGCTCCGGGCGCAGGCTCGCTGCGCAGCCCGGGCAGGGCAGAGCCCGCACGCTCGGCCGGTCGGGCAGAGGGCACGGGCGGTGCCTTCACACACCAACTGCCAGGAAGGGGTTCGAGACGGAGCACCACAGAGAAACCCGTGACAGTTGGTAGCAGTCAGCAGTAACCTGTACTCTGCCCACCCCAGGAGAACATGCTCCACAAAGCCAGTCTGCTGCACGGCTGTGCGCCAGGACGCCGCCGCCGACCGGCAAAGTCGAAACTGAGCCCGTGCCGTAAGAGCACACGCCCCGCCTGCCCGACGTCAGTCAGCAAGGGCCCGGGGAGCCATGGGGACCGCGAGGGCATCCTTACTTGGTGTGACGGTGGCGTGGGACCGGCACGGAGGTATCGGGTACGGGACGGGCCTGTGCGGGTTGTACGTGGAAGGAGGCTGGACGAGGGACAAAGCACAGCGGTTAGGAGAAAACCACGGACCGGTCTGCGGGCACACACGGCCCAACCTGGTTCAGAGTACTCAGTGCCGAGAGGCCCTCCACGCCCTGAAAAGCCCACTGCTGGACCGACACGTGGCACAAACAAGGAAAATGTCTTTGCTGTAAAAGGACGTGGTTCCTGTGGACCTGCAGAGGCAGGTCCGGCCAGAGCTGCCGTGAGCGTGTCTGTGTTTACTGCAGCGCCACGTCCCCTTCCCTGACCGGTCAGACCACACCAGCCAGCTGGCGTCCGCCTGACCTGCCCAGCCCAGGCCGAGAGTTCCTCTCTCTTCCTGCGCAACACAGGAAACCACTGGCTCCGCGACTTCCGCTCCCCGGGGACCTCCGAGGTGCTCCTCAGCTCCTCAGGGACTTGTCTCAGCACTCCGGCCCCCCTTCCCCTTCTGGGAGGGAAACAAACTCTTTTCTTCAGCATTCGGCATCCCGACAGCTCTAGCAGAACACAGACCGGAATGATCAATCCAGCATTTCTGTCTTTCTGCCTTGTGAAATCCACAAATCTTTGATAGCTTTGATGGAATTTATATAGACAACAAAGGACATTAAGAGAATTGCTCTCTAGCCCTGACTGGTGTGGCTCCGTGGGTCGGGCGTCGTCCCAGAAAGTGGCAGAATGCAGGTTCAGTCCCAGGCCAGGGGACACGCCTGGGCTGCAGGTCTGGTCCCCCCACGAGAGGCAGCCCACCACCGTTTCTCTCCCTTTTTCTCCCTCCCTTTCTAAAAATAAATAAAATCTTAAAAAGAAAAAAAGACTTGGTCTCTAGAGAACCAGAGCTCAGCCAAACACTGTACTTTTAATGAGACACACACACACACGCACGCACACGCACGCACGCTCATGCTGACAGCTGTCCCTGGGGGCAGAGGCCCCGCCGACAGCTGAGGACCCAGACGCTCCCCGGCTCCCAGGACGGCAGTCTGCTCGGTGGTGATTCTGCTGTGAACACCCGCCACGGGAGTCCTCGTCGGGCAGGCCGGGGGGCCTCGGGTGGCTGTGTGCGGGCCCACAGCTCTTCGCCCGTGACCCCCCACCCACCGGGTGGTCTTCTGTCCAGCCTGCAGTCCAGTCAGGCACTGTCACTCCCTGGAAACCACTCCCGACCTGCCGGCTCTGTCCTGTCTCCCCAACACTAATACCGATCGGCCAAACCACAGCCTCAGTCACAGCGAACTCCACACTCCAGACCTCCGAGCACACAGCTAAACATGGCTGGAGAAAAAAAATAAAAACGAGCTCTGTTTTCACGTTTAAATGAAACATTGAATTCAGAAGGGCCCTCGGTGCTGCCGCGCTAGACCACGTGTGTTTCGGACTTCACGACGCAGAGCTCGGCCGAGGCCGGGAAGGGGCGTGCTGCCTGCACGCGTTGGGGCTGCTGCTTCGTCCCCCCCCCCCCGCCCCCGCACCTACCGGTTTGGACGGCCCGAGGATCCGCGCGGCTATCCCCTTGCCTTCACTGGTGCATTCCTCACCATCTCTTTTCAGAGGGGTTCCCTGTTTTAAAAATAAAGTAAAATTAAAAAAACATAATCGAGACATAAAAACCAAACCCAACCCCTCACTGCAGAGGCCTCTTGCATCGCATGGCCCTGTCCCTTCTGTGCGCTTCTGCCATCGCAGGCGGCCCTCCCGCCACAGCGAGCTCTCGGCTTGCTTCACCGAGGTCACCGAAGTGGCCTGGAGCTGCGCCCACGCATCTCAACTGTCCCCCTGGATCCCAGTGAAGGGAAGGACTGAGCTTGGTCGGCACTGAAAGACTGGCTTCCAGACCCAGCCCGCCCCGGGTGCACGACCCTGGCAAGGTGGCACCTCGTGCCACGGTGCCTCCCACACATCACGCGCGTGAAGGAGAGAAGGGTGGGAGGCAGCCTGTTGCGGCTCCTTCCTCCACAGCAGGCGCTCCCAGGAGTGACTACCAGTGCTGTGGCTCGCAGACCCCTCGAGGCGTCCCAGAGCACCTCCTCACAGCGCAGACCGGACGGCGAGGAGAGGTGTGCTCTGCGAGTGCCGCCTGTGAGAGTGCGCACCGTGCAAGGGCGAGTGGGGCCACGATGTCCAGAAACGCTGCAATGTAGTTTATATATAAACTTTCAACCTGTCAATTAAGTTGCTGACGTCATAAAATTCCTTTCCTTTGTAGCAGCCCCATCAACTGGCATTTTCTTTAAATACAAGAACTATGCTGAAGTTCACGTTTAGCCACAAGAAGTTTCAAAGACGTCCTAAAAGTATGCTCACTGGGAAAACTCCATTAATGCGACTCGGCCTCCCTTTGGGATACGGGTTTCCTGGGATCGTCCCACAGGAAGAGATCATAGCATGAGGAGCTTTGCAGCCTCCCTTGAAAGCCTACAACACGAAAAAGGAGAGAGCGGTTAAAAAACAAAAACCAGGGCCCTGCTGAGATCACGATTTACAGCACAGCCTCACATTCATTCTGTTCCTGCATCAGTCAGCATTTACGGCGGTGAACGTGACCAAGCTCACTTCATTTAAATGGAATTATTTTATTAGGTGACATAATATTTTTAACATCACAACCAGCAGGCTCCTATACAAAGATATCTTCACAATGCAAATGACAAACTGTGTGCAGAAAAGTCTATTAACTACTGAATATGTCCCATTTCTCCGATGACCAAGAAATAACATTGTCTAACTCTACAAACTACCAGATACAGGGTTCAAAACAGTGGTTTGTAAGGATGCTCAAGGAACTTTGTGAGAACTTCCACATCATGAAAAAGGACAGAGAAACCATGAAAAAGAATCAGACAGAAAAGGATACACTAATTGAAATGAATACATTACAGGGAATTAACCATAGAGTAGGTGAAGCCAAGAATCAAACCGGCAATTTGGAATATAAGAAAGTTAAAACACCCAATCAGAACAGCAAAGAGAGAAAAGAATATCCCCCGCCAAAAAAAAATGTAAGGAGCCACTAGGACAACCTCAAGCATACCAACATTAGCATTGTGGGGGTGCAGGAAGGAGAAGAGAAAAAGGGAGAAATTGAAAACCTATTTAAAAAAGTAATGACACAAAACTTCCCTAACCTGGTGCAGGAAATAGACACATAAGTTCAAGAAGTGCAGAGAGTCCTAAACAATATGGACCCAAAGAAGCCCAGACCAAGACATGAAAATTAAGGTGCAGCCCTGGCTGGTGTGGCTCAGTGGATTGAGTGCAGGCCTAAGAACTACAGCACTGCCAGTATGATTCCCAGTCAGGGCACATGCCTGGGTTGCAGACCAGGTCCCCGTGGGGGTGTGTGAGAGGCAACCACACATTGATGTTTCTCTTCCTCTCTCCCCCTCCCTTCCCCTCTCTAAAAATAAATAAATAAATAAACTTTTGTAAATCTTTAAAAAAAATTAAGATGCAAAAGGTTAAGGACAAAGAGAGAATCTTAAAAGCAACAAGAGAAAAGCAGTTAGTTACCTACAAAGGAGTTCCAATAAGACTGTCAGCTGATTTCTCAACAAATACTTTGCAGGCAAGAAGAAGAGGCTGGCATGAAGTAGTCCAAGTGATGAAAAGCAGAGACCTACAGCTAAGATTGCTTGACCCAGCAAAGCTGTCGTTTAGAATCGAAGGACAGATAAAGAGCTTCCCAGGCAAGAAAAAGCTAAAAGAGTTCCTCACCAACAAAATAGTGTTACATGGAATGTTAAAAGATCTTCTTTATAGGGAAGAAAAAAGGGATAAAAAATATAAACAATAAAATGGCAATAAATACATTATCTACCAACAAATGAACCTAAAAGAGAAAGTGAACGAACGAGCAGAAGAGAAACAGACTCGCAGATACACAGGACATTTTGGCGGGCGCCGGACGGGAGGGGCGTTGGGGCCGGGGGAGGAGGTGGAGGGGTGAGGAGGCCCTACAGGTGGGCGGCCACAGGGCAGTCGTGGGGGTGAGTGCAGCGCGGGGACACGGTCAGCAACAGTGTGATCGCTGCGTGCGGTGCCAGGTGGGGGGCGCGAGACTCGTCCGCAGTGAGTGCCACAGACGTCTCATCACTGGGGCGCACCCCGGAACTAATGTGCTTTACATTAACTGTGACTGAAAATAAGAGATGACTAAAGAGGAGAGAGAAGTGTGGGCTCAGATGCTGCCTCTGCCGCTGTGAGCTGTGAGCTGTGCCCCAGGCAGAGCCCTCTCCTCGCCCTGAGCCCCGGAGAGGGCGCGCGTGTCCCGTACAGGGGGGCCGCCGGGCCCTGCCCTCCCCAGGCAGGTGCGTCACTGCTGATGCGGCTTCCGGCCACCAGAGGCCTAAGAAGTAACCACCTGGATGACCAATCCCGTTTTCTAGGCTTGGACCAGTGCTACTTCTCCCACCCTTAGAGATTTTAAATTACTAAAGTGGGATTTTGCTTTATTATTCTTCTGTCAGGCATTTGATTGATACTTTTAAGGACAAAGCAAATTCAAAAAGTCAAGTTCCTAAGTGCATGAAGTCAAAGACAAATGCTCAGAGCCCCGGCAAAGCCACGAAGGGACGAGAGCTGGCACGGCTGGAGGCTCAGGCCAGGGGTCACCTGGTCTTGGCCGCAGCATCTCCCGCCCCCAACCTCGGTGTCCCCCTCACTCGGCCCAGCTCCTCCGCCAGGCCCGGGCCCTGGCACTCGGCCCGGTGACTCCCCGCCGCTCACACGGGAGCAGGGCGGGCGCCTCTCTCCTCACCAGCACCAGAAACAGCACCGCACCGTTCACACAGCCACCCCGAGAAAGTTACCTGTTCAAGTACTCTCTTGCACCGCTTCTTCTCAGACATGTTGATCCTGAATAAGTCTTCGATGGGACGAGAATTCTGTGCATCAACAATGTTTCTACGAAAGAAATATAATTTAGCTTTTCACAGAGGCCAGCAACTTCTGTTTACTGCACAAACACATCTGAGTGAGCTTTTTCTCCACAACAGAGAGCAGTGTGACTAACTGGTGACTCCAAATACCATGGCATGTAAAGATGGCAAAGACAACAGAGGTTTGTCTGGTTACCTCAAAGCAACGAAACAGCACTATAAATCAAGTTCGCTGTTCTGAGGCCCCTGAAAGCACACTCTGTCGGTGAGTGTTACGTGAGCTCGCCAACAGGACAAGCCCATGTGTCAAGTGCATAAAAATCATGACTGATCTCAGGATGAGATTGCACCCTGTGCTAAATTTTAGTCATGTGTCTTGTGGACATCTGTAAGCAGGTAGGGACTTAAAAGGCATGTGCTGTAAACAACTTACAGGCTTTTTCATTACGCAGAAGAGCAGACGCCTTCCCCCTGCGCCTACTGACACTCACTGCGATCATGTACTCAACGCTGTGCTAGGGGCTTCTGCAAGGGATCCTACGGTCGTTAAAGCCACACACCTACTAAGTAGGTGAGATCCTTATTTTTACAATCGAGGAAAACAAAGGCCAGAAACAGTAAGTACATATTAAGCACCCCCTCAAAAAAATACGTTGTCAGAATGTATCCAGCTATAAATCCTACAGCTACACCGACGAGCCTCTCAAGTAGTCACAGTAGGAAGGCAAGGCAAGTCATTAACACACAGACGGACCCAAATAAATAATTAAACTTGGTAGGTTCCCTTCTTTTGTAAGTTATAATCATGCGTGATAAGCACACGCTCAATACTAGAGCTCACCTTTATGCTTTCACAGATTTTACTGGAGCTCCATGCCCTAATATAAATCTGATACATTTACACTGAGTTAAAAGATACTTCGAAAGTCCTCCGAATTTCCTCCAATGAAGCAAACAGAAGAAGTACTCACGAAGCTAACAGTTCCAGAGCAATGAGTTTGTCTTTACTGAAGGTGAAGCAGTTGAGTATATTGACCACTTCTGCTGGGTGAACGGCCACCATTTTCTGTTAATATAAAAGACCATTTTAATTTCAGCCTGAGACATTTTCACACCAGAAATTAACATTTTGGGGGAATGAACAGTTCATGTTTGTAACATAAGTATTTGAGCTGAAGTCTGCCGACTCAGAAGCCAGCCCTAACCAGCACGGAAATTACACTCTGGCCTTTTGGTGTCACGGTTTCCAGTGGAGACCACGCGCCCCTCTGTGCCCTTGGTGACCACACTTCTCGGTGTGTCCATCTACGGGTCGGCACGCCTGAGCCACTTCCCCAGAAACGTCAGCTACGACCAACCGGAGCGAGGCGCCCTGTCTCTGACAAGCAGGCAGGAGATCTGGCTGGTTTACAGGCGTATGTTACCAGTGGAGGGGGCTCGAAAGCAAAGCCAATGTCAGAAGATCAGCTGGAAGCAACACCCAGTAGACTCCTAAGGGAGCAGTGATTCTCCAATATTTTTACTCATGTGCCAGCAACAGAATCGGTAAAACTGCACACCCCTTTGCATGTTTTTAAACTACATCTAAAAAAACTACCAGAAGTTTAAATATTTGCAAAAGATTGATTTCCTTATTTAGAAGTTTATTATATATCTGTAAAAATCTTGGATACTGATTCAGCTCATTTATGAAAATGTATTACGTAGCCTAATTGTCAAAGTCAGTCTCCAGTGTGAAAACTGTTCAATCGGACTTTGTCAGAAAAGGCTGGACTTAATTTCATTCAAACAAATTCATTTCGCTGTGCCTATGTAGTCTTCTCGGCTCTGAACTTGAAGCCTAGGGCAAGTAGACAGGCAGGCAGCCTTGACCTTTGTCCCGGGCTTGCCGGCTGGTAGGAGGAGCCAGGCCCGTGCTCCTTGCAAAGGTCTGCACTCTGCTCTCCCTCTCAGGGCACCCCTGGCCTCCCTGGCCCATGGGGAAAGAGCCTCACCCCCAGGCGATGGGTGGCAGGCAAGACAGCCCATTGTTTGCCAGGAAGAACAGAAGCAATTGTTTAAAAGAAGCCGAAACAGACCCAGACACTTTCTCAGGAAAGTTCAGTTAGGAAGTTGAGGACCCGCAGACCCCGAGGGCCACCCATGCGGGACAATCCACAAAAACCACCCTGCACAGCCAGATGCCGTCGGGACGTAGCTGCCTCTGTTCTTCGAGGCTCCCGACTGCGTGGCCCACAGCGGCCACAGGGCACCAGTGCCCATTTAATTTCAGATTCACTAAAAAGTACAGCTCCTCAGGCAGCCCGGACATACTTGAAGTGCTCAAAGCCGCATGGAGCCAGTGGTTATCGTACTAGGTGGTGCGGTTACAAGACATTTCTACCGCCTCCAAACGTTTGTTTGGATGGTGTCGGTCCAGGGAATGCAAGCACAAAGCCGTCTGACTGTCCTTCCAGGACCAAACGCAAAAGGGAGAGGGCGTCCAACAACAGAAGTGCAGAAAGAGAAGTTCAAGTCCTGTGTTTTGCTTGCCTGTAAATACTTTCTCCTCCAATCGGCCAATTAGGAACCTGTGGAATTTGGTCTTAGAAGAATGGTGTACAATTTAATAGTACAACGCACACAGTTTAAATTCTACACACATTCTCAGGAAAAGGGAGTCACTCACATGTTGTAGTGCCTTCATGGCCTTCAGCTGAGGTTCAGCCCAGGAGAAGTATCTCAGTAAGTCAACCACCTGCAGCAGAGAAGGAACGGAGCACTGACGACCACGGGTTGGAGACGGTCCTGCCAGGTTCACCCCGGCACTCCGTGGTCCGTCCTCAGCGTGCCTCCCGGGGGGCCCCCAGGGCTCGGAGGGCGCCGGCAGCGGGGCTGGCACTGGGTTCGCAGAGGAGCCACGTGCTGCCCCTTCCGTTCAAACCAACTGAAATACACCTGGTAACAATCCACCCCCGTGCTGGCACAAGCCCGGTTTCAGAGAGCTGCACCACCACGTGAGCGCGAGTGGCTCCCGAGGCAGGGGGCGAGGACAGAGCCCGGCCGCCCGACAGAGTCCCAGACAGCACCGGCTGCAAGAGGAGTGAGTGGCAGCGCGAGACTCGGAGGCGAGCAGGCAGGGGACGGGAAGGGAAGGGAAGGGAAGGGCGGTGAGGAAGCCCAGCTTGGAGACCCAGCGTCAGCCTGGGGACGTGAGGACGCATGGCGGCACCCGGTGTTCGTTAGCGCGTGAGGAGCCGAGTGCTGAAGGACGACGAAGACTTCGCATCACGACCCACAGGCTCCAGCAGGAGCGGCCAGGCCCGAGCGGGTCCGAGTGCTGAGACACTGTTTCCTCATCAAAATGCAGCAAGCGCAGGGCCTGATGGGTGCTGAGCCCAGCGAGCACCCAGGTGCGGCTACTGTGAGTGGCAAACCTTTGAGACTTCAGTGAGGAGTGATGGGTGTGACCGCTCACAGAAGGGTGCCCAGTGGTCAGGGCACGTCTGCTAACCTCTGTTCTTTCACCAAACCTGGAGGTCATGACTGCACGTTCACAACACAGACCCACCCCTGGAAAACGTAGGACCCCCCACAAATCGCTCTAAATGGCAGGGCGTTCTGCAAGCGCGGGCGACCAGGCCCCTCCCTCCACCACCAGTGGCCGTAGGACAAATGAGGGAGCGAGGGTGACAGCTGGTAAGGTGAGCAAGGCACCGATGTCACATTTCAGTCTCTCTGTAAGGTCTCTACCACCCCGCTTAAAAGCCCCCACGACACTCCAGGAAAAAAAAGGCTCAAGAAGAGAGAACAATGTAATAAGATCTGGGTTAATGAATTATGTTACTGTGAGTTCCAGAAAGTAGGTCTCAATTATTCTACAAAACAAGGTTAATGCTAGAAACTGGACTGATATGTGTAGAGGAAAAAATACTTTTTATTCCTTATAAAGAGATAAAACAGCAAACGAGTATTACGTGTACTTTCTAAGTAATTTGTTAAGATTGTGCTGTGTGTCCTTACTGTCATAGGACTGTTTTTACTATACAGTAGCTGCCACCTGGCACTTTACCAGCCACAAAACTTTACAAACCATCAAGTCTGATATAGAAAGAAGAACCTTCACTATATAAAGTAGGCTTAAGGGTCACACCTGCAGAAAGTGGCTTAATAAACTTTACAATGACTTTAGCAAAGTGGAACAACCACTGAGAAGTTCTGTAGAAAATTTCACATATGCACACACACACACAAAGAAGGGAAGAAGGGCTATTCCCTATGAGAAATTGTCTTTTCAAAACTTTCAACTTTTTAGAAAGCACAAGGTGATTCTGAAAAGTAGCAGCTGAAGAACTCGCGAAAGAGCAGCCGTCTGGGCCCGGCACCGAGTGGCTCCGGGGGGAGCTGCCGCCTTCCTGCTTCCAACATCCTCAGCGACAGATGAAGAGGGGGCGGGGCGCGTCCACTAGCTGGGTCTGCAGGCCCTCCCGCCCTCCCCCAGGACTCCGCCCCAGCAGTGCCCCCCGCAGCTGCCCTGCCTCGCCAGCAGACAATGCACAGGTGCCCCTCCCAACGCATTCAGGGAGCGCGTGTGTGAGCGCACACATACGTGTGTTTTCGGACCGGCAAACTCTCCCAAAAGTTAGGCGAACAGTTTGCACTGCACTGCCACTGGTCTTCTGGCAGTTACAGAAACTACTCATTAGACACTGTATTTCTGTCCTTATTGCTAGAATTTTAACTTAGTGGCTTCATGTAAGAAAATATTTCATCATTTAAGTTTTCTTTTATAAGATGTGGTGAATTTTGCAATGATTGACTTATAAATTCTATGCAAATTTGAGCACGTTTGCCACTAGAAGTTTAGACGTTTACGTACGATACTGTGCCCAGAATGAAAACACTTTGAATGACATTTTTTAGATGCTGCATTTTAAAACCATGTAAACCATGTAAACCATATGACATTGTGGTACAAAAGGGTCCACCTAAAATACCTAAACTATAAATTCTGTAACATTTTCTACCAAAACTGAAAACTCCTCAAATTCCTGAATAAGTGCAGCAACAAAGTAAAGCAGTTCTGACCCCGACCCGCAGGTAAACAGACATCAGCCGGAACACAGTCTGAAACAACAGACAGACTTCTGGTTCAATGGGGGGGGGGGGGAGTGGTACCTGGTCACTGGAGAAGTACCCGTGCACGTACTCGATCGCCTTTAACTTGTACTCCGTCAGAACAGCCTGCGAAACACAGAGAAATGGCGTTCACACGTGTGACCAGAACAGCAACGTTCGTGCAGCAAAGATGCCCTCACTTCAAATGACAGTAGGAACAGCCAGTACTACTGTAGACCTACTGTGACACCAGGAATACGTCATCTGGTTTCAACTGACCTACACAGACAAAGTCTGAGGGCCCCTTTTAAAACCCAGCGGTAACTCTCACGCCTGTATTTTTATCCCATCTTAACAGACTAAGACAATATCGAAGCATCTAATTATTTGGCATGGACAGCAAAAGACGTTTGGATTGCAAACCAGAAATAACGAGTGAAGTGGCTGTCTTGTGTGGACGTGACTTTCATCTCGGAACAACTCGCTGTCCCCTCACTAGTATTTGCTGTGTGACCTTCTCACAACTTGGGAGGGAATGTGCAAAGTGGCACCCTGTGGCTTCCAACGGGAGAAATCCACTGGTCAGCCTGAATGCGCAGACGATTTTCTCATCAACAGCAGTTAACTATCAGCTCAGGAACAAGTTGTGGCAAATTCCAAATAGAGTTAGCAAGCTGACATTTGATTGTAAATCTTAATTGGACAAACTGGGTTTGCAAAATCAGAACTTTTCCTTCAAAAAATAACAATATCAATGAGTATGTAAATTCCACCTCACGTGCAAATTTGAAAAGAAAAATGCTTTATAAAGAATGAGAAAAATACACCATTTAGCCTAACAGAAAATGAAGAACAGCATGCCCACAGGCAATTTTATTAATTCCATAAGCTGAAACAAATGGTAAGCACCAGGGCACAGGATGGCAAATTTTTCCAAGTCAGTCCTGGCTCTTGGAGGCAAGGAAATGCGGAGACAATTGCCTGGAAGTGTGAGCAGAGGCCCCCTATTAGCATTAGAATGCGACATTAAGCCCTTCCGTTTCTAACTAGGTAAACTCTCACTTCTGCACTGGAGGTAGTTACGCTCAAGGCTACATTTCTTTGTTTCTTTTCTTTTGTTTTTTTCTTTCGCTGTATGCTTCTTTCTGGGAGACAGGCTACCTACAATTGCCTCAAAACGAAGCAAACCCTTGGAAAGCAGGACAAGAAAAGCTGTAGAATTCAAGTTACTAAAGCCCATTCCTAAGAGTATGAGTTTAAACTTCATTTGACTCCAAACGTAACGCCACACTTTTCATCCAGGCACTAACTTTGGCCGGCTCAGGCAACAGAGTGCCGACTCGGGTCTGAAAACCACGGTTACGCCAGCAACTACGGTTCAAGAAGCGTTCCCCGGCTTTCAGTCGATGTCTCACGGGACTGAAAGACCAGGAAATCGCTTCTCCGAAACGAGACAGCTGCTGAAGATCTGCGGCGTCAGCTTCGGAGCCGAGCACCCTCTTCACGTAACGTCCCCAGACACCGCACAGATTGTCAAGACGTTTAAAGCGCTATCGTAATTTCTGTTTGTAACTTGAACTGCATGGAGACGTCACGTCCTACACTGGACGTTAAAATTCCAACCAAGTTTGCAATCCTAAAGCCCGTTCTTTTGCACAGCCTGCATGGTGCCTAAAAGAGAACAAGGCCTGAGAATCCGTAGCTCCTAGAATGATTTAAGGAATTACATGTAATTACCTTTCTAATTTCATCCAGCACCATTTCAAACGACTTTTTGTCCATCTTGACTACTCTCTCGACGTGGTTCTGACACACTTTCAATGACAAAACGTTCGTCCCCGCTTAGTTCTGACCGTCAAAACGCTGACAGCCGAAGAGGAAAAAGACTCCAGGAGCAAGAGACAGGATGCGTAGAGGTAGACTACTTAAAACTCTGGGGGGGGAAATTCTAAAAATGGAGGCGTACAAAGATTTTTTATTAAAAAGCAAAAATCATCAGGCTTCTGCAGCTTTTGCGCACAGAGCTTCAGGACACTTTGGGGAAGAGTTGGATCCTCTCTGAGTCCCGCGGAGAAACCCGGGTGTCGGCAGCCAGGGCTGAGCGCCGGTCCCCGCAGCTCGAGGCCAGGGCCGCCAGGGGACGGTCGCGAAGCCGCTCTCCCGGGTGAAGCGGCCCGCACGGCGGGGGCGCCAGAGTCCCGCGGGCGGCGAGGACTGAGGGGCCGGCCTCTGCGTCCGCCCCCCTCACCGCCGCGAACCTGGACCCGTGGCCCAGCTCACGCTCATCCCAGCAACTGCGCCGGCCTCCTGGGGCCCCGCGGCCCCGCAGCGGCGGGCGGGCGGGCCCTTTGTTACCCACTGCACGGCTTCCGGGAGCGGGCCGGCGGCCGGGGCACGGGGGCCGAGTGGAGGGGGACTCCGGAACCCCGCAGCGCCCGCTCTGCCAGGAGCCCCTCCCGGCTACCCCTCCAGCTCCCACCGGCTCCGGGGGCCTTCGATGAAGTCCGTCGCGCCCAGGCAAACTCAGCGCTGCGACGCCAGTTAGGCCACTCTTTAAAGAGAGCCAGCGGCGGGGGTCCTCGTGTGGGAACGTAGGTGTCCGCGGCGCGTGCCTGAGTTCTTCGGAGCCGGATGCGGGTGAAGGCCTGCGCAGAACCCGGCAGGCATTTTTTTCAGGGTCACCCTCCCCTGACCTGGGTTTCTGTGTGCTAGCTTCTGATTGGTCGCTCTTAATGTCAAAAGAATTAACGTCGAGTCGTTACGGCATCGCTATGGCCGCCTTTATTTTGGCCGACCGAAGTCCTCGGCGTAGGGCCACTTTCCCGCAGGGGCTGGGGAGGGTTGGTTCCCGGGTCGGCCTGAGCGCACGTGACACGGGGCGGAGCCCGAAGGCGCGAGACGCGGGGGCGGGGCCCCAGGGACGCCCTGGGGATCCCCGACCGCCCTGCCCTGTGGTCCTTCCGGCTCTCGAACCCCGCGCCCCCGAGGAAGGGCGATCCGACACTACCCTTCATCCCGGAGAGCCGGCAGTCGCTGAGCGCCGCAGGGGCCCGTTCGGGCCCAGGCTGTACTTGCCCGAGCGCCTCGTCGCGCTCCCTGCTCCGTCATGGCGAGAGTCTGGCTCTGCGCGGGGGGCGCGGGCTGCTTGCTCGTTTTTCTGGTTTTGCATTCGCATCTTTCTGGCTCTCCGGTGAGTTGGAGAGCGAGGACGTGGCTGTCTGGGGTGTGGACAGCACCTCTGGGAGGCGACGCTTCCCTCTGCACTGCAGGCGGTGGGCGCACGAGCTGGTCTCCAGCGGGGGTGGGCGGGATGGTGGCTGTCTCTTTGGTTAAAATGTTTGTGCACGCGCGGGAGGACGGAGACGTGGAGGTGGACAAGAGTAAAGGGTGGATAAGTGGTGACGGAAAAGAAAATATAAGTAAATGATAAAAAGTAAGTTTGGAAAAAAATGTATGTATAGAGGGTCCCCGGCGTATGGTTTTTCTGCTCTGGGATGGTGCAAAAGCGATACCATACAGTAGACACCGTACTCGGCACGGGATCCCGCTGTGCGACTCTGCACGGTATTTTGTGTTGTCGGGTCCCGTCAAGTTGATAAACACACACCCATGTCTTCTGCTTCTTCTGAGAAGACGACGAAGGCTTCGCGAGATGACGTTGGAGATTCATGGCCCAGCTGTGAGCTAACTGAAGCGTGCTGAGCACGGGTGAGGGAGGCTAGGCTGGGATGTCCCGTAGGTTTCGTGTAGTCATGCATTTTGGACTTGTGCGGTATTTTAAATGGCGATGGGCTTACTGGGTTTTCTGGCTGCCCTGACACCCTCCGATAATTTGCAGATCTGTATTTTGGTCATCTTGGCGCTTAAATGAATAAGCCCATTTCTTCCCAATCATTCTGATTCTGTGTTAGGTGTCAAGGCAAGCTTAAAAATGAGCCTTTTTTTCTTCTTTTTTTTTTTTTGGCTTTTTTTCCCCTAGAGTATAAACTGAATTCCAATCTTCTGTTTTTATTTAAGGTTTTAAGGGACTTTGTGTTTCAAATTTCCTGGAGAACTGAGGACGTTCTTTACAGGCTGGACGTGGGCTGGCCCAAGCACCCCGAGTACTTCACCGGAGCAACGTTCTGTGTTGCGGTGGACTCCCTGAACGGGCTGGTGTACGTGGCCCAAGTAAGTAAAACTGGGTTTTCTTAAAAGTGCGTGGACACAAAGGAAGCATCGGCCTGTTGTGCGGCACTAAGTAGCCGTATGTTTTTACATCATGCCAATTACGGGATTTGTTTTTCGAATTGCTTTCAAGTGACTGTATGACTCTGCATTTGATACATACTGATTGCCTAAAGCTGAGTTTTCAAGTGCTCCGGAAGTCCCCCACTCACCTTTAAGCTGTGCTTCTCGCTGCCAAAGGGAAGATTACTTCCTTAAAACTGACACTGTCTCAGCCATGACCTTTGTGTGCCTTCAGAGAGGGGACGACGTCCAGAAGGTCTTGGTGTTCACGGAGGACGGGTATTTCCTGCGCGCTTGGAACCACACGGTGGACACGCCCCACGGCATGTTCGCGGCCAGCACCCCGCAGGAGCCGGCGGTCTGGATCACGGACGTGGGAAGCGGTACGTGTGCTGGGGTGCGCGCAGCTCGAGCGGCAGCTGGAGAGAAAGTCCACCTTCGCCCGTGTTCTGGCTCGCACGTTTCAACACCAGAGCCGCCAGATCCAGTTTGCTTAATGATTCATGAAGTCACGTATTTTTAAAAATATACCGCACTTCTGTAACATTGAGACGTTTAAGAGGGAGGCTATCATTTTGTATGGTCTTTACCTTGACGAGAGCTTTTTTTCTTTTTCAAACTAATTCTTCAACTTCTCAACGACAGCTTACTTTCAGTGCTGCTTTGCCTTGATTTCAGCTGGAGAGAGCATGCTGATTAGACGGTCACATGCGTTACCCAGTGTTCACCCTGACACTTCCAGTGCCCACCTGGCACCACACACGGGTGTCACAATATTTTCGACGGTGTGCCCTGCGCTGTACTTTACACCGTGACTGTCCCATAACTGTCAGTCCGTGTACTTCAGTCCCTCCGCCTCTTGCCCCCAGGCCCCCAGCCCCTCCCATCCAGTCTCCATGTTTGAGTCTCTCTGTTTTGTTTGTTCCTGTATTTTGTTCGTTAGATCCCACATTTAAGTGAAATTGTGTGGTACTTGTTTTTCATGTCCTCTAGGTCCATCCATGTTGTCACAAATGGTACAATTTCATTCTTTTTTGTTTTTTGTAAGACTTTATTTATTTACTTTTAGAGAGAGGGAAAGGGAAGGAGGAAGAGAGGGAGAGAAACATCAATGTGTGGGTGCCTCTCACATGCCCCCAACTGGGGACCTGGCCCACAACCCAGGCGTGTGCCCTGACTGGGAACTGAACCGGTGACCTTTTGGTTTGCAGGCCAGCACTCAGTCCACTGAGCCACACCAGCCAGGGCTCATTCTTTTTATGGTCGAGTAGCATTCCATTGTACATGTGAACCATGGCTTTCTTACCCACCGATCTCTGGTGGGCATGTGGTGGGTGGGAGAGGGATGAGCACGGGACCTTGGCGGCTGTCCCGTCAGCCCTCCTCCCAGACCCACGCGACCCAGCCTCCCCTCACACGGTCCAGATCTGCTCCTTTTCTTTCTAATTCACTCAGTGCCTGTGACACCTTTCATTGATTTCCAGAAATAAAAAACACGTGATCTCTTCATTCTTTCCCTTGTAGCTGGTTTTTCCATGCACAAACCTGAAGACAGTTTCTATATTCCTTCCCGTTTTTGAAAGGAGTAATTTCCTTTTAATAAAAACATGACTGCAAATCAGCCATTTTATATGTAAAAAAATATTTACTGGTATTTTATGTCTTTTGCTAATTCTTCAGAAACTTTGGACTTTGCTTTCTTAAACAATGTTTTGTTCTCTTGCTATTGCTACAAAGTTTAGCTCCAGCCTCCAAAACATATACAGTAACAAACTAACTTCCAGGACAGAATCGTAATGTAAGCTGATGACATCATTTCCCGCAGGCGCAGTGTGCCCAGCTATCCTCGGAAGCACACCAGGCAGTGCGGCCTTGGGGCGCCTTCAGGGCCCTGTCTGTTCGCTGCTTTGGGGCTTCTCCCTATTCGTTAATACTCTATTTTATACTTCTGCTTGGAAGATAAGTGTCACTCAGATAAATTTTAATATAAGCAAGAAGATAAATACAAGTAATTTGAAAAGATTTAGTCCCTTCCTAAGGAAGTTAATGAGTTGAATTTTCAATTAGTTTCCACTGGGAGAAAATGCAATTTAAAACATCTGTGTTGTAGAGCACTGTTTTGTTGACCTACTGAAATTCGACACCTGTGCAGAATGAGTGAAGTAACAGTTTTCTGGTTCTATGGTGACTTCCTTCTGTTGGGATCGCTTCCTCCAGGTTGTGAGACTGAACTGGAAAACGATGTGCTGACAGTTTAGTTGGAGCTTTCTGTGTGAGGAATCTGCTGTTTAAGTTTTATATCTTTGGATTTAGAACCTATCTTGGAGTGCCTGAGACTTGACTTCATGGATAGGTTTGCTATAACCACTGAGGACGCTCAGTTGCTTGTCAAATGTAACATTTGAGTGTCTGAGCCTGTTAACTTTTTCTCACTGTTTAATTCTATCAGATCTTTCCTCTCAGTTTACAGTTGGCCCTTGAACAACATGGGTGTGGACTGGGTGGGTCCACTTACCTGTGGATTTCTTTCCATAAATACTATAAATCTATTCTCTCTTGTGATTTTCTTAATAACATTTTCTTTCGTCTACCTTACTTCATTGTTAGAAGACCACGTATAACACATATAACACATGAAATGTGGTAACTGTGTCACGATGAGTTCTGGTCGGCAGCAGGCTGTTAGCAGTTCAGTTCGGGGGTGTGGAAAGTGATCTGTGATTTCCAACTGGGCGGGGGTTGGGCCCCTGACACACCTTCCCCACCCCGTTGTTCGACTGCACTTGAAAAACACAAATGTTTGTGCTGTGGTCACATGTGTGAAATGTTCGTGTCTGTCTTTCTATAAAGGACCCTTTGGCCACACTGTTAAGAAATACGACTCCTTCGGGGATCTCGTTCAAGTCTTGGGGACCCCGGGCCAGAGCGGCGCCGGCCTCAACCCCCTGCAGTTCGACAGCCCCGCGGAGCTGTACGTGGAAGACACGGGGGACATCTACGTCGTGGATGGGGACGGAGGGCTGAACAACAGGCTGATCAAGTTGTCCCAAGGTACGTGGCCTGGTTTTAAAAGGTGTTACTTACGTAAGAACGTCATGTAGTCAGTGGGGTTTAATTGGTTTGATACTCGATATAAAGTGATAACTCTTGTGTACGAATCTGTGTAACGGGCTCAAGTGTGTTGCTAGGAAAAAGGCGGAACAGGCGTGCGGGGCACCGGTTATAGATTTGCTCATTCTTCACCCAGAGCAGTGCTCGCTCGGAAGGGCCCGGGAGGCGCTGGGAACCGCGGCTCTGGGGGCTGAGCAGGCACTCTGCCCAACCAAGGGTCCAGGGTCGGCGGTCGGGGTCGGCACCCGGGGCTGAGCGGCCGCGCAGGCCGACCGACCGGCAGGTGTTTTACCGAATCCCCTGCCCCGCAGCCGCTGGTCTGCTACAGGTGAGGCGGCTCAGTGCTACTGATGCTACCCCGCGGTGCTGAGTGTTAGTCACTAAGTTCAGTAAAACGGTGAAATAAGACGATGAGGAGGAAATACCGTTGTCTGGGAAGCAGGACCAGAGCTGGGGGGCGGGAAGCAGTTCTTGCCCCGAACGGGCTCTGGTGGGAGGAGAGCGGGTGGGCGGGGCGTCCCCAAGCCTGGGCCACACCGGGGCAGCCTGGGGTGGCAGCAGGGCATCCCTAGGAAAGGCGCTGGGGGTGCGCTTTTTGACTGTTAGACGATGAGACCCGGGGTGTCCTTGGGAGCCTATGCTGGGAAAATGTCCCAGGGCCAAGAGACCAGAGGAGGCGGCTGACAGCCTAGCGTTAGTGACATCGGAGGCACGAGCCCAGGAGGCGGCAAGGCCGTGCGGGGTCCTCCAGGCTGCGGTGGGCCCCAGAGCGCCAGGTGGAGCGGGGCGGGGCGGGCGCGGTGCAGAGGGAGAGGCCCCGGTGCTTGTAGGGGCAGGGCCCCCCAGCCCGGGAGCCACCCGCCCTCAGGAATGGGGGGGCCAGCCGGCTGAGGGGGGTGCTGGGCGCCAGTCTGTTCAGGGTCCAGCTCACGGTCACGTCAGGGCGCAGTCTGTCCTCTGTGGTGTGTCTAAGGGTTTGATCCTTATATGGCTCTAAGATCTGTGATTTGGCTATCACAAGTATTTAGGGTTTTTTTAAGCAGAAAAGGGATGTTACAGAAGCCGTTTTTGTTTTTTGGTTTTTTTTACAAGACACAATGCTCTGTCAGGATGTATTTGCAGTGAGCCCTGTCTCAAGGAGGCCGTGTGGTTAGTGTGTCGCCTAGTAAGTGGAATTGGTTGGCGACGGTTGAAGGAGGAAGAGGTGGGGATACAGCAAGAACCGAAAGTGTCCAGGAGAGAGAGGAGGAGGCAAATCAAGGAGACTGAACGCAGGCGCGTCGCCGCCCTGTGGCTGCGCGACAAAGGGCACAGCTGGCGGCCTCACGGGAAGGGCGTGCCCCCGGCGGCTGTGGCACCCAGAAGTCTGGCTTCTGTGGGGAGGTCGTGTGCCCCTAAGGCACCCGGGGGGGGGCCCCTTCCTGCCTCTTCCAGCCTCGGGGGCTCCCAGCACCTCTGGGCTTGTGGCTGCTGCGCCCCAGTCCCTGCCGGTTCCCCCACAGCTCCTCCTCCGTGTATCCCTCTCCCAGCTCCCCCCCCCCCCGCCCGCCTGTAAGCACACTGGTCTTCGGATCCAGGGCCCACCCTGAATCCGGGGTCACCGCATCTCACCTTCCCCACCTTCCCGACCCCTGGGAAGACCCCGTGTGCATGCAGGAGGCGGCAGTCACAGGCACCGGAGGCTGGGACCCGGACTTGCGTTCCCAGGGGCCGCGGTTCACCGCCCCCCCCCCCCGCAGGATGGGAGCTGAGACGGCCTGTGCGCATGCCATGTGGCTGGTGTGGTGCGGCACAGGGGGGCGGGCAGGGGGGGCAGCGCCGGGGAGCAGGCTAGAGGCCAGGGAGCTGGTTTGAGGAGGAGGCTGGCGTGACCCCTAGGCAGTGATTTTGAGCGGAGGTAATCATTAAAGAAGCAAGTTCGCTGCTCGGAACCGGAGGGTATTTCTTTGTGAAGCGGAAGTACCCGGCAAGTGGGCACGTAAACAGCAAGCACACAGTGGGGCCCTGGTCGGAAAGTTCGTCTGCACCCTGTGACGTGCGCTGCGACACGCAGGCGCGTGAGGCGTTCTCCGTGCTGCTGCAGCCACGCGCGTGTGCTCACCCCTTACAGATCTCACGGTGCTTTGGCTGCGCGGAGAGAGGGGGGCGGGGCCCGCCGAGTTCCACGTGCCCCACAGCGTCACCGTGGACTCCTTTGGCCGGGTAAGAGTGGGCGTCCGTGTGTCTCGGTGTGTGTGTGTGTCTAGGTGTGTGAATCTGGGCGTGTGCACTCGGACCTCAGGGCCCCTGTGCGTGTCTGGCCGTCCTGGACGTGCACGTGTGTGAGAGCGTGTGCACATGTGGGTGTGGGGACCCTCCCGCGGGGCTGGGGGCGCCCACGGACTCCCTCGTGAGCGGGGGAGCCTGTGAGGAGGGGGCTCCCCAACACTCCCCGGTGAGCAGGAGAGAGCTGCTCACTTCCAGGGGAGAAGGAGCACGTGGGGGGCAGCAGGGGAGTCGGGTTCCCTGGAGGAGAGAGAGAAAGAGAGAGAGATGCTCTCCTGCTGGGAGACTGCCGTGGGAATCGGATGCAGTTTTGACCCTAGGATTAGGCACAGTCAGTTCTAGAAAGCACCGTGGGAGAGGGAGAGGGAGATGAATTCCGTGGCCACCAGAACTCTCAGCTGTTGACGAAGATGAAATCAGGTTTCCCTGAAAACACAGCCCCGAGTCCACAAACCCAGCAGCTCCGAGGATCCTGAGGGGGAGAGGCGGAGGCCGGAGGGTCCGCCGCCTTTCCGGTCCCTTCCTCGTAGCCCTCTGCAGCCCCGCCACCCACGTGCCGCTGGGGCGGCCTCACTGTTGTGCCCAGGGTGTCCCCCCAGGGGCGGCCACACCGGAAGTGCCATCAGAGCACACCTCCCCGTCGGGTAACGGCAGAGGCCGTAGTAGCAACCCGTGGCAGCCGACCGCAGCCCTGAGCTCAGCCTGTCACTGGCCTGCTGGCGTTCCGGGCATGTCTGGGAGCCTCCTGAGCCACCCCTTTGGGAGGTGCTGCAGGTCGGAGACCCCCGGCAGAGAGCAGGCAGAGGCCCACGCTCCTGCGGGGCCAGTGAACCCTGGCTGCCCCGCCCGGGGACTGGCGGCCACTGGCCTCGGTGACGGGGAGCGCGGGTTAGAGGGGTGGGTGGCCCTCGGCCTGGCCACGCGTGTCCCCCCACCCCCAGAGGTACAGCAGAGTGGGCAGGCGCCCCAGGCCTGGGGCTCAGACCAGGGCCGAGAGCGGCCCTCCCACTGGTTGTGGGCTCCCTCCCAGACATCTCAGCCTTCCCGAACTTGAACTTCCCGCCTGGGAACGGGGCTTCTAATAACCCTCTCATTGGGGGACCGCTAAGAACTAAGTGCAAGACCGATGAGAAGTTGTGAGAGTAAATAAAGCTCCCCCGCCCCCCCCCCCCCCCACCGCCGCCTCCTCTGCTCATGGCGCAGAGGCGGCCTCCCCAGCGAACCCTGGGTCTGGCCCGCAGGTGTGGGTTGCCGACCGGGGAAACCAGCGCGTCCAGGCCTTCGAGCGGGACACCGGAGCCTGGCTGGGAGCCTGGGACGACTGCTTCACGGAAGAGGGGCCGTCCTCCATCAGGCAAGCGCCTCCGGCTCGTTCAAGGGCTTCTTTCCCTTGGTGTGTGTGTGTGGGGGGGGGGGTTCCCTGGAGAGGGAGCACCAGCTCCGAGTCAGAGATGCTCGTTGTTGGGGGAGGGGCGGGAGACGAGTGTGGGGGCCGTGGGACGACCGTCTCAGGTTCCCAGTGCCGGTGGTCGGTGACCCGCAGCACCCTGCATGGCCCGGGTGGGGGCTGCACCTTCTCTAGAGATGCCCCTGGAGGTGCAGTTGGGAGACGTTCCAGCACAGGATGAGAGCAGAGGCCCCGAGTCACCGGGTCGGACCCGGCCGGACACCGACGCTCCTGCCGCTCCGTGTGCGCCCGCCGCGCTGCTGTTCCTACCTGTGACCTCGGTGAACCTATGGCTGTGGCTGCCACCACGCATCTCGTCATCCCGCCCTGAAAGAACTTGATTAATTTAAAATCCTTTTGAAAGAACTCCCCCCCAACTCGTCCCGGCTTTCCTTCTGAGCCCGGCCGATGCTGGCTCTCGGTGGCCCAGCCCTGCCTGAGGTCCTTACCCTCTGCAGGGCTGTCACGGCCCCGACGGAGGCGTGTCATCTCTTTACCTCTGCGTTCCACTGTTGACTCCCCCACCAGAGCACAGAGGAGGAGGGACCTGGGCGTCTGGTCCACTGCCGTGTTCTCGCACCCGGGGCAGGGCAGGCACGCTGGGGGCTCGACCTGTATAGAGTGAGTGAGTGAGTGAGTGGGTGGGTGGGTCAGCAGTGCTGCGAGAGCTCTTTGCTCTTTTCTCGTTGCTCTGTGTGTGTGTGTGTGTGTGTGTGTGTGTGTGTGTGACACTACGGATACGCTGGGGGCAGTTAAAGGCCGACCCAGCACATCACGAGTCTAGAAAACGTGCTGCAAGCAGCTCACCCACCAGAGCGGCTCACAGACTGACTTTGCGGGGAGGACCTTCGGCACGTCGGGGCCTGCTGCCGTCCAGCTCCATGGGGACAGCAGGGAGGCGGGAGTCAGCACGTGTGTGACCTGCACACAGACTGACCGCGTGTGTGCGACGCCCCCTCCTCCGCAGGTTCACCCCCGACGGGCAGCACGCGGTGGTAGCCCAGCTGAACCTCAGCCGGCTGCTGTTCCTGGCCGCGCCCCCGGTGGGCAGCATCGGCTCCTGCTCTGTGCTGCGCTCCATCCAGCTGGCAGACCAGGTCTCGCCCCACCTCCTGGACGTCAGCGGGCGCACCGGAGCCATCTACGTCGCAGAAATCGGAGCGAAACAAGTGCAGAAATACGTCCCTTGGAAAAGCTACTTCCCATCCTTCCATTTCTGACGCTGGTTTGCCTGGAGATCTCTCGAGTGAAAGCTCGGATTCTCAAACTCACCGTCCAAGTGCCTAAAAATAACGTTCAAGTGCAAGAACTCACTTCTTTGTTTTTACCTGATCTGGTATCAGAAAAGTTGTTTCTATGTCATTAATAGTTGCATGTTGCGCTGCCATTTTTGTGACTGAATTTTACGTGTAAATGCACAAGGATATTTTAATGAAAGAAATCTAACTCTAAAAAAACTGGGGCCAAAAGAAGCGGAAAATAGCGAGGCAGCGACCTAGTTACTTGTCTCGGTAGACTAGTCCTTGGGGAGGGAGAAACGAATAAAAATGGTTTGGAGGATACCTGACTGAATTGCACGCCAAGAACCACAAACCTCCAGGTGGTTCACATTACATCTGATGGACTGCGTGCGAGGTGGGGCCACGTGGGCTCGGGGGCGGGGGAGAGGGGCGCAGTGCTCACAGGACCCCAGCCCTGGAGGCGCAGGGCAGAGAGGCCTGGTTCGTCCGGGTCCCTCTGAGCAGCTCACAGAAGACACGGGGACTGCCCTTCGCGCGTGCTGTGGGACTCGGGGAGGGGAGCCCTACCCTCGCCGCACAGGAGCCCGCTGGAGCTCCACCTTGAAAAGCCAGGGAGGAGAGGGACAGCGCAGCCCAGCCGGACGAGTGGCCAAACGTTGTGGACTCGCTGTGAGCCTGGGGGCTTCCTTTGCAAAGAGCCCCCCTGGCCCCAGCCCTCCTGCTGTAAGGCAGGAAGGGGGTACAGGAGGGGCCCTCCTGGGTGCCTTTGTCCCTTGAGCGAGAACTCGGTGCATTCCCAGCGTCCGTCTACCTCAAACCGGCGCAGGACGGTTGTCGCGGTGCCTGCGGAACTCGGGAGCTCGTGGCGCGTTGGTCACCACTGGGGCCAGACGGCGGCGCTCCGGGTGAGACGGCCTTCCCGGTGCGTGTTGTTAGCTCCCTCCGGCTCCGTCCAGCCTTCCTCTCCCTCCTTCGGGACGCGCGCCCTCCCTGATGCCGGGCTCCCGTCTCCACGCGGCCAGGAAGGTGAGTCTCCCAACGGGAAGCCCTGTCCTGGCCCTGAAGGCCACGGCGAGTGTATCCGTGTGCGTGTATCCGTGCGCCAGATCCCACTGCACTGTCCGCTCAGACGGAACGGGGGGGCCGCGCAGGCGCCCGGGCCTGGAACAGCATCTTCCTATGAAAGGTGCGTCCGAAGCTGCCCGTCGCCTCGTCCCATCCGTCCGGCTGTCCTGGACTTCCCGTGGGTTTCAGAACGTGTCCTTGTGAACGGTGCGGGCTTGAGCCAGTGCAGTTACCTGACTTCGGTGACAGGAGGCTTTGGAGCTGTGGTTTTTGTTGCTGCTGTGTCTGAGCTAGGACAAGGGCACGGGTCTGAGAGACGCAGTCAGTTCAGGTTGAACTGATACTGTCGTTTCAAAAACGTTTCATTCGGTTTCATTGTGTTTTATGCCGTATTCTTATATAACGTTGAAAACATTACTTCTCTTTATCTTGCTGCAAAACATTGACTCAGGATCCTAGTAACGTTTCCCCACGTTTGTCCTTTGGATTGTTTAAATGGATGAGAAATGTACTTTCTACTAAAATAAGAACTTTTGAAGGAAAAGGCAGTGTCACTTTACTGTTAGAAAAGCACTTTGGAAGTCCTCGTTTCGTTGAAGAAACCCAGCCAGCATGAAAGCGCAGGTCGGCGCCGAGTTTCTGCCGATACCGTGCAGTTCTGATGGTCGCGGCTCGGCGGCGTCGCTTAGACTCGGCGCCGTGACGCCTCCAGCGTCCGTCCCGCCGCAGGGTTGCCCGGGCTCTTGCGGGCCGTCTGCCGCTCCGGGCAGCTCTGGTGGTTTTCTGCTCTATTTGAGAAACGCCATTGGGATTTCTACGAAGATTGCAGTAAATTTGCATATTGCTTTGGTTAATGTGGCTATTTTAGCTATGTTGATTCTCGTTTCCATTTCATTGTGTCTTTTCCAATCTGTTGTAATAATGCTTCGTAGTTTTCAGTATACAGGTCCTTCACAACCTTGATTACATTTATTCCTAGGTTACTGTTTTTTAAGAAATTTGTTCAGGTGTGAAAATGCTTTGCCTCACTGATTTTGTTTTGGAAACTTTTTTTTTTTATAAATTCTAATCTTAAAATGTCGCTATGTAATGAATGAGCTTATTTTTCTAGAGATGTTTTTAAATTTCTCACTTTTATTTGCCAATAGTAGTACGTTCTTATAAATATAACTCACATTAAAAAATTTCTTTGGAGACCTCAAAAATCAGTGTAAGAGGATCCTGAGACCTGAACGTCTGAGATCGCTGGGGCACATGCTAGCCTTCTGTGCTCGAAAAAGGGAAAGCTGTGTCTCTGCACTGGCTTGTGTACGCCTGCAGTCAGAAGGGACAGATAAACCAGCACCGGCGGCCAGGCACAGAGGGTAGCACTCTATCCTTTTTATCTTTACTCTGAGCTGCACCAAACTACTCAGGAAATTAAGTGTATAAAGAACCGCTGGGAGCCTCGGGGGCAACGTGAGTGCAGGGGGAGTGAACTGGGGGAGGCGGGACACCTGGGCGTGACCACCGCCAGGCAGACCTGGGTGAGGGCGACACACACCGTCAGTTTCCGAACAGTCACTGGGACGTGTGACTCCACGGTCCGCCCGCGTGTCCCAGCGGACGTTACAGTCTGGTGTCTGACGCCGAGGCCACAGCGTCACCCCGGGCAGCCGGGGCACCAGCCTGCAGGCTGCTGGGAGGGCTCACCGGGTCACCGCTTCCTGGTGCGACAGCACACCCCTCGGCACCGGGGAACGCTCCAGAGAGAGACGGCACTCTGTCCACAGGGCGGTGGGAAAGCCGAGAGTGTGCTACTGCACAGTAGTTCTTAAACGGTAGACTGACTGGTGGTTGCCTGAGGTGTGTAGGGGGAAGGTGGAGAAATGGTGAAGAATTCTGTTTGTTTTTAGTGTTTCAATAAATTGAATTTAAAAAACAAACACACGCCTTAAGGTTAACACCATTTAAGGTACTCTCACCTTCACCTGTAAGTACACAGTTTGTACACAGGGAGAATAGCAGGTTCTACGGCACAAGAGAACCCTAGAGACAGGGAAGCAACCAAACAAATGGACTCAGGGGGACAGGACTGTGCTCCTGTCTGGGGTGCGTGAGCTGGGGGGCAGGGGGCAGGGTGGGGAGGGAAGACGACCCAGGACCACAGCCCACACAGGAGATCACCCTGGGGCCTCCTGCTGCTGACCCGGAGCTCGGGCCCTGGCCTGGCCAGTCCTGTGGTCCGGTGGTCTGGACCGCAGCCACCAGCCTCTGTCTTCTCTTTACACTCGAGCCCCAGAGGTTAGTTGAAAGCACAGCCACCACACCATCAGCCCAGCGTGTGCCAAGCCCAGGGCCAGTCTCCCCCAGGCGCAGTGTGTAAAGTGCAGAAGGAGAGCGAGCGCTCACCCCGCCCGCACGAGCTCCTCCCAGCCCCCCAGCTGCTCAACCAAGGATTCCCTGAGTGAAGGATCGGCAGGGCTGGCGCCTCCTGCCCACGGGGCCAGGGGAACGGCACCCGGACGTCTGCACACCTGGTGCTTCCTGTCAGGATGAGTCACTAGTGACGGTGAATTCTGAGGCTGCCCACGGGCATGTCCCCGGTGGGGTCAGGGCGGGGCGCACACGTGCCCAAGCTTCAGCCCACAGCTCCGCCCCTGCAGCCAGAGGGCAGCAGGGAACACGGAGGCACAACGCTCCAGCTCTCTCGGAACTCCAAGTTCAAAGTGAATACCCCGAGGCCACATTCAAAACTGTTTAATTTCCGTAAGTAAGGGACACAGCTTTAAAAACAATCACCATCAGGAAAAGCCAGTCTCGCTGACAGGGCGTGAACTCACAAAGGCAACACTTTCGACCCTGGAGACCAGTGGTGGCGCACAGCCCCGGGTCCAACGTCCAGAGCTGGTCAAGTTCGCCTCCCCTCGACTGGAAACAGACTCTGCAGGCTCTCCAGTGTCCACGAGTGTGTGCGCGTGCTGGCCAGGGAGGCAAGTCTGCGGTGCCCTCCGGGAGCACAGGACGCTCCGTTTCCATCAGCCTCGGGGGTGGAGGCAGCCGCCCCCACGGGAGGGCAGGCCTGCCGCGGACACAGCAGAGTCTGCGTGGCCAGGAGTGTGCATTATGGGGACCAGGGCCACAGGGAGGGATGGTGCAGGGGCCTTCAGGGGCCTGAGCTGCATTTGCGAGGGGGCATTTCCAGAGCACGCAGGGCAGAAGACGGGAACAGTGAGGAGCTTCAACGGCTCACGCAGTGAAAGGGTCCACCTGGGTTTTGCAGAGCTCACACCAGCCGTCAGGGGTCGACACCAGGCGGCGTCCTGGCCGGGGTGGGCAGGACCCGGCGCAGGTCACGCGCGTCCTGAGGTCACTTCTCCGCTCTCCCTAGACCCTCCCGACAGCCCAGATCCCACGCGCCCCACCCGGGCTGCGCGCCCCTCCCCCGTCCTCAGGGACGGGACACCTGCTCGGGAGCAGCCTCTGGAGTGAACCCCGCGGGGGGGGGGGTGCTCCCAGCACGTCCCCGGTCCCTTCTCAACATGCGGAGGGAAACGGTGAGCGGGCGGAGGCCACGGTGGGAACACGCCAGGCCGCACTGACGACGCGGCGCGCCGCACAGCGCAAATCTCCCTCCGCCTACGCGTTCTGGCCGTTCTGCCTGCTTCAGGTTTCACAGGACAAAGCCCGACGCTCTGAGGCTCGAGTCAACGGCAAACGTGTCACGTTTCCCAAAGGTCACCACCAAAAACACACCAGACGCCACACCCGAGCAGCTTCTTCATCCTAAAAGCAGGGACTGCCCCTCCCGGCCACCACCCTGAGCAGGCGGCCTTGCTGGAGGGCCGCGGGCCGTCACACACGGCCCCGGGGACGTCCCCTGGCCGCTCACCAGCCCGCAGCTCTGGGAGGAGCAGGGCCAGTTCCGGCCCCTGAGGCTTGCACGTCCGACCTTAAACCAAAAGCAGCTGCAGTTCGTTTTCCGGCCAGGCTCCTGCTTAGCGCGTTCCTCATCGTGCCGCCAGCACGGCCCTGGACGATGGTCCTGGACAATGGTCCCCGGCACGCCACGCCGCCCTCCAGGGCCGTGCCCACTGGCTGCGTTCCAGTGACGCCCCCGGGAGCTCCAGGAGGAGCCACCAGAACAAGCCAGTGCCCCGAAGAGTCCGGGTGTCGGCCCAGCGGCCTTCCCTGTGGTTCTCCCGTGGGTGGGTTGGAGCTATGACGTCACTACTTTCGAAAGAAGGATGGGAGCAATCACCGAGGACGTTCACCGAGGACGTTCACCGGGGACATTCACCGTGCACTGCACCACCTGGCGGTGACAGGCCTGTGCAGGGGCGTCCTCGGCCTGCACGTCCGGCCCCAGGCCCTAGAAGACCCAGAACAGGGACCCCAGGGCCATGCCCGTGGCGGCCCCGGCCAGCATGCCCAGCGCCAGGTCGCCGTCACCGCCGGGGTGCCGCTCCCGGACGATGATGTGGCGGGTGGGCTGCGGCCCGCAGAGCCCTGCAAAAGAGAAGACAGGCTTCTGAGCAGGGTCACGCCCCACACCCGGGGAAAGGGCGGCCCTCTGGGCCGGGACCCTCCCTGAGAGCGGTCAGGGCCCCTGCTGGCTGCACTGGCGTCCCTCCCATGGCCGCGGCCTCCCCTGGACGGACGGGGGTGGGGCGCTGCGGTGGGCGGTCCCCACTCTCCTCCACCACAGGCGACAGACGGGACCTGGCCTCCCCAGAGCCCCTCCACACCGCTCTCCGAGAGTCCAGCCGCTCGGCTCCCCAAGGTCCGCAGTCCCAGACGGGACCAGCGAAGCCGCGACTCCAGCCCCTGGGGTCCACTTCCATCCATACAGCACGCTTCTCGGGACACCGGGGGCGGGACAGCACAGGGCGGGAGCGGAGCCCACGCGTGAGGAGTCTGGGGCAGAGCCCCCGTTTGCAGGGAAAGCATGTCACAGGGGGAGCTCCTACACAGCGAACCTTGAAAAACTCAGTGCGACACTCCCGCGGCTCACGGCTCCGGTGGGAGACGCATCGCTTGTTCTCCTCCACACGTGACCACTGTGCTGCCGGCTGGCTCTCTTTAGCACTGCCGCGGCGCAGACCCTGCTCCTCTCCTCCTCCGCCCGCCACCCCTGCAGCCAACCGCTCCGATCCCGGAGGGCAGACACTGGCCCCGTGGCCCCATGCTCGTGGCCCGGGGGGCGTCTGCGGTGGCACCTGCTTCAGCCACCTAACTCAGCTGGGCTTCACGTAAACGGTCAGAACGTGGACGTGAGAGGATGGGCCAAGGCAAGAAACTCGCAAATCACCGGGGACCCGAGGACCTGGGCCCGCGATGGAAGGCGGGGAGGGGAGCCCACCACGCAGAACCCGCAGCTCTGCTCCCGGACTCGTCCCGCAAGTGCAAGGGGGGGCGGTCTCTGCAGCCCAGGGGCCCCGCAAGGACAGCTGGGCCGCCGCCCATGGACGAGGGTGGGCACAGACGGCACTGGGCACTTCCTGGCTGGCCGACTGACCACAGGTCCCCACAGACACGGGAGGGTTGTGTGTGTCAGCCCGACGTGCCCGCGGGGGACCGCCTGTCACACACTCTGCGCACCGCCGCCGGCCCAGGGCGCGCCCACAACTCGATGTCGCCCACATCTCCAGGGTGGTTCCAGGGACGGGAGGGGAGAAGCGGAGAGAAGCCCGCCGAAAGCCCAGAGCAAGGTCAGCCCCTTGCGGCCTCTGCGTCCCTGGCACAAAGGAACACCGCCTCCGCAGTGACCGCTTTCGCAGGATGCTACCGGAAGGCAAAAGAGAAGGAGAAAGAACACCTCTCCTCCCCTAGGAGGGGCCTCTGGGCTGGGCTGCGTCTTCACGCAAGCGAATCCCAGTGCCGACCCCGTCTCTCCCTGAGAACAGACGTGGGGGCAGTGGGGACGCTCTGACAGTCGCACCTGTCACTCAGCTCTTCAAAGCGTGTGACTCCATGTGGCACTTCGAGGAAAAAGCCCGGGCGGAGCGCCTCGCAGTCTGGGGCCAGACACAGCTCCCCCCGCACACCGACCCCTGCGCCGCGCGGAGGGGGGCGGCCGACTCACCTGCGTAGGGGTACTGGCAGGGCACCGCGTAGGCCTGCCCGTCGGCGGCGTAGACGACCTGCGCGCCCGGCGGCGCGTACGCAGCCCCGTACGGGCAGTAGCCGTAGGCCTGCGGAAGGAAAGGGGCCGTCAAGTCGCGGGGCTGACGTCCGGCCCTGGTTCAGGGACGGGCGCCCTGCGCCGTGGGTGGGCGCTGGGTGGGCGGGTAGGGACTGGACCTCGCGCGGCGGGCCCGCCCCTCGGGCTGCAGCTGACGTCACACCCGAGGGGGAGACTGGAAGCGTCGTCCCCTCCGAGAACAGGACAGAGACGCCCACGCTTGTCCCCGTCACCTCGCGTGTGACAAGGAGGGGACGGGGAGAGTGCATGCGATCTCTCCCTCCGCGTCCTCTACCTCTGCGCCTTCTCGCGACCCTCCCCTCCCCTCCCAACTGAACCCCGGGGCCACAATGACGGCGCCTCCCAGCCCAGAGCCCCCTCCGCCGAGCACGGGCTCCCGGCTCCGCCCCCTCGGGCACGCCCGGCGTGTTTGGTGTTCGGGGTGTGACTTTTCCTGAGGTTCGGCTTCTTTTTCACTTTCAAAGCATTCTTTTCTGATTAGACAAAGAGTGTGAGTCGGCCACTGAGTACGAACTGTAAACCACAAAAACCGCGTGGCCAGAGCAACCACCGAGGTCACGGCGGGTTTCTGGGTCGCCCCCCAGACGGGCTGTGCACTCGAAGGCGCAGGGCCGCTGCTTTACTGCACGGAAGTGGAAGGTGATGCGTCTGGTCTGAGAAAGACGGGGTTCAGAGTACGGTTCTACTTTCCCGACACCGGCTCTGTTCTGTTTTTGCTTTCTTCAAAGACCACAATAACTGGCACAGAGACCCCCGCCCCCGCCGCCGGCGCGGAGAAGCACTCCCCCCCCTGCCCCCTACCTCGGGGTCCGGAGCGGGGTAGGCCGTGTACGGAGGTGGAGGCGGGGCGCCCACCGTGGGGCCGTCGTAGACGGCTTCCGAGCCGACGTAAGCCTTAGGGGAGAGAGGGGAAGACAGCGGTTGCCACACAGCAACTACAGAGGCTTTCAGGACGTTACACATCCGTCCTTCTGTTTAGCGAGTTTTTTTAAAGCCCAAACGTTTCCTGTGGACAGCAATACAGCAGCTCTCAGAAAGGCAGTAATGGGGGCAGGGGGAGACCCCGCCCCTCACCCCCAGGCACCCTCCAGCACCCTTCTCAGGGACCCGCCGGGCAGCTGGGCGCGCTCACACCCGCGGCGCCAGGAGCCCCCAGGGCCACCCCCAGCCCTTCTGTCCACCAGCAGACCCCACAGTGTGGCCCCCACAGACATGCTCTGCACACAGGGTCCGTTCCTGCTCTGAGTCACTCCCCAGCGGAGAAGACGACAACGTGCACTCTCTAAAGTCCCCGTGAAGAGTCGTCCGGCCCCGGAGCACGCGGGCCGTCAGCACTGATCTCCCCCAGGAGCGGGTGTTCGAGGGAGGGGGGAGACCGCGGGCCGGCCGGAGCAGGGAACGCCCCGCTGTGCGTCTCTCCACTTTCCTCCCCCCAGAGAGAGGGGGGCCCCTCTGGAGGAGGAGCACGCAGAGGGCAGAGGAAGCCGCCTCAGCAGTGGGGCTGCCTGCGCAGGGCCCCTCACGGCCAGAGGTGAGACGAGGCCGAGGGGGAACGAGGTCCAAGGACCCGCTGACCTTTCCCAGCCTCCTCTGCAGAGCACAGCGGAGGTCAACGTGCGGCAAATCTGAGACTCTAGCATTTCCGGAAAACCACCCTGGCACCGGGTCCTCCCACCGGGAGGGCTCCTCCCGCCCACAGGCCTGGCCCACCCGGCTCTCCCAGGGTGAACCCTCGAGGGGCATCCTGCCCCCCCGTCACCTGGTGGCCAGGCACCGCCCCTCCCCCGTGTGTCACAGCGAGTCCGTGAGACACGGCACTGCCGGCTGCCCCGCGTGGCACTCACCGTGTTTGTCCTGCAGTCCTGGAGTGTGAACTGCCAGGCCCTGGGGGGACGAGAGGGAAAGTCGTCTGAGTGAAATCCAGCCCCGGGCGCGGCGGCCCCCCAACCGTGCTGGAGCCAGGGCTTCTGCTACAGCCGGGTCCAGGGCCCGGCTGTGCGGCCCCGGCCGCCAGGGCCACTCAACCAACCCAGTGGGGGCGTGCACTGAGAACACGTGACACGTGGAAACACGCCGCAGCACACATGACGCACACTGTTTAGAGCGCACTGCAGACTGCCTCTGCTTCGCCCTCAGTAACTGAAGGGCGCGCCGGCCCAGTGACACACAGACCCACCCCACCCACCGGGTGGCTGCGTGAGGTTCCAGGACGGGGGCGGCAATTCCTCACAAACGAACACGAGGCCGGTGCTTTTTCTGCCAGCCCCAGAAACTGACCTGCGTGCACGTTTAAGGCACGCAGACCACAGGACACACACGTCCTAAAACGACCACCGCAGTAAGTGAACGCCTCTGCTCCCCCGGCCCCCGCGATGACCCTGCACTTTCTCCGGTGGTGACGTGAAGGCTCTCTCCACCCCAAGTGCGTCCAGCAGGGCCGTTCACTCCACGGTGGACGCCCAGCATCGTGCTGACCGACCACCCCCTCCCCGAGCCCCAGCCCCCGGCCACCACCCTCCACTCTCTCCCCCTGCAAGGTCAGCCCTTCCAGACCCCGCGCACGAGAGAGGCCGCACCGTGCTTGTCCCTCTCTGACTGGCTCACCTCACTGACCGTGACGCCCTCAAGGTCCGTCGTGCTGCTGCGAACAGCAGGCTTTTCTCTCTCGCTGACAGAGGGCAGCGACACCCCACTGTGCACGCGTGTGCATGCCCACCTCTCGTCGCCCACCCACAGACACTGGGCTCTTTCCACGTCCAGGCTACTGTCCATCCTGCCGCACTGAGCGTGGCAGGCAGGCGGGGGGGCACATGGTTTAAGAACCCCTTTGGTCACGCCCACCACCCAGCGGGCGTCGAGCAGGGGAAGAAGGGCCCCGGGCCTGCGCAGGCAGGAGGCCGGCCGGGCGGCCAGCAGGGGTGGAGCGGGACCCCCGAACTTCTTCCCCACAGCCCGAGCCACCGCTCTGCCGCCCGAGGGAGGCCCCACTCCCACTCCGTCCCTTCCCGACAACCGGACACTGGAACAGAGAACGCCCTGGAAAACGAAACGTTTCGGAGAGGAGACTCACAGGCAGTCGTCCGGGCTTTCCGCACAGAGGCTGACGGTCCTCCCGTCCCGGCAAACCACCTGCAGCATGCAGTCTCGGGGCCTCCCGTCGGGCGGCTGCACGTCTGCGGGAGGCGGGCGGAATGCAGGATGGGTGTGTGTTCAAAGGGTTTCTTCTCCCCCAGGAGCTCAGATGAGCAACAGGCCGGCACTTCAGAACACCCCACCTGAGGACCCCCCGGCTCTGCTCTGCAGAGCCGAACAGGCGCATCCCAGCCCCGCGCCAGCGGGACTCCCTGCGGGACGAGCGGGCAGCCCTCGGGAGGGGCAGCCCCCACGTGGAGACACGCCGCAAGGCCCAGACGCTGGAAGCACAGGCCCCACGTGGTGAAAGGTGTTCACGCAGCACGAGACACCAGAACACCTGCTGACTTCATTTGCAGGAAGCATCAACTAGGTAGGTCGCTGCTCTAAAAGCGACCTTGGAGCTTCCAAGCACCCATGTGCTCCGCCTGGGCCACGGAGACCCGCGTGTGAGGACCAGAGCGCGGGCGGGACGCCACACACATCCGAGGTTCCCACGGCAAACTCCGCCTCAAACGGTGGCGGAGCGAGGGGGACTGACGGGCTGTGTGTGCACCTGCCGTCCGTGAGACAGGGAGAGCTCGATGCCTGGCGCAGACGGGCCCTCCCGAGGGAGGGCGGGGAACTCCAGGAACACGGGACGTCACGGCCCTTGAGAGACGGCTGCCGTCCTGAAGGCACAGCCGCTGGCTCTGAGTCGCAAACCTGCACTGCCTTGGGGGCCCCCTCTCTCGGGTCCAAACGCCCTGGAGCCCGAAACGCCCACCACCTTCTCCGCGGGCGAGGAAGGAGTGCGCACTGGAGGGTCTGACTCGGAGGAGAAATGGATCTGCCCCACCGCCCGGCCCCCACTGTGGGCGCCTCTTCCCCAGTGACGCCCCCCGGGGCCTGTGAGTGGGGGCCGGTGGGTGAGGGAGGCCCCAGGGCCCACCCAGGGTGGCGAGGGGCGGGCGGCGGGCGCTCACCGCAGCACTGGAGCCCCACGCGGAGGTTGATGCAGTCCACCGGCAGGTGCACCTTGTCCTCCATGCTCTGCCGGGTCTGGTCGCTGTAGTAGACCAGGTGGCCGTCGGACCAGAGGTCGAACCAGTTCCTCTTCCAGCGCTTCAGTATGGTGCCTGGAAGACACCGCGGGCACACGGCTGCTGGGAGCGCCCCGGGGACGGGAGCGGGGGGGGGGGACGGTCCTCCGCGGGCCCCCACTGCCCCGAGCAGCCCACCCGAGCGGCACATGACACGGACCCCAGGGGCAGGACGCCCGCACGGCACGGGGACACGGAGCGCCGTCCGCCCCACGTCCCCAGACTGTTTTTACACCGAACTTCTCGGGGGACTCGGGTTGGGGAAACCGCACAGGTCTCAAGTGTACAACTGCAGGACCCGTCTGCATGCGGGCGGGCGGGCGCAGGCTCACGGCTGCGAGTGTGGGGGGCAGGGTTCCCGCTGCTGTGGCCGTGGTGGCGAGTTACCACTGCGCTGTCTTCCGTGCAGACCACCGCCACCCGTCTCTCGCCCACCCCGGGTTTGCACTGCGTGCCCCCCTACGGCCACACCTCCCCTCCCCCCGATTCCATCCCTCCCCTGGTCACCACCACGCCGCCCTCTGCGTCCGCATCCGAGAGTCTTCGTCTTCCTTGTCCGCCTGTTGCTCCCAGTCTCGTGTCCCTCACACGTGAAGTCCCAGGCTTCTTCACTTCGCCCGTCCGACTCGTCTCGCTCAGCACAACGACCTCGCGGTGCGTCTGTGTCGCTGCGAACGGCAGCAGCCCGTCCCCTCGCCAGTCGAGCGCTGCTCCCTGCAGCCACGCCGCGTCGCCACCCGGTCCTGGTCGAAGCTGCTCCGTGTCTCGGCCACCGCGGGCGGCCAGTGCTGCTGCGGACGCAGGGGCGCGCGTGTCTTTGCACACGCGTGTTCTCGGTTCTGGGGGGCAGACGCCCGAAAGAGGGGCGGCTGGGTCCTATGGCAACTCCATCCTCGCCGTTCGGAGGAGCCCCCGTGCCGCCCCCCACGGGGGCCGCACCAGGCCGCACGCCCGCCCGCGGCGAAGGAGGGCTGTCCCCACCGCCGCTGCAGCACGCGTACGGCCCGTCGTGTGGACGGCGACGGCCCCTCTACCGGGCGTGCGGTGCGACCTCGCTGTGGCCCTCGCTTGCGTGTCACTGGAAGTCGGCCATCTTCCCGCGCCCCCGGTGGCCGTTTGTGGGTCTTCCTGGGAGAGGGGTCTGCTCGGGCCCTCTGCCCGCGCTTTCCCCGCTGTGCGTGTGGTGCTGGGCTCTGTGAGTCCTTCCTGTGTTCGGGGTGTGAGCCCGTCGTCGGAGCTGCTGTTTGCCAGTATCTTCTCCCACTCGGCTGGTCTCCTGTTTGTTCTGCCGGAGGTTTCTCCTGCCGTGCAGAAGCGTTTTGGTTTGACCCAGTCCCATTCGTTTGTGCCTTCCCTGCCCGTGCCTTTGGGGTCAGACTCATAAGACCCTAAGACGGCGGCCCCCAAGCCTAGCCCGTGTCTTCCCCTGTGCACCTGCGCGTCTCAGGCCTTCCGTCCAGGTCTCGGGTCCCGGGTCCGAGCTGCACCACGTCTTGGGCACGGGGCACACAGCAGTCGAGCCCCATTCCTCCCCACGGGGCTCTCCAGCTCCGCCGGCTTGCTCTTCTCCCTCGTCTGCTTTGGGCTCCCGCATCAGAAACTGTGCGTCCATCTACATGTGGTTTGTCTCTGGGCTCCCAGCTCCGTTCCGTCCGTCTGCATGTCTGCTTTTCTGCCGACACCACGCGGTTTTGATTATCGTCACCCTGGAGCATAATCTGAAGCCAGGAAGCGTGATACCAATGTCTCCGTTCTTTTTTTTCTCAGGATTGCTTCAGTCTTCAGGGTCTTTTGTGGTTCCACACAAACCTGGTGTTTCTTTTTTGTTCCATCTCTTTAAAAAATGCCACCAAGAGTCTGACGGGGATTGAGTTCCATCTGAGTATTGTCTTCACGTGGACACTTTCACCATGCTGATTCATCTAATCCGTGAACACAGGTATCTGTCCGTTCCCCTGTGTCTTTCTCGACCTTTTTAAGTAACTCTTTGTGGTTTTCAGTGGATCAGTCCTTCACATCCTCAAGTTTATTCCTAGGTGTCTTATTCTTTTTGTTGCAATTGCAAAAGCAATTTTTTTTTCTTTTTCTGAAATTTCACTGTTAGTATATAAAGACACAGGGAGTTTTGAGCACTCATTTCACACTGCTTCTAGTAGTTTCTGGTGGAGTCAGCCCCACCTGTGCTCCGCCAGCCTTCCCAGTTCCCTGCACCCTGTCAGGCCCCCCCCAACCGAGAGAGCACTTCCCCAAGTCGACAAATAAGTGACCCCAGTGCCCACTGGACTGGCAGCTCCCGAGCTGAGCAGAAACCACCAGTCAGCCACCGCACGACAGCAGGCGGCGTCCCCGTCGGCGGAGTTCTGACCACACATTTCCCCCCCCACCCCCCGCCGTCGAGTCCCTGACGACACGCCCCCAAAGGAGGCTGTGCTCCGTGTCCGGGCTGGCGTCGTGCGGGTGTGGGCGGCACACAGGAAAGGGGTCCCGGAGGCAGTCCTGACACGTGTCACCACCTGCGCGCCTCCACTGCTCTGGGACGTGGTGAGCGTAACACACCTCACTCACTCACTGCTTTGTCACTGGGGCTCCTGCCCAGCAGTCGGGAGAGGGGGAAGTGGGTGAGTCTTCCGTACACACACCTCTCAGACAGCCAGTGCTATTTACACACGGTTTCAGGTGTCCACGGGGGGTCTTGGAACAGGCCCCGGCAGATAATGGGGGGACTACTGCCCAAAGGTTTGGTTTTAGACAAAAACACCCCCTCGGGTCGAGTCTTTATCCCTGTAACTAAAGATCCCACGTTTCAGAATCCCAGTCCCTGGGCACACCTCGGGCGGCCGTGGGGAACAAAGCCTGCCGCCCCTGCCGGGCTGCTCTCCACACAGCCACCCACAGGGGCTCGGGAGTGCGGAGAGGGCCGGAGAGCCCGGGAGACCCCCGAGAGGACACCCGGGGTGACGTCGTGAGCACGGCCCTGCCCTCTGCTCTGTCTGCACACGGATCTGCTGCAGCAGCAGAAACACAGACGGGGTCCCCGCAACGTCGGCCCAGCCCGGGGTCCCCGTGCGGTACTCACTCTGCCGCAGCAGCCACCCGCTCTTCACGAACGCCATCGTCCACCTTCGGGAGAGAGGCAGGGTCAGGGCTGCCCGGACGGGGCCACCTTTTCCCTCACCACACCCTGGCACCAACGGGGCGGGAGTTTCCACACAGGCCACCAGTTCCCCAGCTCCAGGACACGAGTGGACGTCTCCTGGTTCAACCTGACGCCGACCCTCACCCCCTGGAGTCAGCCTCAGAGCCCAGAGCCCTGGGCACGTGCCCCCCCCACCCCCTGCCAGCCTCAGCGTCACCCCACCACAGGAGCCCTCGGCCCCCATCCCATGGGGCTGCTCAGCAGTTCTCGGAGGCGGCTGCTGGTGATGCACCTCTGTGTCCAGCCTCTGTCCCTTCCTGGAGGTCCCAGGAGGGACTGAAAGCTCTGACCTCTCAGCACAAGGCACCCTCCCCCGCTCCACCGTAACCAGCCCACCTGCCGCTCTGGGGCCCTGAGCCAGCGTCAGCGCCCACTCGGCTGCGGCTGCAGGAGGTGCAGGGGCAGCAGCGGGGCGCACCCGCCCCGACCTCTCAGGAGCGCCCGGGGTCTCAGAAGACCACACATCTCCCATTACAGTGTCACCAAATCTCAGCCAGCTGGTCTGAGTCCCCATCCTTATCCCCTTCAGGGTCAGCGGACGGAGGGACCAAAGCCGCTTGACCCCACTGGCCACCTGGCACTCACCAAACACAGTATAATCTCAGTGGAGCCAGTGCAACCCCCAGCCCCTCCCCCTCCCACCGGAGGCTCCGCCTCCACCCCGTGCCCACCCCGCGGAGTATAACCCCACTCAGCTGCCCACGCACACTGAGTTCGCTGGGTCTGGGGTCGTGGCTGCCCCTGACATACCCCTTGTCCTGGGCTCTGGCGTCCAGCAGCCTCCGCGTCCTCCCCGCGGTGCCCAGGTGACTTCACACGCCCGGTCAGGTGTGCACGGCTGTCCACAGGTGCAGCAGCCAGGTCAGAGCAGAACACCGGAAACCGGGAAGAAAAAGCATAAAAGCGTGAAGGACAAAACCCGAGTCAAGAAGACGCAGTAGGCTCAGAGACCACGCCTGCAGCCGCACGGCGGGCCCGGGCCCCCTGCCTGCGCGGACAGAGGTCCCGTGGGGCGGGGGCGGCGCACTCGGCCGCTCATAGGAAAACACTCAGGAGCGGGCAACACACTCCCAACGCGCCCAGTTCCTGCACCTGAGCAGACCGAATGCAAACACCGGGCACCAGGACGCCCCAGCGCCAGGTCGGCACCCGTGGAAACGAGGACGCCCAGAGCTGAGGACGCCCAGAGCTGACGACGCCGACGGCAGGAATGCCGCCCCGTGCAAGCGCTGCTGGGAGGGGATGTGACCACGCCTCCCGGAGGCTCAGCGTGCGCGCCCGCCGGCCGGGAGTGTGGCCACCCTAGGAGCAGACCTCACTCACGCACGTGCAGAGACTCACCAACACACGCACCCTCCCCGCGACAGCGCTTCCACCTGTGCGGCACAGCTGGGCCCACAGCTGGGCCGGTCCCAGCCCCGGAGTTGTGCTGAAGGGGTGCCACCCCCTGCCCCGCCCCCAACCCCGCCGGTCCTGGTGCAAACCTGCTGAGCCCCGAGGGGACAGCTGACGCCGCACAACTGCTCTGGAAGGAACCGAGAGGCTGGCGCCCTTGCCACGATCGCCAAGGACAGGGACAAGGGGATACCGAGTGGGCTTCAGAAGACGGGGTGGCGATTCAGTCCCATCACACCTGTCTGTCCTGTTCAAAAACGTTTAGCGGTCTGCATGTGTTACAGCCTTGTATTTTCCGAAGTCAGCATATACCGACTGGAGGCTGAGGTCACAGGCCACCTCTGTTTCCCTCCCGCGTTCTCAGGCGCTCTCCTTCGGGAACTAGGTCGGCAAAGCGGACCGCCAGCCTACACAGGCCCCTCGGGGGCACAAAGGAGCCGCCCTCATTTAATTTTCTCCCTGTCTCCGTGCGGCTGGATTCTCGCCTGTCTCCCAACCTTCAGAAAAAGAGCTCCGCACAGCTTTTATCCACCGTACATTCCAGCATCTCCAAAGTCTCGGAAGGTTCTTAACCTCTTGCAGTTTCTGCCGATTCATGCTGCCTAAACGCGCCAAGACAGGAAGTGCGTTTTGCATCCTTCCGCACCTTTCTGCCACGCTTTCAGGCCCTCAAACACACATTCCCGCTGGACCAGACCCGGGAGTCAGCCTCTCCCCTGACCCCCCGGGATGCGGGCACTGCTCCCAGTGGCTGGCAGCCACTCTGCGATGAGGAGGGAGCCAGCCTGAGGGCGGGGAACGGCAAGGGAGCAGAGCGAATTCCTCTGAGCCACTGATTCAACCCACCTGTTCAGCAAAATAAGTTTTTTTCATCCTTGAAACTGGGTTGAACTGGTTTCCTACAAACCTGCAGCCTTAAGCATCCTAAAATAGTCATTTACTTCCAAAAAGATCTGAGGCAGAGAAATAATACCATCGTATTTCCATTCAACAAATATCCTTTGAGCACCTACTACGTGCCTGGCCTTGGAGTAGGACCAAGGACAGAGAAGTGACCAAGCCGAAGTCCCTGCTTTTTACATAGCGTCCAGTCTAGTGGGAGAAGCAGGTTAAACTCGTTATTTAAAAGCTGGGCCGTGCAATGTCACCGAGAGCATCACAACTCTACGGTGACAGGTCACCCAGCACAGAAAACTGAAGGTGTGTCCACTCACGCCGCATCCCGGGTACTCATGGCTAAACCTCCTACGGTCGTACCGTGAACTCTCAGCCTATGGCTCGTGGGAGGAGGAGAACCACGGGGGACAGGCCCACATGCCTCCGGTTGGTGCTGGGGGCTGCGGGGAGACAGTGCAGACACGGAGCCTGCCTGAGACGCAGTCACCCAGCAGCTGCCGCTGGTCACGAAACCGAGTGAACAGTCCAAACACGAGGGGCAACCGAAAGGAGTTCCCTGAATTTCTGCGGTAACTTCTTTTAACCTCTACTGGTGCCTGATACTAACTTGGCCTCGTGCGCTGTCCCTGCTGACAGTCGGTCACACGTCAGACCAGGTGCACGGAGACCAGGAGCAGCTCGTCCAGGAGGGTCCCTGAGAGCCGGGGTCCCAGCGTCTCCGGTGCTCATGAGACCACACGCACCCGTGAGGCCAGAGGCAGGGCCCCGGTCAAACCCAGGAGCTAGATTCCCGGCATGCGATGGCGTGCTGGTCGGAGCACGGGACAGAGGACAGGCTGGACTGGAGTGCCAGTTGCTTTGGTGGCCACGGAGCTTCGAGTCAAAGGTTAAGAAAGTGTGTTGGCCATGTCCTAGGGGCCTCGCTGCAAAGCAAGATCCAGGAGAAGATGTTTAAAAGTGCACTTTCTTGAGACAATAAAAAAATGCAGCTAGTTTCCCTTAAAGGAGTAAGAGCTTAAGCAATAACATCGGTCACAAGATGTTTGCTTTCTCCTTTTGCTTTAAAGATAAAATCACTGACTCATACCCTTGAGATCTCCTGCAGAATCTTAGTTCCCCAATCCAGTTGACTCTTGTGACCAGTCAGGGGCGATCCACGCAAGATGAGGTCAGGAACTGAGTTAATCAGGCTCAAGAAACTGCTGAAGCTTGCTCAGAACGCAGTCAGCTTGGCCACTGACCCCTAACCACAGTGTTTGCATTGAAAAACCCTTGATTACAAACCAACAGGAAGGGCTCCGGTCAAGATGGCAGGACAGGTAGACACTGCACTCAGCTCCTCCCGTGGCCACATCAAAACTACAACCACGTTAGGGAACAATCACTTGAATAAACCATCTGAAAGTCTGGCTGAACAGAAGTCCTATACCTAAAGGCACACAGAAGAAGCCACTTCCAGACTGGTAGGAGGGGCAGAAACGCAGCCTGAGCTGGCCCCACAGTCACATGGGGCAGTTCAGGAAGAGGTCAAGTTCAGCTACTGCCAGACACAGGGGAAGAAACCTGCGGTGCGGCAGCAGGGTGAGGGCCCTCCCCCGGCATGGCACGGGATGCCACCTCTCCTGTGTTAAGCCCTCCCTGGACATGGCCAAATCTTACTCTGACTTCCCAAAAGAAGCTTTTCTGGCCAGAAGGGACTGGCACAAAATAGTCACAGTGATAAAAAGCAGAGACTTAGGGCCAAGATTGTTCTGCTCAGCACGGCTCTCGTCTAGAATCAAAGGAGAGACAAGAGTTTCCCAAACAAGACAAAGCTAGAGCCATTCATCACCACCAAACGAATATTATGAAAAGTGAGACCTGCTTCAGACCCCAAGGCCCAGGCAGGCAGACTGAAAGTCAAGAGATGAAAAGACATCTCAAGCAGACAGGAAAAAAAGCTAGGGCAGCAATACTAATATCAGACAAAATGGGCCTTAAAACAAAGGCTATAAGAGACATTTATTTCGTAATAATCATGGGATCAATCCAACAGGAGGATATACCCTTTCAACATTTATATATCCCACTAATATAAGGAAATAATAAAGATCAAAGCTACAATAAGCAAGATAGAATCTACAAAACATACAAAAGATCAATGAAGCCAAGAGGTGGTTCTTTGGAGAGATGAACAAGGTTGATAAACCATTAGCCAGACTCATCAGAAAAAAAGAGAGGACCCACATTAAAAAATCAGAAATGGAAGAAAAATGACGACTGACACCACAGAAACAAATACAAGGGATCGTAAGAAAGTACTGCAATTCCATGCCAGTAAACTGGACAATCTAAAAGAAAGGGATCCATTCCCAGAAACACACAACCTTCCAAAACTAAATCAAGAAGAAACGAAATCTGGACCGACAATTACAACGAACGAAATCAAAGCCGTAATCAAAAACTCCCAGCAGCTTCACTCCTCAGCAGGGAAACGCAAATGGAAACCACCACCAGACACCACCCCCTGCCTGCCAGAGCTGCTATCAGTAGATCAAGGAACAAGTGCTGGCCAGGACGAGGAGAAAGGGGAACCCTCCTGCACTCTAGTTGAGAATGCGGCTGGTGCAGCCAGTTTGCCACTGTGGAAAGTAGTATGCGGGGTCCCCACAAAATTAAAAGTGGAACTGCCTTATGACCCAGCGATTCCACTTCTGGGAATATATCCAAAGAAACCCAAGACACTAATTTAAAAAAAACAAACGCACCCCTATGTTCACTGCAACGTTTACAATAGCTAAGACAAGGGAGCAATCCAAGTGCCCATCAGCAGACAAGCTGATAAAGAGGAGGTGGTCTGTACTGGGCTGGAACTTTCCTCCGGGAGATCCCAGTGCCCCACCCTCGGGCAGTGGGCAAGCAGAGATTCTCAAGGGCCAAGAGTCAGACGCGTTTGTAATTAACTACTTTCCGCTAGAATTTTTAAAATTGAATGTATGGGGCGGCGGGGGCTTGGCTAATAAAACTAGATACAATTCTATAACAACATCATGTGCACACTGTATGATCGTCCCAACTTAACCCTTTCCTCCAACCGCCCCGAAAAACGGGCACTCTGGTTATTCGCTCATTTAGGAAACCTCGTCTCTGTAAGTTCCTCTACATTTGAGATTTTAAGAAAAACAAAAAACTTAAAAACCCCAGTGCCGACGCGAAAGAAAAATCCCTGACCTCCTTCGGAACTCCCAACCTGGTTGGTGAGAGACTCAAACGTGGAAAAAGAGATTTTCTCTAAATAATGTGTAATCACGCACGTAACGCTACGGGAACTGCAAAACCGAGCGCGGGGCGGACGGAGCGCCCAGCGGCCCCGCCAACCGGCGGGAGGAGAGCGCGGTGGTGCCCGGCTCCCCCGCGAGGCCCGGACCCGGGAAAGCTGCGGGACCGGCAGCCCCTGCGAAGCAGGAGCGCGGGGACCTGCACCTCGGCGATCGGGGGGGGAGACGTGGAGATGGAGAGAGGGCGCGAGCGGGGGCGCGAGGCGGACCCCTCCGAGGGGGCGTGGGGCGGGGCACAGCCCACGGCAGTGGAGGAGTGCCCAGACCGCACCTGATTTTTACCTGCGAATATGCCGGCGGGCGTCGTCGCACTCCAGGCAGACAAGGAGCGCAAGGTCGCTGCGGAACCCACAGCCCAGCCCACTGCGCGCCTGCGCCCTGCGGGCCCTCCCTCGGCCCCGCCCTGTCGCGGGTGCGCAGGCGCACTCTCGGCCCGCCCGCGCCCGCTGGGACCCACGGCGGGGCCCGAGCGCGCCTGGGGTTTCCGAGGAAGGAGCCGAGGGGCGGGGTGTGCGCGTCCTCGGCCCAGCTTCAGTACGTGCTGAGTTCTCAGCGAGACAGGGGTGTCGCGCGCCCTTACTTCGAAAGGCCGTCCTGGAGCCGCGCTCCTCAGACGCTCGAATTGGACGGAGAAGACACAGAAGCTAAGCCTAGGGCCTCCTCCCATCGCGCCGGAAGCAAGGAATGCTCAAAAAAATAAAATAAAATAAAGGCGAGGAGGCCCGTGAAAGGCCGTGCCCATGAACCTGAAAGCTCCTGGAACAATTGGAGCAATAAAATAAATTACGTACTATTAGATAATTTAGAGTGTAAGCTAAATATATTAGAGTTCATTCTGCTGTAATAAATGATTAAATAAATTAATGGTAAGAAGAGATACATCTTCCTTATCGAATTCTAATTAATCATGCCCCATTTAGAGGAGATGTTTAATCTCTAACCCCCTTCTCCCGTGTGGGCTGTGCAAGTGACTTCCTCCCAAAGAGTACATGACAGGAAGGGGGAAAATAGCATCGTCGCAGGTGGGCATCAGTAATCAGGTTCTTGGTCATCACAAACAATGAATTGAACACAAAGAGAGAAAGAAAGAGCAGATGTACTAAACAACAGTATACAACACAGAACATGGGAGCAGGTCAACTCCAAGCAGAGATTGACCCTCGGGGGCTGGAGGGATGCTATTCCAACAGGATGAACAGTTCCCGGCTAGTTTTGGCGGGCTTTTTTGTGCATGTACGAGTAGTTGCATTGCTGTTAAGATACTGTCCATGCGGTCTCCCGTGATTTTCCTCGATTGCCCACCAGGGGAGAGGGTCTCCACAATGCTAATTTGTTTTGACGCTGTTATCATGGAACAAGGGTCATGTAGCATCTGTGCAGGTGCTGCATGAGTCGCCAGGATTCCGTGCTTTTCCAGAAAGTGGGCACAACCGGTCTTAGAACAGGGTCTCTGTCCTGTATCAATGCCCCTTGTCCTAGTCCTGGGGAGCCTCTGAAGATTCCTCACTCTCGACTATCTTTTGCCTCAGCTGGGCATCGTCCGGCAAAGCGAAGAGTCAGAACACGTACCAAGAGGCAACCCAACGATGCTTCACTCTCATTCTTTCCCCCCTCCTCTCTCTCTCTCTCTCTCTCTCTATATATATATATATATATATATGGAATAATTACATATGAAATTATATATGAAATCATACCCAAAGAGGTACACAAAAGGAGAAACTTTACAGAAGTGAATAGTTTGCAAAACAGGGAAACAGTTTTAGGTAGGAACCAAAAGTGTGCTTTAACCCAAACAACTCTTACCTGAAGGCATGTTCATTGATTTTAGAGAGTGAGGGAGGGGTGAGGAGACAGAAAGAGAAGTATCTTTGTGAGAGAGAAACATCAATTGGTTGAACATTTATATCTTTTTTGATTTGGATATTATTCTGGTATGGTGTAAGTTATAGATCCAATGTTATATTTTTTCAGATGGCTCTATTTTGTCCTAGTACCATTTATTGAACAGTCTAGCCCTGGCTGGTGAGGCTCAGTGGATTGAGTGCCGGCCTGCAAACCAAAGGGTCGCTGGTTGGATTCCCAGTCAGGGCACATGCCTGGGTTGCAGGCCAGATTCCCCAGTAGGGGGTGCACCAGAGGCAACCACACATTGATGTTTTCCCCCCTCTTTCTTCCTCCCTTCCCCTTCTCTCTAAAAATAAATAAATAAAACCTTTTTAAAAAAGTCTATCTTTATCACCAGTGATTTGGTCGAGCTGCTACCTTTCAAATAACTTCCCAATTACCTGGGTGTATTTCTAGATTTTCTGTTGTATTTCATTGGTCTGTCTATTCATGCATTAATAAAACACTGTTTTACTCATTGAGGCTTTTAAATCTATCTTCTTTTCCTTTGGGGGGAGTCCAGGAACTTCTTCCTATTATGCTTTATTTTCAAAGTTTTCCCAGATGTTCTTGCTTTTTTTTTTTTGGTTGTTGTTTCATATGTAAATTAGAATCACTTTATCTAGTTAAAAATTTTTATAAATTGTATTAAATTCATAATTAATTTAGGGAGTGTTCACATTATTCTGATATTAAATCTACTTATCCTAGAATATGATGTTTTTCTCCATTTTTTGTGCCATTTGGTATTTAAACTTGTATTCATACAGATTTTGAACAGTTCTGATAAATTTATTGCTAGGCTTGTATTTATTTTCCCTATAACTAACCTTGTACAAAATAAATTTTATTATATTTTCTAACTAGTTATTTAAAACCGTGACAACTATTTTATTTTTTCATTTGTATTATTGTTGATGAATTCTCTTATTATTTGTGTACTTCTTTAGATGATCCCACCTGCCTGGACCCAATGTGTGAGAAATAAATTTCTGTTGTGTGAAGACACCGAGGTTTGGGGCTTATTGTTACTACAGCATTTCCTAGCTATCCCGACAGATACAAGTGATTATACACCAACAAAAAAAGATGCCCGGCGTACTAATATATTGGGGCAAAATTCTGTAGCAGCAGTGGAAAGGAAGCAGGAGATCGAGGAGAAAAAGAAACAATAAATTTTCATCTTGTAGAACTTATTTGTTTTTTTAAGAGATTTTATTTATTTTTGACCCAGCTAGTGTAGCTCAGTGGATTGCGCGCCAGCCAAAGGGTCGCAGGTTTGATTCCGAGTCAGGGCACATGCCTGAGTTGCAGGCCAGGTCCCCAGAGGGGGCGCGCGAGAGGCAACCACACATTGATGTTTCCCTCCCTCCCATCGCCTCTATCTAAAATAAATAACTAAAACAAAAAAGATTTTATTTACTTTTAGAGAGAGGGGGAAAGGAGGGAAACATCCATAGGCAGCCTTTGGTAAGAGGCCCCGACAGAAGACCAACTGCGCCCCAGGCCCCTGCCCTGACCGGGGATCAAACCTGCGACCTTTCTCTCTGCAGCTAAGCCCAGCCCGCCACGCTCCAACGTGTCCTTTTCGTATCGCCATCAGTGGGCGTAGCGACAGCTGCTTGAGAAGAAACAGTCCAAAGAAGCGTCTGTTCGAAAAGGTCAAGGGAGACAGTCATCCCCGCGGCCAAGAGCCTCTCCGGCTACTGGCCAGCCCAGCTACTCGCAGGGAGCCGCCACCCCTGCGGTTCCTACCAGCCTCTACCTCCGGGGCCCCTAGACACCGACGGGAGCGCGCACGCCGCCCCCGCGCCCGGAAGGGGCCGCCGAGGGAAGTGACGGCGCGCCCCCGCCGCGGCGCGCTCCGGCCGGAAGTGAAGTCCGAGACCCGTGGCTGCGCGGCTTCGGCTGGGAGCGCGGGCTGCGGGGAGGCGGGCCGGGCGAGGCGGCACTGGCGACGGGGATTTGGCGGCTCAGCCCTCGCGTCGGAGCAGACCTCTGCGGTGCTCGCCCTTAGTGCGGCTCCAGCGCCCAAGCCATCCCGGGCCGGCGTGCGCTCGCCGTCCAGGCCCAGGCCGCCGCCGCGGCGCGGTGAGTGCGGGCGGGGCCCGCGCGGGGCGCGGCTGCCCGGCCGGAAGTGCGGCGCTTTGTGCAGCTGGCCTGGGGCGGCACCAAGGTCGAGCCCGCCGCCTGGGGTTCTGCGCCCCCGGGAAGGGACCGCGGGGCTGGGCGGGGTGGGGGAGGGGGCCTGGGGTGCAGGCAGGTGCGGAGCGGGCGGCGGGGCCGCTGCCCAGGTGGAGTCTGCACGAGCGCGTTCTCTCTGGGCCTCTAGGAGGCCGGAGTGCGAGCAGATCCGGAAAATGGATGCAAAACGGGGAAGCAGCGGATTGTGGTTCCCGTAACCCAGGTTTAGGTCCTGAGATTTTAACAATCTGATGTGTACACGATTCCCTTTGTCTGCCCACACGGTAAAGATTCTTTTGGTCTGGCAGAAACTTGGTGTTCGCCTTCCGGCGTGAAAGCCTTTCATGTTTTCTAAAGAAAGGACGTTTCGTGGCCCAGTCTGGGTCAACTTTGCTAAAGACAGGTGAAACATTTTCTCCTTGATAGTGTCTGTAAGTGCGCACTTAATGGATTGTATGAGTTGATGTTTAATTAAAGTCATACATAAAAATATCCTGGAGTGTCTTGGCACGCAAGAATTTTTTTTATCAAATATTTTATGACAATCCTGGCGGAGTTATCATTCTCATTCATTTCTTCAGCAAGACATTTTTTTAAATGCAAACGTTTGTCTAGTTCCCACTCCTAAAACTTTCTAGTCATCCTTGTGTATGTAATTTGAGGTTACTTTCTGAAATAGTATATGAAAAACTAGATTAAAAGTTTTTGGTGTTGGCTGTGGTAGGGGCACATTTTTAAATTTTAGTAAGTATAGATGTAGGGGATTACTTCTGCAGTGACAGCCAAGAACTGAACAATCCAAAGCTATTTTTCTCCAATGTTGAAGCTCCTGGGGTGCACATGGTGGAGATTTTATTTTTGTCCTGAGCTAGGCAGGCTGGCAACACGTGTTTGCAGACGCCACTTAGGTTTGGTCGTGGTGTGAAACTAAGGTCTCGTAGAGGTCCCCGAAGGCTGGCTTATGTATTTATTTTTAGTTTATATTTACTGTTGACACTTGCAGATGTCCCATTTCCCCGCCTTTGCCCACCTCCACCCAGCCCCGCCCCTGCCCCCTCTGGCCATCACCCCACTCTCTGCACTGGGTAATGCATTTAGGTTCCTCAGTTGACCCCCTCACCTTCCACCCAGCCCCCCTCCCCTCTGACAGCTGTCAGTTGCAGCCTGCTTCCTGCAGCCCCTGCCCCTGGCCGGGCGGGGAGGGGGGGCTGTGTTCTGCAGCAGTGGCTAGAAGGCCCAGCAGGGAGTGCCCCCTCTTCCTGCCCCCTGCCCATCAGAGTAGTGGGAGCATTGGGCACGTAGGCAGGGCGATGGCTCCGCCCACCACAGCTGCCACCTCTGCTGTCCTCCAGGCCACCTGCACTTGTGAGGGTTCTCGGTGAGTCCTCAGAAATAAGCCCCAGAGAGGAATCCGTCCACAGTGCCCAGACGTTGCCTTTTCCTGGCCCCGGGCAGGCCCATCGGTTCAGCCGGAGAGGGAGCTGCAACATGGCTTTCGTCGGTCCTGTTACCACATTTTCTCACTCACAGTTTTTTATTCATGAGGACTTGTTCATCACTTTAGGAAATACTTATCATTTTCCTCTGGGGAAGTGAAAGCGTTTTCAGGAAAGGTAACCTCCGGCTAGTTTGAAATTCGTGGTAGCTATTGAGCACTCAGGTGCAGTCCTGCAGGGGTCTAGTGGCACAGGCACGGCGCCTTCTTTACTGGGCCAGGCGACAGGCCAGGTCGCTGGGGAGGGCAGCCTGTGGGGCCCGTGCTTCCCAGCGTTCACAGCTGTTGGCCATGAGGGGTGGTGCTTTGCCCACACCCGTGCACACGTGTTTGTGGGGATGTCTGTTTCGCTTCCCCTGGGCAGTTTCCACCTGGGCATGGCGTGGCCAGGCCACCTGGTGACTTGTCCTCACCTGCTACACCAGTCCTGCGCTCCCCTGCCTACCAGGGGGCGTCTCCTGTCAGCTGCGAATTCCGGGGTTTCCATGGGGTGCTCCCACCCTGGCCCGGGTCTGAATGGCCACCTGCCGGTTCCCTGCAGGTTGCCTGGGCTCCACTTAGCCCTGTCGCCCGGTGTTCCCACAGGGCACCTTGCACTTTCTCATTTCTGTGGCTTTGGGGGATCTTCCCTGCTTTTAGAGCTTACTGGAAATACCTCCTCTGTGAATCAAGTTTTCCCTGGCCAGTCTCCCCATCTCCAGTCAACCCAGAGAACGCTGTTTTTTAAAGATTTTATTTATTTATTCATTCATTCACTTATTTACTTGTCAGAGAGAAGGGAAGGGAGGGAGAGAAACATCAGCGTGTGAGAGAGCCATGGATTCCTCTCGCATGCCCCCAGCCAGGAGCTTGGACCGCAGCCCAGGCGTGTGCCCTGACCCTCAGAGACCCGCTGGGCTGCCAGCCCCCTGAGCCACACCAGCCAGGGCTCGGAGCCCCTGCCCCGTCCCAGCACCACTTGGGTGCTGTCTCACAGCCCCCTGTCATCCGGAAGGGTCGCCGCCACCTGCAGGCAGGCGACTGCTCACCGGAAACGTACAGTAAGGAGTGGGGCCTTCCCTGTGCCAGCCACGCCGAAGAGCCTGGCGGCCGTCAGTGGCCACGGTGCGTGGGCAGAGCAGACACACCTCCGCCCCCACAGAAAGTTCTGTCGGCCGCACTTCTACAGACTGTAAGCCAGGCCCGGGGCTGGGACCTGCCTCTGGCTGTCTGCGTGGCCCTTGCACAGCGCTTCGCTCGGTTGGGCTTCGATTAAGAAAATAAGATTAGATCCTGGCGCAGAAGAGAGAAATGGGGTTTGGGGAAATAACTCACTTCTTGAGAGAGGTGGTAGTGGAACCAGAAAAGCAGGTGGAGTGTGTGAGGGGCCCTGCAGCTCCGCGGAAGACCCGCCAGCACCGGGTTCGGCGTGCGGGACGCCGGGTCGGCAGGTGCCGGCTCGCCGACTGAGCTGCTGTGGGGCGAAAACTCACAGTCTGTGCTGCCTGCCACACGCCCTCCCGGCCTCCTTCCCCTCCCGCCTCCTCCCTAGGCCTGCACTGCGTTGCGCAGTAGCCCCCAGCCACGTGTGAGTCCACCTAAGCGGAAATTAAATAGAACTAAAAACTCTGTCTTACGCTGGCCACCTTGTTGGGTGCCCAGCGCTCCTTGCAGCGCCGGCCGCTGGCCTGCACAGCATGGATGGGGGTCTGGGACAGTGCGGGCCAGACTGCCCTCCCAGCTCCGCTCGTCGACGGAGCGGCAGGTGCGGCGTCTGCCCCTGGTCCCTAAGGGTGAGAAACGGGCAGTTGTTCGGGCAGTGGGTGTCCCAGTCACCATGTCCCCCGTGCATTCCCGCTCCGGGTGGGACCTGCGGCGCGGGCCGAGGGTGTGACCGAGCACACTTCTGTGTGCTGAACCGCTGGGTCGTGAGCGTTGGCAGAGAGTCAGGCGAGCCGCGTGTTGTGGTTTGGCTTCACGATGGAGTTCGATGTCTAGAGTTTCGAGGCGCACGGGGTTGCATCCGACCGGTGCCAGGCGCCTGCCTGCAGGGGCCTGCACTCTAGTGGGGGGTGTGGGGGGAGCGCGAAACCAGTGAGTGCCCGTGGGTTGTACGTGTTTTTCTTTCTAAAACAGACCTTGCCTTCGAGAGCAGTTTCAGGGTCACGGCAAAATCAAGCCAAAGCAGAGTCCAGGGCACTGCCTGCTGCCCGCCGCGCGCCCCACCGGGGCCGTGCCTGCTGCTCGGCTCAGGGAGCCTCAGTCGTCACCGCCACACGGCCAGGGCGGCTCCCTGGGCGAGGACCCCGAGGGGTCTGCGTCAGGAGCACCCTGCAGACACCAGGGATAGCGCTCCCTTGGAGGAGCTTGCTGGGGTGTCAGGTTACCGTTTCCGCTGGGGAATGGTGAGACCCTGGTGGTGGCTGAGCAAGTTCTGGACCGTTTTAGGGAGAAAGGATTGCGGACGACAGAACGTCCAGGGCTAGCAACGTTGCTAGACTATAGTTAACTTGTCTTTCAGAAAACATTGTTTAACAGAAGCTATTTACGAAATAAGGAAAAGTGCAAAAGGAACACTAAACACCCACCCCTCTAGGGACAGGCCCTCTTTGTGTCTTTACTTACTCCTAGATGGTTTTCTTTCTTTTTTTATAGGGTTCTGTGACTCACATTGGAAAGAGGGCGGGAGAGGGGAGAGAGAGTGCATCCCTTGGTTGCCTCCCACTCATGCCCGGACCTGGGATTGAACCCACAGCTCTGGCCTGTGCCCTGACCGGGAAGTGCATCTGCAGCCGTTGTGTGCGGGACGCTCCCACCCGGCCAGGGCCAGGGCGCTTTTCTTCGTTTCCTTAGCTTCTGCCCGGTCGACACAGCGTGGAGGGAAGTCCCCGAAGCCCCGTCGGTGCCCGGCAGGGCCTCCCGTCGCCTCCTGGTCGGGGGTGGTTGGCCGCGGCTGAGGGGCCTGGTTTACTGGGAGGAGAGGCTGGTGCTGGAGGGGGCCGGAGGTCAGGGCGCGGGACTGACCCCTCTCCTTCCCTGTGCAGCTCCGGGAGTCATGAATCCTGTGTACAGCCCTGGCTCCTCCGGGCTCCCCTATGCCAGCGCTAAAGGAGTCGGCTACCCAGGTGAGCGTGCGCAGTCCGTCCTCACGACGGGACCGGGCACCGGGTGGAGGCCCACACCGCCCAGAGCCCGAGCTGACACGCCCCGGCCTGGGCGGCCAGCTGAGGAGGGGGTGTGCCGGCTCGAGGAGCCGGGACGTCCAGGGCTCCGGGGGCTGCGGTGGTCTGGGGCGAGGGACGAGACATAGCCTGTCCTACACAGGTTCATGTGGTGGGACAGGCAACTTGAAAACCCTGTTGGGTAAAAAAAAAATAAATAAAACCCTAGAAAGTTGAGTAAAATGCTTAAAATGTACACATACCTGAATTTGCAAGGACAGAAGAGACGTGTCCACAGCTACAGAGGAAGGTGGGGGGAACCAGTGCACTTGGCGGTGAACAGACCCCGTGCCTGTCCTGGGGCCCGGATGCAGAGGGGGGCCTGTGGGGCTGGGGCTGGAGGCGGGGCTCCCGTCCGTGGGTCCTTTCGAGGGGCACAGACACCCAGGGAGAAGGGGCTGAAGCACCCCGTTCCTGGCCCAGGAGGGAGCCAGTCTCTCCTCCCGGCTGGGCTGCAGGTGCGTCTCTGGAGCCGAGGTGCGGGAGCGGCCACCTGCGTGCGCTCTGGGGGCCATTTCACACCCGCCCACGGGGCTGGCTTTGGTCTTTGTTGAGTCTTCCCAGACACCGCCTGCCGCCAGACCGCCTCTGGGGGCGGGGTTCCTCCTGGGACACTGCCCCTCTCGTGTGCTGTTCCGTTTGTGCTCCCCGGAGCCAGCGGGGGCTGTGGCGCAGCTTTCTGGGGGCTGCTCGTTCCTGCTGGTGAAGGTCAGGCTGCTGGCAGGGGGCGTGCGGTGCGCACCCACCTGTAGCCCAGCAGAGGCCCCTGGCACGCAGCGCCCTCCGCGCCCCGTGGCTGGGAATGAATCGCGGGCTGAGCATCGAGAGTCAACCCGCCAGAGAACTGGAGTTGTGGGACTTATGCCTGGGTGTCGGGGGGTTGTTTTTGTTTCGGGGTGTTTTTTGCATTCCAGCTCAGTTCAGCTGCGGCTGGGAAAAGCCCTGGCTGATAGGGAAAGGCGAGGTCAGGGCTGGGGCGCCTCACGCTTCCGAGGGGAGGCGGCCACCGCAGATACTCCGCTGGCCTCTGGTACTCGGCCCGGCGTCCTGGTGACGCAGGCGAGGAGACCGCCCCGGCCCGTGTGGAGTCCCGCGCGTCCCCGGCAGTGACGCGCGCTGTCCTGTGTCTCTCTGCAGCCGGCTTCCCCATGGGCTACGCAGCGGCGGCTCCTGCCTACTCCCCCAGCGTGTACCCCGGGGCGAGCCCGGCCTTCCAGACAGGTACGCAGATCGCGTGCTGGGCGGGCGTCCCTGCGGCGGGGACGGGGAGGGGAGGGGTGGGGTGTGCTGAGAAGACAGGCCACAGAATGGGGGTGTGGGGCTGCCGTCTGGCTCAGGAGCTTGGCCTTGCTGGTACTTAGGGAGAGACACGGGGCACGCCGAGGCCGGGGCCGGGGCCGCACTGTGTGCGAGGTGGTAGGGAGCCTGGCGCCTGAGCAGGGCGGGCCGTGCGTTCTGAGAAGCCACCGGAGAGGAGGACTTCGGATGGGCCCGCGAGTTGGGCGGGGCCAGCGGCGCGAGCCGGGCTGGTGGAGGCGCAGACTGGGCTTCCGCCTGCGCCTGCACGTCCAGCCGGACCCCGGGCAGCGCCAGGTGGTGGTCTGGGGTGCGCTGTGACTCGGACGTGTTTGAGGGGCTCCGGGCTCCGAGCCCCCTGCACTGCCTCTGGACTGGAAGCCCACGCCTACGTCCTCGAAGCAGACGGCTGGAAGCGAGGGGGCGGGGCCGAGGGCGTGCTGGTGTACGGAGTGCCGCGCGTCCCGCCCCCGAGAGGCCAGCCGGGCTGTGTTTTATCAGGACTCTGGGGGCGCCCTTTCAGTGCAGCTTTTCCCTTCGTTCTGCTTTTCCTTCTGCACACGCCTTCTCGCACCTGAAGTCTGCGGCCTGGAGTCAGACCCGGGGCGGGGGGGGCGGACACGGATGGCCCTCGGGGCTGCTCCCTGTGCCTGGCGAGGGTGCAGGTGTGTGGTGAGACCACCAGGCTCCTTCGTTTCAGGCTACGCCCCTGGCACGCCGTACAAAGTGTCCTGCTCCCCCACCAGCGGGGCGGTGCCGCCCTACTCCTCCTCCCCCGCCCCCTACCAGACGGCGGTGTACCCCGTGCGGAGCGCCTACCCCCAGCAGAGCCCCTACGCACAGGTAGGCAAGGGCGCCCTGTGGGCGCGGCGGGGTCAGTTCCCGGGCTCCGGCCCGAGGTGCGCCCTGCTCAAGTGTCTCCCCTCCCCCTCCCGCAGCAGGGCGCCTTCTACACCCAGCCCCTGTACGCGGCGCCCCCGCACGTCATCCACCACACCACTGTGGTGCAGCCCAACGGCATGCCGGCGACCGTGTACCCTGCGCCCATCCCTCCTCCGCGAGGCAGCGGGGTCGCCATGGGCATGGTGGCCGGGACCACGATGGCCATGTCAGCAGGTGAGTCCGCCCGGTGTCCGGTGCGAGTGCGCAGGGAGGGGCCAGCCCGCTGCTGCCCCCGCCCTGGGCCTTGGTCTCCCGTGTCTGGACGGGTGTGCAGGGACCTGCTCTTCGGAGAAGGAACTGCCTCTTCCCTCTTTCTTTCCTTCCCTCCCTCCCTCCCTCCGTGAAGTAGGGAGGGGGTGGGGTGGGGGTGGTCACAGGGCCGGCGGCGGGGCTCCAGCCGTGAGAGCCGCTGGGCAGCGGGCGGAGCCTGTGCGGAAGGGACCGGCGTTCTGCGGGGCGAGCCCCGGGGTGCCTGCCCCTGGGACGGGCTGCCTCGCAGGCAGGTCACAGGTCCAGAAGAGCCGGCCTGTGTCCCAGAGAGGACAGCCACCTGCGGAGAGACCCTGCAGCGTGTTCATCAACGTCACTCCCCAGGGAGAGCGGACCCCCGGCAGATGAGAGCCCCTCCAGGGGCGGGGAGCTCCCCGGGGCGGGGCCGGTGCACCGTGCACTTGGGTGGCCGTGGCTGGGAGAGTCCTAGAAAATACTCTTCCCTCTGTCTGTCACACGTTACTCGAATGAGGACGATCACGCCAGAGAGGAAGGTGCTTCTGCTTTCTCGTTGCTTTCCCCGCGCTCATCTCGGAAAGCAGAGGTGCCTGCGGCACAGATGGGCAGTGCGCTGGGGCGGCCGGGAGGGAGGAGGTGCCCGGTGCGGCCCGTCTGTTTGCCCGGTGCTTGTCTGTCGGCGGACTCGGGTCACTGCCCACTTCCCTGCGGGCTTCGGGAGAAGCGCGCTTGTCTCGGTGCGCTCGCGCGCTTCAGCAGCTCGGGCTCTCCCTCCACCCTCTTCCCGCCCCTCGGTGTCGCGCCGGCTGTCTGTGTGCGCGGCTCAGTCCTGTGGTGTGCGCTCTCGCCGTCCAGGAGCCGCTGCGGGACTTTCCTGTGCAGACCCGAGGAAGCTCCGCCCCTGCACACCTCCCTGTCCCTGCCCCCTGACTGCTGGTCTTTCTGTGGCGGGCCTTTTCACTGCCCGTAATGCCCTTGGGGATCATACATGTTGTAGCATGTGGTGGGGTGCTTTTTTTTTCTTCTCTTCTCGATTGTATTAATTTATTTTAGACACAGGGGAAGGGAGGGAGAAAGAGGGAGGGAAACATTAATGTGTGGTTGTTCTCACACGCCCCCTACTGGGGACCTGGCCTGCAACCCAGGCGTGTGCCCTGACTGGGAATGGAACCAGCAACATTTCAGTTCACAGGCCGGCGCTCAGTCCACTGAGCCACACCAGCCAGGGCAAATTGCTTTCTTTCTTAAGGCTGAAGGTAATACTTTTTATTTTGTCGTTTATCATTGCATCTGAAAAACAACTGAGCGTGCTGGCCTGAGGTTTCCACAAGGGCACCGTGCACATGCCCGCGGGGCCCTGCCCGCCACGGACACGCTGCTCTTCTTTCCAGGTACCCTGCTAACGGCCCACTCTCCGACTCCCGTCGCCCCTCACCCAGTCACCGTGCCCACGTACCGGGGTCCAGGAACGCCCACCTACAGCTACGTGCCCCCGCAGTGGTGATCGCCGCGCATGTAAGTGACCGGCGAGGCCTGGGCTGGCTCTTGACTCCAGTGTCCTCCCCTGTGGAGCACGGCAGGTCTGCCGTCCTGTGAGCTCTCTCGAGGAAAATGCTCCCCAACTCCTAACCCGAGGGCAGTGCAGCGTTTACCTGTGTGTTCCTGCCGGGCTCGCACGGGCAGGAGGAAGATGACGCCGCGAGTCCCTGCTGCACGCACTGCGTGCGCGCGCCTGCCCCTCCCCGGCCCCTGGGGGGTCTCGGCCTCCGCGGGTGGGCACGCCTCCTGTCCCGGACAGCATGCAGGGCGCCCGTGACCCCGTCTCCCGCCGCCCCCAGGTGCAGGACGGAGCTGGGCGCCGCGTCTTGGATGCCCCGCCACCGGTGCTGCAGGCCTCACGCCTCCACCAGGACTCGCTCCTTCTGCTCTCGACAGATGCTCGCTGGACGCATCCGGCCGGCCCCGCGGCCTCAGCCCCTCGGCTCCAGCTGACTGTGGGCGGGCCCTGGAGCAGACCCTGTCTGAGGCTGCCTGGTGACTTTTTTAGCTAACTGTAACGATACAAAGGGGGTGTTAACGTATTCTGAAACCATATCTAGTTGAATGCATGTTTAAAAACACAAAGCTTGCTCAAACTACCTGCTGTGACTGGCGCAGAGCCCGAGGACCGGGGGCCGCACTGCACTCGTCCCTGACGCGTGTTGTGTGTGCGACCTCATGGTCAGGAGTGTCGCAGCGCGTGTCTTCACGGGGCATCTGGCATCTCCTAGGTGACGCTTCAGCCTTTGGGGGCCATGTGGTTGCTGGTTGGGAACACGACGTCGGAGTCTTGGCCACCTGTGTCTTTCCCACTGGCTGCCCGGGCTCAGCCGCTGGGTCGGGGCACGGAGGGCAGGGGCGGCCAGGTCCGGGGGCTCCCCGCCTTCCCGCTGAGGCCCGCGGGGCTGGTGCGATGTGGACGTTCTTAGCACACGAGCACGAACGGCTGGCTTGTGTGGCCGGGACACGCAGGGGCCAGCGGCAGTGTGCCCGCCCGCGGAGCGGCGGCGTCTGGGCTGCTGTGCGCGTTCCCGCTGCGGGTCCTGCCGACGCCGGCGCGGCCGTGCGTGTCCCCGAGGGGCAGGCCTGTGCGGGGTTACGTAACTCTCCTGGGCGGAGAGGCGGGTGAAAGAAACAGGCGTGCTTGGAGGGGGTGGTGTTCTCTTCTTGATTTGGCTTAGAAATTGTCTGTCTCCTCTCCACCGAGAGCCCCCCCCCCGCCCCCAAAACCCTGTGGGCGTGGCTCCCCGTGGGCGTGGCTGTTCTCCCCCCACGTGGACTGCCGAGCCCTCGGGAAGCGGAGCAGACCTTGATGTGAGGCGCATCGCCTGCTGTCGCAAACCGGGCGGTTGCCGTGTGTGGGCCGTGCCCCTGGTGGGGGCTCACCCTCGGAGACCCTCTGTGGCGGGCGTGGGAGGCGCAGGGACAGAGGCCTGCGGTCTGCGGCCTCCTGCCGTTTCCCCAGCCACCGAGGGTGCTCGGCACCCAGCAGGGGAGGGCGTGGGCCGGGCAGCGCCGGGCGCTTCTGCCTGCCTGCAGGGTCCCTTAGGGAGAGGGTTTCGTGGTTCGCACATGAATGTTGTACATAAGAAACCAAGGTTTTTTTGTTTTGTTTTGTTTTTGCCTAAATGGGCTCACCTTGTTTTGATGGGAGTGAGTCTGTTCTCCGAGAATGTCAGAGGGAGTGCCAGGAAGGTGGGGGTGCCCCTGGTGTCCCCCTCTTTGTTCCAAGCGCTGGGTGCTCTGGCTGGGGGGGCCTTCTTTCCTGGCGTCTCGGCCAGTGGGCCAGGGCTCGGGCTCTGGGTTTGAGTTCAGACTGGGAGGGGGACCCCTCCCCCCTGAGCCGTGGGTAAACTTATTTTTTATAGCAACTATTCTTTATAATGTTTTCTCACCTTTTATTTTATACGAAGTTTAGGGATATTTTTGCATGAATCATCGTAAAGAAAAATTCCTTATTTCTGATGTCTGTTAACATAGTGTGTTTACTGATAAGTACTTTAAATTGCTTCATGAGCACTTCACCCGTGTGCATGTGCACGCACACGCGTGTGCACTTCTGACCTCTGTGTTGTGATCCGTCTGTGGGTGGGTGGTCTGTCAGTAGGTGCCGAGGGCCCCAGGGGCCGAGCTGACCAAGTAAGTGGTGGAGAACTCGGTCTCTTGGGTCTCGTGCAGCAGAGAGGAGAAGCTTTGGAGATGCTCCTGACAGCCCCGGACAGCAGGGCCTCCCCGGTCTGGGGGGGGGGCTCAGGCTGCACCGAGCCCCCCGTGCCGAGGGACACACCTTTCGGGTGGGAGTGGCAGGGTCTCCGCGCTCGGGCAGGACGGGAAAGGGGTCTCGGCCCACAGGTGCGGTCTGGAGGGGGGGCCGGCAGGTGCCCGGGGGTGGCTGGCAGCGTCTTGGGCTCCTGGTGGTGACGTGAACTCAGAGCAGAAGTCCTGTTAACAGGCTGGCTGGGCTGGGGTCCAAGCATAGTCGTGGAGCATGGAGAGAAGTTCTGTCTTCCGGTTTTTTCCGTACATGACATTCCTCATGCGAGAGTCTTGCGGGCGAAGGGCGTGCTCCCGGTGGCGGGTGCTCGGTGTCTCGGTGCTCTGCGCCTGCTCATGGCCTCTTCCCCGCGGTGTCTCTGCCGGCCTCGCAGGAGGCTCTGGGTGGGGCCCTTGAGTTGGCCGCCTGAAGACACAGTGGGGGGGGGGTGCCTGCCCTTTGGAAAAGTGCCACCTGGACCAGTTAGGCCACCTCCCCCGACCCGGCCTCGGGCGCCCCAGTCATTGCGGCCAGAGCATTGCCCAGACGGGACGGGACCCTGTCGGACACCTTTGGGGGCAGGGCCTGTGGTGGGGGCAACTTCCGCCGCTTCTCCGGTGCTCTCCGAGGTGAGGGTGTCTGCAGAGCAGAGTGCAGTGGGCTCCTGGTCACCTCTCACATGTGCATGTGCTCACACCCCTGTCCCTGGGCTTCCTGCAGGGGCTGCCCGCCCGGGGGGTGGTGGCCTACAGGCCACACACTCCAGAGGGCCTGCCTGGTCCTTCAGGTAGAAAGTGGCCAAAGGGATCTTCCACGGGTCAGAGGACCGGCCCTTCTCCACCCTCTTGGTTTGAAGAACGAGAAGCCCGTGGCGTCCCTTCCCAGGGCCCCCGGGACTGCAGTCAGCTCGCTGGGGACGGGGTCGGAGCAGAGAGGGACAGGGCCCCCGGGGAGCTGGAGCCGTGGGCGGGTGTCCTGCAGGTGTCCTGCAGGGCGTGCGCGTCGGAGGTGAGGGGCAGCTCCGGCCAGCGCCCGGCAGGGCTGCTCTGACAACCCCCTGGAGGACAGACTGGCTGGGAAGTGGTTTATTTAAAAAAAATTTTAAATGATTTTTAAATACTGTTTTTTAGATTGTTCTCTTAGTACATTTTTAAGCTTAAGCCGGCATCGTCTTCCAGTGTTAACGCACCCTCACCCCGCGCGGAGCGTGGGCGGCCGCCAGCGCCAGCCCTGCCGTGTGTGGACTCACGCTGTTCCGTGGTGTGTGCAGCCTACGCGTAGGTGAGCTCCGGCGTGGAGCTGTTGAAAGCACGTTTACTGTACGAGAGCTATGTACTAACACTGCGGTTTCCAATAAAGATTGACTTGTGTCGCGTCTCGGCCCCCTCGTCTCTCTCTCTGTGGGGGTGTGTCCGGGCGGGCGCTGGCGTCGCTGCTCGGGAGCACGGACGCCCCGGGGTTCCGACAGCAGCCCTTGTGCTCTGCTGCCGCCTCCCCCCAGCCACGCGCCCTTGGCCTCGGCTGTGTGGGAACCAGTGCCCCATGGGAGCAGTAGGATGGCTGCCCCGGCGCTCTCCTGGCCCTGCGGCCCTGCTCCTCCCGGGAAGACACCTCACCAGCCCAGAGAGCTCAGCCTGCCCTCCCCCAGACCTGCCTGCCACCTGCAGCCACACCCACCCCAGACTCGGCCCCCGGGGGGGGGGGGGCAGGGAAGCTTACCACCCCAACCTGTGCAGCTCTCCACCAAAGCCCTGAGGCGCACACCCCCCAACCTCTGGGTGCCCCTGGGGCAGGGACATGGACGGGAGGGGGAAGGGCGCAGACCCCAACAGAAGAGGCAGGCTGCAGCCAGGGGCGTCTCCATGAGTTTCTTTATGAAACTAAATGTGGGTTCGGGCGGGGGGAGGCACAGGAGTACGAGCGACCGTCGGCTGCTGCGGGGGGCCGGGCGGGGGCTCTGGGCGGGCAGGCCAGCAGTGGGCCCAGGCACTCTGTCCTCACGGCTTCCCACGCTCCCCCGGGGTAAGGCCACCGTCCTGTGTCACCGTCCTGTGTCACCGTCCTGTGTCACCGTCCGTTCTCCTGCGTCACCACAAAAGCAGGGTCCCCGCAAACAGCAGAACCAAGTTCTGGAGTCGGCACACAGCCATCCGCGGGTGCTCCCGACAGTGTTCGCTGCTGGCGCCAAACCAGGGGAGGGGGCCTGGGGGCCAGACAGGCGGGCTCGGGGCTCCTCCTGCCCGGAGGGACCAGGAGGAGGAGGCGTGAGGAGAGTCCGGAGCAGAGGGCCCAGGGGCGGGTCCTCTCATGCGTCAGCCCGGCCTGGGGGGCGGATCCTGGGCCGGGGCCCCGCCCCTCCAGCTGGAGTCTCCTGTGCGTCCGTCGAGGGGGCGGGGCCTAGTGTGTCCCGAGGCACGAGCCTCTCCCACGCTCAGCCCTGCTCACTGGCGGTTTGCAGGCCGGGCAAAGGCCCAGGGGTGGGGAGGGCCGGGGGCAGCTGGCGGAGCGGAGCGGGTCCAGACAGCGCGGCCAGGGGCGCGGTCTCACTTGCGGAAGGGGGCCAGCCGGCTGATGCTGTGCCAGAAGGTGGACGGCTTCCGCTTGGGCTCGGCCAGCACCAGGGCCTGCTGCCGGGGCGGTCTGGTGGGCAGCGCCAGGGGCTTCTGGCGCGTCAGGTAGTAGGGCCGGCCGAGGGCTAGGCAGGAAGGCAGCAGGGTTACACGGGCTCCTGGGGCGGAGCGGGGGCGGGGGGCAGCGGGCATGGAGCTGTGGGGGCAGGGGGGTTGGCAGCTGCAGGGCAGGCCGCCGGGGGCGGGGCAGCTCACCCTGTCCTTGTGAGGTGGCCAGGGCATGAGTCTGGCTGCACGCGGACACACGTTCCACCCCCGGGGCCCCTTGCCAGCCCCTGTGGGAGCAGACACCTGCAGGGGCAGCAGCCACTGGGACCCGAGCCCCTCGGGCTTTGCTCTAGGGCCAGACGAGGTGCCGCCGCGAGGAGGGTGGGGGCGGCACCAGTGCCTGCTCACCTTTGGGCTTCCCAGCCGCCTGCAGCTTGCTGGCCTTCAGCATGGCCTGCTTCCTCTGCCCCTCGGTGATGGAGAAGCCTAGGGGGCGGGGAGGACGGCCCGATGAGCTGCCTGCCGCCCTCCCCGCCTGGGCTTCCCGGCTGGTGGAGCCCGCGTGCGCCCTGCCTGCCTCGAGCTGCTCCGGGGCTCAGCGCCCTGCGAGGCCCACTGGCCTTGGCTGCAGGCGGCCGTGGGAACCCCTAGTGCCCCTCGGGGCCTCATCTTTCCTGCCCCCCCCCGCCCTTGTCCTTCCCCGGGTCCCCGGCACGGTCAGTGTCCTCGCTCCCCACTGTGGAGGCTGTGGGGCACATGCACAGGACGGGGACACCTGCTCACGTGGGCTTTGCAGGCCGGTGCCGCCTCCGCCCGCATTCCCCCAGGGCTTGTGCTGGGAAGGGGACCCCACATCCGTGCCCCCGACTGCACTGGGTGTGCGCGTGTACGGTGTAAACAGCCCCACAAAAGGCCAGCAGGCCCACGCCCTGGGGCTGAAACCGAGGGTTACTCTGCAGCCTCACAAACCGTGAGGCTCTGGGGCCGCAGGACACGCCGGCGGTGCCTGAGGGACAGCGAGGAGGCCCGGCCGCGGTGGGCGGGGCCGCCCGGGGCTCGCACCTGTCTCCTGGTCCAGCCGCACCTGCTCCCGCTCCCGGGCAAAGGCCTGCAGCCAGCGCTGCTTCTGCTCAGGCTTCCGGGCGCACAGCAGGAGGCTCTCGCCCGTGGGGCCGCAGCGCAGCCGGAAGGCGTGCTTGACGCTCACGTGAAGGTCCCTGTCCTTGCAGTCCCCCACGTCCACCACCTCCAGGCCCTCCAGGTCCACCCGGCCCTTGTAGTACAGCACGTCCCGGCGGAGAAGGTCCTGCGGAGATGGCGGGAGCCGCTGGGCAGCCTGCCCCTCCTCTGCCCCGGACCTGGAAGGGCCGTGGGCCTCCCCCCACAAGCTCACAAGGGCAGAGCGGCTGGTGCGGCCCAGCTGTGCGCTGGGCCATGAGGAGCCGCTCACCACCTTCACCAGCTTACCAGCCGGCCTGGGGCCCTCCGTCCGAGGGTGCCTGCAGGCTCGTGGGGAAGCAGTGTGGCTGCAGGCGTGGGCCGGGGCCCAGCCCGCCCGGCACAGGAGAGCCCCGGGGAGACCTGGGCTCCCCAACCGGGCCAATGGGCAGAGTTTGGAGAGAGGGATAAGCAGCCACACAGAGGTGCTGGAGCAGAGCACCCGGGGCTCGGGGTGGTGGAGCCAGGAGACAGGGTGTTCTCCACAGCACGGGCCCTGGTCAGGCTGGGAGGGCCCCACGGTCCCCGGGCCGCCCTCACCCTGGCCTGCAGAGCGGCCAGGACCCCGGGGACCGGGGTGCCCCTGTGTGGGGCTCTGCTCTGGCAGCCGCTTCCAGCCCACAGGCCCCTGCTCCCCGGCAGGGAGAGCGGGTCGGCACCTTCTTGCAGTAGACGAGCTGGTGGTCGAAGAGGAAGAACATCCTCTGCTGGCTCCTGGCTTGGGGCTGTGAGACCAGCGTCAGCTCCCCCGAGTGGATGAGCTCCGAGCTCCGGACCAGGAGGTCTTCCCCCTGGGGGCCCACGGACAGCCAGGGCTCAGCGCCTCCACACGGGGCCGGGAGGAGGGAACGGGGCCCCTCGGCGTGAGCTGTGAAGCGTGGCCGACCCTGGGGAGGCGTCGGTGAGACGCACTCGGACACGGGGCACGCGGGACGGGACAGAACGCGAGACGTCCCACTGACGACGTTTTCACTGACAACGCGCCGAGCTGAGATTCCAGGTGTCACTCAGACGGAACGGCCGCGTCGGCCCCAGGGGCCACGCTTCCTCTCCGGGGTAGCTGCCGGGGCACACAGACCTCCCGGGGTGCCCGGGGCCTTGGGCTGGCCGACGCCGCCCTCCAGAGCAGTCAGACGTATATAAAGGGACACCCCCCACCCCCACCCCTGCTGAGGACGGCCTCACAGGGAGGGGCCTCTTTGGAAGACCTCCGTCCTTCCCCTAACTTCAGTGTCCGAAGTCCCACCACAGACTTCGAGCTTGCCCCTTTCGGGGTCCCCCGGGAGCAAGTTTGTTGGGGTCCTCAGCCAGGACTGGCTTCAGAACCAACCTCCAGAAAAACAGAAAACAACAAAATAAAACCCGCAGGGGTTCCAGCTGTTTCTAGGGTGGGGCCCAGGAAGCTGTCTTTTTGTACCATCTCATGGCTGGTGGGTGGGGGTCGAGAAGGGACAGGAATGTCACTGTTAGTCCAGGCCTCTGTGGCGTGGGCGGGTCCAGGGGACCGTGCAAGCCAGAGGAACGGAGTGGGGGCTCTGACGGGCGGGGACCTGTTTTTGCTGATGCCGTGCCCGACCCGAACCCTTCTGTTGGGAGTCCCCAGACCCGGGGGTCTGGCCTGTCCCCTGAGAGCAGAACAGCAGCCCCCTGACGGGTGGTGGGCCACACTCAGGGAGCCGTGTCCTGCTTCACTCCCGCGGGGGCACCGGCACCCGCTCGCCCCCACCGGGCCTGCCCACTGGGTGGCGGTGGCAGCAAGGGCTGGGGGTGCTCAGGTGCGCCACCTGGGTCCCGTCGGCTTCCCCGCCCCCAGCTCTAGGAGCGCGGCCCCTCCCAAGGTTTCCAGGAGCCAGTGGGCTGTGAAGCGCGGGGCCCTCACCTCCCAGCCCTCCACGGCGCTCTGCCACTGGGCGATCTTGTCCACGTTCTCAAGCCTGCGTTTCCGCTCGTTGATGAGCCGGGCCACCTTCTTCATGGCGTCCAAGGCGGCTTCCACGTCTTTGAAGTCCCTGCAGCGGCGGAGCCGACGCGCTGCAGCGCCAGGAGGGCCGGGAGCCTCCCGGGGCCCCACGTGAAGCGGCGTCCCCAGGGCTGGAGCACCCGTCACCCCGGGGGCCCCACAGGCAGAACGGGTCCCCCCTCGCGCCAGCCCCAGCCGGTGAGAGCAGGGAGGGCCTCCCTGACCGCCGTCCAGCGCCCGCAGCGGCAACCCGCACAGCCGCCCGCCCGCCCACACACCCGGGCGGCCCCTACCGATGCTGGGGGTGCGTGTACTTGAGCAGCTCGGCCAGCTGCAGCGGGTACTGGCAGATCTTCTGCACCGGCGTCAGCAGGAAGCCGTCCAGCGAGATGTCGATCATCCTCTGCAGCAGCCGGCAGGCCTCGAAGAAGTAGGTGTACTTGCTGAGCCTGGCGAGCCGCGAGAGCTCCAGGCAGGCGCTGGGGTGGTTGTTGCAGTAGTCGGAGTAGATCTGGAAGTGTGCTTGCTGGGGACACAGCGGGCGGTCAGGGGGCTGCCCCGCCGCACTGCCTGCAACGCCCCCCACCCACCCCCACTCGTGGGCCACCACGGGCTTCGATGGCACGCAGACAGACACGGGGTCCAGGCCCCTTGTGGGGGTGACGCGGTGGTGCTGGTGAGGACGGCACAAGGGGGGGTGAAGGGATTACGTGGGTGCCAGGGCCCACTCCCCGCCCAGTGTCCTGCTCCTTCCTCTCAGGGCCCCCCCGCCTTCCTTCTCTCTTCAACCTTCGTCTTCCTGGGGCCAGAGGGAAGCCGGGCCGGCCACGTGGTGAGTGGCCCGTGACTTCCTGGACTTAGGTGGTCATGGAGGGTGACAGCCACTGTGGTGCTCACACCAGGTGCGTCGGTGGAGAGCCCGTGCCCACTGCTCAGGGACGGGCCCCAAAGCTGCCCGCACTCAGGCACCCAGGACCGCCCCCCCATGTGCTCCTGCAGGTGCCCAGACCAGGCCACCCCCGTTCTGCCGCGGGAGGGAGGTGGCGGGGCCTTCCCAGCGCCCCACGGGGTGTAGTCAGGAAGGAGCCCACGGTGTCCGACCCACCACGATCACAGGACCGGGTACAGCCTGTGTTTCCTTACTGGGCGGGGTGGGGGGTGTCCCTCTCACCCGGACCGGCCAGGAGACCTCAGCTACTTGCCAGCTGGCGTTGGCCCAGAGGGAAGCACTGAACCACACACGCGGAAACCCCTGAACTCGCTCAGAACAAACAGCCCGGAGTCGCTCCACAGCCAGCCAGCCTGCCTCCCTTCCTCCCTCTGCCAGGAGGAAAGCCCCGGGAGATCTCAGGCCCCCTGCTCCAAGGGGCCTTCTGGGCCGTGGTCTGCCCCCCAAAACCAGCGACACTTCTCAGTGTTGAAGGGTGAGGACCTTTGGGCAGGCGAGGGAGCGGGACCTGGAAGCTTCCTGGAAAGGGGGGGGCCCCCCTGATTCCCGGCGGCAGGGGGCGGGGCGGGCTCACGTGCTCCAGGAAGCAGGCGCCCAGCTCGCTCAGGTGCGGGCGCTCCCGGTCGAACCTCCGCTCCAGCGCCTGCACGAAGGCCGAGTGGTACCGGTAGATGTCCTCGATGTTCCCGAAGATGGTGCGCAGCTGCTCCTCGCTGAACATGTCGGCGCGCTTGCGACACTGCCTGAGGTAGCCCTGGGGGCGGGGGCGGGTCAGGTCCCCTCCGGCCCCGCTGCGCCCCGCCGTGCCCGCACCGCGCATGTGCGCGCGCGCGCCCCGCCTCACCTCGCAGATGTCGCGCAGGTGCTTGATGTAGTCGCGCTCTGTGCTGAGGATCTCCCGGATGACGTTGGTGCGCATCTGGTCCCTGCTGCTGCTCTGCGCGCCCGCCCCGCCGTCCTCTGCCCCGCCGGCCCCGGGCCGCAGCGCCTCCTCGTCCGAGGGCTCGTCCTGGTTCACACGCAGCTGCAGGCGAGGCTGACGGTCAGCACCCCGCGGGCCTGGGCTCCCCTCGCACCACTCTGACCAGCGCTGCGGACGCAGCCCCCGCGACCCGGCCGCGATCGGCCTGCTGGGACCAGCCTTCTGTGTGGGAAGCCCGCCCGCCCCGCCGGGCACAGGGCTGCGGACACTTTCTGAGCCAGCCGCGCCTGTTCCTCTGGGCTCTGGGGACCCGCGGGAAGTGGACAGTGACCGGCGCTGCCAGCCTTCAGACCCTAACTGAGACAGGCCTGGGGTACAGGGCGGGCGGTTCAGGGAGTCTGGGGGCTCCGCTCCCTACCGCCAGGCCTGGCCCTCTGGAGCCTGCCCTGGACTCCTGCCGTGGACACCAGGGGGCCCCACGGCGGGGCCCTGTGAACTGGGGGCCACGGACTTCACTCGTCCATGCTCCACGCCTCGGCGTCGGCTCCAGGGCTGCCGTGACCGTGCACCCAGTGGGCCCGGCAGGGCGCCCCCCGCCCCCGGGTGCTTCCGGAAACGCCTGCTCACCGAAGGTGGAGGTGTTGGACTGGCGGGCAGGCTCCCCACGGAGGGGCCCCCCCACCTCCCGTCTGACCTGTGCCTCTCCTGCTGCTGGGGCCCCGGCGGGAGGTGGGAGGTGGGGGGAGGCCTGTCCCAGCTGCCTGCCTGGCTGTCCGGACCCCCACCCGGCGGGCCCGCTGCCCACAGCCCCGAGCGGACGGTCCGTGGTGCCCAACGCCACGGCAGCTCCTGAGCAGGACCAGCGGCTGTCGGGGGCCGTACCCGCACGAAGCCGGCCGGAAACCAGCCCTCGCCGTCGGCCCCGCGGCCCCACCACCACTCCCTGTTGGTGGCGTCCATCACTTCCACGACGTCCCCAGCCTTGAAGCCCAGCTCCTGGTCGTCCATGGTGACGTGGTCCCAGAGCGCTTCTGCGCAGACCACACCGCCATCGCTGATGAGCTGCGGGGAGAGCCAGGGACGGCCGGTCAGCGGGGCAAGGCTGCCCTGCCCTCTGCCCTCTGCACCCCACCCCTCAGCAGCCCCATGAAGGGGGGATCCCCCTGAGCCGGCGCTGTCTGGGGGGTCCCCTGGGCGAGCCTGGACCAGCGGGGCTCATGGGGAAGCTGGAAGGGACCTGACCCTCTGGAGCCTAGGTGGGCGCAGAACCGGAGAGCCCAGCAGCACGCGGCTGCTGCCCTGTGGGGGCCCCCCTTCCTCCGTCCCCATCTGGCCAGCGGTTAAACGGTCGCCCCTCAGACTCGTCACTCGTCTCTGCTCTGCTCCACGACGCTGGGGCCGGGTCACCGCCAGCTGCGTCCTGCGGGGCCTGCCACTCCCTGTCAGGTCCTCCTGGGCTGACACAGAGGGGACCACAGAGCTGCCTGCATGTGTGCCCGCTCTGGCCAGGGCTGCTGGGCCCCCAGGCCCCCACCGGGGACCCTGGGCACCGGGCGCTGCGCCTTCCCGAGGGCCGCAGGTCTCCTCGAAGGACCTTGCGCCCACCCAGCTGGAAACACCGGTTCGAGCGCGTCCCCTTCCCAGGGACGCCTGGCCTGGGACCACAGCTCCTGGCCACAGTCTGGACAGAGGGGAACGAGAGAGGGCTGAGGGAGGCCGCCGGAGCGGAGCAGGCCTTCCGCAGGCAGGGAGCACCGTGCGGCCTGCAGGCCTTGGGGGTCTGGCCCGGGGGCGGTCCCCTCCGGGGCAGAGACCCGGGTGAGGGTGAGCACCAGGACACAGGGCAGCGGTGGCCTCATCGCCACGTGTATGAGCATCAGGACTTAAACATTCCGCGTGCCGAGTCGCCGAGACCGCGGAGCTTCTTGGGTAAACTGAAGCTCAGGTCCCGCAGGGAACAAAACCCCTTGCTCGAGCTCCGTGGTGCGGGTCCCGGAGAGGTGGGGTCCTAACAACCCTCCCCCACCTTGCCGCACAGCCCCTGGCGTGCACCTGCCCGCACACGCGCTCACACGCTCGCCCGCGGACACCGCACGTGGGGCTCCCGAGACGACGCCGGGGACCCCGTCCACCCGCAGTCCACAGCGGCGGCGCGCACGCCTGCAGGGCAGCTCGGGGGTGGCCCCAGCGCGGGGCCCGGGGGGGGCAGGGACGCCGACACCCGACAGCCTGCTGCACGCTCTCCCTCCCCTCCCCGGGGGCTCCCGCCTGGCAGGACCCAGGTCAGGCACCTCCCCCGCCCCGGCCTTCCTCGAGGGAGCCCCGCGGAGCCCCTCTCGTACAGCCCGGGCCCGCCCCCCCTTCCCCGAGTTCCCCGCCAGCCCTGCACCCGTGCGGTCCTGCATATCAGGACAGAAGCCCCCTCCTCGGGCGCTCCTTGCCAGAGCTGGCTGGACCCCACAAAGCAGGGCCCACCCTGGCTGTTTCCCGAGCCTCTGTCCTCAGGACGGGAACACCACGGGGAGCACCCTGGAGGCGCAGAGACTCCGGGGACTTGGGACAGGGGACCCAGCAGGCTGCGGGGACCAGGCGGCCGGCCCCTGCACCCGAAGGGAACAGGGAGACACAGCCAGCCCACGCGAGGCGCCCTGCTCGGCAGCCGCCTGGGAGCAGCCCCCAGCCCCTGGCCTCGGGGCTCCCCACATCGGCCCTCGCAGCCCTCCCCCCGCCGCCCCCCCCCCCCGCTTTGGAAAGCAGGATGAAAACTCGGCCCCTGCATTTTCTTCTCCCTGTGAACTCCTTCCCAGCCGGCCCCCTCGCTGACCGCTGCGGGGAAGGGCATGGGCGGGCACAGCACAGACACGGGGTTTCCCCGGGAACCGAGGTTCCCTGTGCCGGTCACAGCCCCATGCCCGTCCTGCCCAGTCACCTGGAAGCCCTGGGGGGGGGGGCGGCAGAGGGATTAGTCGCCTTGTCACTTCCTTGTCACCGCGTCCAGCCAGAGGCACTTGGTAGGCACACGGGCAGGAGCAAGTGCCCTGGGTGGGAGCCCCCCAGTGACAGTGTGCTCGCCACAGGGCTCTCGTGTAGCCCCGCGGACGGGGGCCCTCGGGTGAGTCGCAGTGATGACAGTCACAGTGTATGTGAGTCACCGAGACATCACCACTCCCCAGGCAGGAGGAGCGTCCTGCCGCCAGGGCCCCCGGGAGGCCGCCGGGGCCCACCACATGGGGTGGGTTTCTCGCAGAGGCCCTCTCTTCCCGGCAGCTGTCCCGGGTGCAGGCGCCCGGAAGCCAAGAGGACAGCGCGGGCCGAAGGGGGGCTCAGGCTCACTCCTGGCCGGGCGGTGGGGAGCAGGCGGTGGGGAGACACGCTGGCCCTGAGGTGTGGGGGCTTTATGTGGGGCGGGTGAGGGGCTGTGCTGGGTGAAGTCGTGCCCCTGAGATTCTGACGGGTCCGGGGAAGCCGGACTCTGCCCCAGAGTGCCCCCTAGGACGATCGGCCCCCCTTCCCACTGCGCCCCATCTGGCGGAGAGCCGCAGTTGCCACCGCAACCTGGGGACGCAGCTCGCAGGCACAGCAGCAGCAGGGCTGGAGGCTGTTCAGAGCGCGGAGTGGGGGGTGGGGGGGCGCTAAGCGAGACCGCGCATCTTGAGACCGAAAATGGGGAAAGCCGGTAACACGTGCAGAAGAGCCCGCTCGTCGTCCAGACAGCTCTCACAGCCGCACAGGGGCGCAGGCCCGGGGCGCAGTCCCCAGACACCCGCAGCAACCGCGGCCAGAGCGGCACCCGCATCTCCAGGCGCCCACGGCGATGCGCCATTTTAGCCACACGCGCGCGCTCACTACGGATGCCAGAGGGAAGGACCGGTGCACATGGGCCACCACACCCCGGAGTCGCTGAACGCCGCGTTCCCCGGCCGCGTTGGGGGGCGGAGGGGGGGTTAGGGTCACAGAGTCGGGAGCCGGGAGCAGGTGAACACCGCCAGTCGGGGCTGCAGGGGGAGAAGCAAGGCCAGGGGTGCGCCATGGCAGCGCCACTCACCCGGAGGAGCCGGGTGCCGGGCCTTGGTGGTCAGCGGAAGGCCAGCAGGAAGACCAGCACGACGTTGATGAGGACCAGGAGCGCCAGCACGGCGAAAACCACCACGCGCTGAGCGCCGGGCGGCAGGTTGCAGCGCAGCACCGCGCGCAGGGCACTCCCGGGGGCCGTGGGGCGATGCCGGGCCTGCGGGACCCTGGCCATTGCACGGGGCCTCCGCTCGGCGCCGGAGATCCCGCGGCGCAGGGACACTAGCGAGCGGGGCCAGGAGCGCTCGGAGGGGGCGGAGCCGCCGTGCGCCCTGCCGGCTTCTTCTGCGCAGCCGGCACGTGCGCGCCAGGGCTCCCAGCCCCGCACCGAGGCGAGGCGGGGCGGGCGGGTGATGGGGACTCCAGCGAGCGCAGGGCTCTGACCTGGGCGACTCCGTGGGAGGCTCAGGGAACCTGGAGGGCCTGGTGCACGGAGGGTGGCTCCCGGGTGCCATGGGGCCTGGCAGACACCCGTGTACCTGAGCCAAGGGGATGGGCCAGGGTGTCTGATTCCTGGACCAGGACTGCCAGCGGCCCAGACTCCGCAGAGGAGTCAATGCGGCTCTTGACAGGACGGGGCACTGGCCATCCAACCCCACGGCGGGGCAGGGCCGTGGGGCCCGGATTTGCACTCCGGGCGGACGGAGGCGCTCCGGGGCGGCTGCGACTCAGGACCCTCCTCACGGACCCTGCCCATCAGGGCGTCATTTTGTCCTTTCGGAGACGCAGCTGGCTTCTTCAGCTGCTGACCACCCTGCCCCCAGTTTTGTGGCGGTACAACTGACAAAAATTGTGCTTATTTCAGGCGTGCGACTTGATGTTCTGATACACACACAGGAGGTCAAACGACCACCGCACTGCAGCCAGTCACCACCCCCACCCCCGGAGCTCTGTGGCCCCAGTACATTTCAGGCTGACAGTGGTCACCGCGCTGTGACTGCATCCCCAGGGCTCATCCTCCCCACACAACTGCCACTTGGCACCCTGTGGCCGACCCCTCCCTGTTCCCTCCGTCCTCGGGGCCCCCCAGCAGACACCGGTCTGCTCTCTGCTTCTGAACTGGGCTGAGGCTCCACGCGGGAGAACACACAGGGTTTGTCTGATGTGCCTTGCGACTTTGCTGGGCAGTGTCCTCCTCCAGCTCCACCCCTCTGTTGTGACAAAGGGCAGGATTCCCTTTGTGTGGTTTTTTTTTTTTTTAAGGCTGAATAGTACTTCGCTGCACCTGTGTGCCCGGCCACCCACCGACACCCGTCCACCTGCGGGAGGACACGCGTGGTCCTGGGCCTCGCTCACTGTGCGGAGCGCCGCCGAGAGCACGGAGGGCCGCCGGCTCTCCGAATCCTGACTCCGTCCTTTGGGACGTGCACCCAGCAGGCCGATGGCCGCGTCACGTGGTAGATGGTTTCCCCTTCCGGAGGCACCTCCGCGCTGTCCTCCACAGTGGCCGCACCACAAAGACAGGCTCCGCCTGCCTGCCCAGCCCCCGACGGCCCCACACCCTCTGCGCCGCCGTGCTCTTGGGGCTGGGACGTTACCCAGCACACGTTACATACCCAGCATGCGAGTCACACGCATGCAGCACACACCTACTCACGCCACACCCACACCCTCCCCGTGCGCATGCGTGCGGGCACACACTTGCGCCTAGGTGCCCGCAGGGGCACCCCGCCGTGGTCCCCCGTGTCCCCTGCTCTCCAGGCCCCAGGGTTCGGGTTCCCTCCTGCTCAGGAGACTGAGAAGTGCTGTCCCCTGCGGTCACCACGGACAAGCGGTGGTCACAATCTAGAACACCACACTCACGTGTCCTTGAAAACAGCACAGGCGGATGGACACCTGGTTCCGCATCAAGCCCAGCACCACTGAGCCTGCGCCTCCCTCTGACCTCTGCCCTCTCTGTCATTTCCAGGGAAGAGTTCGCGCAGAGCCCCAGCAAGCCTTCCCACCGAGGTGGCAGGGAGAGCCCAGGGGCCAGGAGCGCACAGGGGTACGCTGATGCTCCCGGCCTGGTGGTCGGCCAGTGCAGAGCCACCTTCTCCGCCTCCTGGGGTTTCTGATACAGTGAGTCTCTGCCGCGCTGCCCGCCAGTCGTAGCCGGGGCTGCCTGTCCCAAGTACCCCCAACGCCCAGGCACAGCGAGCCTCCCGCGGCCCCGGCAGCCGGGCTTAGGGACCGCACCCACCCACCCCGAGGAAACAGAGGCCCAGAGGAGGGAAGGACTCCCTCCCCGCCGGTCCTCCACTGGCCAGGGCCGGGCAGGAGTCTGACCCAAGGAGGTCGGCCCTCACTCAGCCCCAGGCCCTGCCTTCACTCCAGCCCGCCCCTCTCAGGGCACATTTCTGGGGCTTATTCTGGGGGGCACGCTGTGGGTCCAAGGCAGACAAGGACCCTGGGAAGCCCTGGGTGCTCTGAACATGAGACAACAACCCCACCCTGTCTGCTCGGTGACCTCCAGCACCAAGACGGACCTTTGAACCAAACGGGACACAGACTCTCCATACGATGCACAGTCTGAAGGACCCGCATTTCCCGGGGCCAGGTGTCTGCAGAGCCGTCCTGGCTCCTGGCTTTCCCTGTGCAAAGCCTCTCAGCAGGCCAAGGCAGGCCGTGAAAGGCAGTTTCCATAGCAACAGCAGTAACTTTGAGCTCTCCGCGCAGGAAAGCAATCAGCGTTCCCCGCGCCTCATCCCGGTCCTGCCCACTGACTTCTAGGAGGGTCAGGGGCCCCCTCCTTCCAAACTGAGCTTCTGGCAGCCGGGATGGCTTTCCAGGCACCACTCGTCCGGACAGACCAGCACTCTTACACCTGCGGTCCTGGACGGCCTGCCTGCTACTCCAGGTCGGTCCCCTGCAGGCCCAGAGAGCACGGGGGGAGCCCTGTCCGTGGGCAAGCTCTGAGGGTGGACTCCCTTTCCTGAAGGGAGCGCCCGGGGCCAAAACTGCGCCCTGTGCTTGCGGCACAGAGACTGCAGACGCGCAGGCCGGCGGAGCGAGCCGGAGCCAGCCGGACAGCGGGCCGTCCCACCCAGCCCCGCCCTTCACCCCCAGCCCCGCCCTACCTCGTTGATGGCCAGCTGCTCTCCGCCGCCGCCGGGGTGGCTGTAGTGGTGGCCGGAGCTGTGCACGTCCTCGTAAAGGTCCTCCTCACTCCCGGTCTTGTCGGCATGGATGGCCACGTCCAGGGCTCCATCGGGGATGGCTGGAAGGGCAGAGACCAGTTGGCAAGGAGGAGCTGGCGGCGGGGTGGAGGAGGGTCACGCGCAAGAAGACACAAAACTTTTCAGGACAAACGCTCCTTCCTTGAGAGCAGGGAGAAGGCCTGACGCCAGTTTCTCAAACCCCCGTTGCTCCAAACACGCGGTCTGGCCGAGAGTGCACCAGCCAGCGTTCACACCACGGTGACCACGCATCGCTGGGTCCCCACCGACCGCGTGAGCGCGGGACCACAGGTATCTGCTGCGGCCCGCACTCTGCGTCCCCGCCACTGGGTCCAGTCCAAAACCACTGGCCAATGTGCCACGTGGAGTATAAGGCTCTTCAGAAACAGGCTCGGAGTTTATGACGAAATGAAAAAAAAAAATAGCATGAGATATATGTGTGTAGTATAGCCGCACAAGTACACATTATATACGTGCAACTGCAGTTTGGAAAGTAATAAAATAAACACGCACGGCACTGCTCATCCTGCATAAGACAAACACCATAATCGTGGAATTCAGCCTCCGGCATGTCCTGCCCCAATCCTATTCCCTCCTGTCTCCCTGGGAGAAATGTCGAATATTCCCAACTTCGTATAAGTCACACGCTTGTCTTCGTTTCAGCGTTCACCTCCCTTGAGCTTTGCCTGGCTTGACTTCGTGCAAATGCAGTCACTCGCTGGTTCTCTTCGCTGACCGGCTTTTGTGCCTCTCCTGCTCCTGCAGCTTTGGTTGACTCACTCTCTCCGATGCGCCGTCTTGGCTTTTGTGACTAGTTCGGACTCTACATTCTGTTTCCCGCATCGTGGCTGCCGCCGCCGTGAAACAGCCGGAGCACCAGGGAGTCCCGCCCACATCGCCCACGCTGGCGGCAGGGGCGGGTCCTCACGCTGAGCGCGCGAACAGCTGGCAAGATCATCGGGTGGAAGAAAGGCGCCCCCTCCCTCCTGTGCCGGGTCGGGGGCGGGGCCGGGGAAGGCCGCACATGCGCCGTAGAAGTCAGAACGGTGCAGGCGGAGGTGCTGGACCAGAGAGGTCTGTCCGTCCAGCCTGGGGAGGGAGGGATTGGCTGGGAGGTGGACCCCACTGAGGTGTGCAGAGTTTGGGAAGTTGACTGGTCCTTTTGAGAAAGCACCTGGTCCGTCCCAGGCCCAAGCTAATGTCATCCCAGGAGAAAAAGAGAGGGTCACTGGTATGCCACACTGTTCCCCAAAGCTATTCTAGCTATTAATTTTTTAAAGACTTTATTTTTAGAGAGAGGGGAAGGGAGGGAGAGAAACATCCATGTGTGGTTGCCTCTCGAGCGCCCCCAGCGGTGGACCTGGCCCGCAACCCACGCATGGGCCCTGACTGGGAATCGAACCGGCGGCCCTCTTGGTTCGCAGGCCGGTGCTCAATCCACTGAACCAAGCCATCCAGGGCCACCCTAGCAATTTAGGATTCAGTATGTATGAATGCTCCCACTGCGAACATCAGCAATCGGAAACCTCGTTCAAACGGACGTTGAGAGGCTAGAAGAGAGAACGCTCAACGCGCGCTACTGACCCCTGCGCGAAGAGAGGCGCCTGGCACCTCGGACAGGAAGTGATGCGACCTCGTCTCAGCAGGAGAGACAGGAAGTCCTCCTGGCCCAGTAACGCGCAGCCTCAGGGAGGCGCCGTCACTCGGCCAACGGGGAGTCACGAACCTTCAAACTTCCAGCTTCCTCCAACGGACTCTCTGTCACCACGGCCCCTCCCAAGTCCGGGAGAGAGGCTCCTCTCCTTTCTGCGCACTTACCTGCGCTTTGCTGTTAGACCACGTGTCCCAGTGGCCGTTTTTATTTATTTTTTAATTAAATTCATTGGCGTGACATTGGATAATAAACTATACCAAATTGCAGTTTTAATTTTTTATTTCATTTGTTTGTTTCTGGTTCCAGAGAGAGAGAAAGGGAGGGAAGGGAACAGAAAGAAAGAGAGAAACACTGAGGTGAGAAAAACATCAATCAGGTGTCTCTTGTACGCACCCAGACTGGGGGCCAAACCTGCAACCTAGGCATGTGTCCTGACCGGGAATCAAACCCACAGCCTTTCGGTGTAGGGGAGGACAATCCAGCCAACTGAGCCACACCAGCCAGTGTCAAATTGCAGAAAGAGAAAGAAAGAAAAAGAAGAAAGAAAAGAAAGGAAGGAAAGGAAGGAAGAAAGAAAAGGAAAAAAAAGAGAAAAGAAAGCTACCACAGCTGTGTGTACATCAAGGTAGACATCAAGGCAAACGAATTATTAGAGATAAAGAGAAACATTTAATAATGATGAAAAGTTAATATTGGATGAAGTTATAATGAAATCTAAATTTGTACACTCCTGATGACAGAGCCTTTTTCTATGTAAAGCCAACAGAAAAATCAAAAGTCCTAGTGGAAGATTTTGGCTACTTTTCCCAGCAACTGATAGAACAAGCAGAAACATAAATACAGCAAGAAGATTGGACTTAAATACTATATCCTGTGTTCAACAAGGACAGCATACATATTGATTTCAAGTATATATGAAATACTACTATGAAAATAAACCCAGTTTTAGCCCTGGCTGGCATAGCTCAGTGGATTGAGCATGGGCTGCGAACCAAAGTGTCGCAGGTTCGATTCCCAGTCGGGGCACATGCCTGGGTTGCAGGCCATAACACCCAGCAACCGCACATTGATGTTTCTCTCTCTCTATCTCCCTCCCTTCCCTCTCTAAAAATAAATAAATAAAATATTTAAAAAAAAAGAAAATAAACCCAGTTTTGACAAATTTAAAAGGGTGGGAATCATGCAGGGATTTTTTTTTTTTGGTCATAATGCAAATAAGTCAGAAATTAATGACAAAAAGCTAGCTAGAAAATCCATATAGTTATAAATTAATAATATACTTGTAAATAACCCATAGGCCACAGCAAAAAAAAACATATTTCAGTAGGAATTAGAAAGTGTTTTGAACGGAACAATTATTACGACACCATAAAAATCTCTGGAATGCGACTCACTCTGCTCAGCCTGCACTGGGAAAGGGAAGGAGCAGCCTTGTCTTTACTCTAAGCCTACTCACGACTGACACTTCGTTTGGGGAGAGAATTCTTAGCCCCTTGGAGTCCTCCTTCCCCTGGTTCTCACTGGTGCTGCTCACGAGCAGGCTTCCGACCCGACCCGGGGTCACTCCGTGGTGGGCAGCCCGGCTTCTCTCTCTCGCTCTCTCTCTCTCTCTCTCTCAGGTTGTTTTCCGTGTCTCCTCCTTGCCTTCGGCGTCCTGCAGCCTCACGGAGAGGGGGGCGCGTCATGTTCGCCGGGGTACCGATTCCCCCTTTCGCTCGTTCCCCCTCGTTTCTGAAATGCCCCGAGATCTCCCTAGAGACTGATTGTTAGGTGATTTCCCAATTCAATCAGTATTTAATTTTTTTTAACCGACTCATTTACATTCTCAGACTGAATGAGCTGATGTAAATGTCACCCTCTGTCCCTCCATGTCAGGTTCTAATTCTCAGGGAGAGTTTTAATTTTCTTATCCAGAACCCAAACAGGAGTCAAGTAGAATAAAAAAAAATGCATCTTCCACTGACAGTCCAGCTCTTAGCAGGTCCCGGTTTTGCGTGAGGGCTTTGGTTCCCTCTCCCAGCCTTGCGGAGGGACAAGACACCATGTTCCCTTCGAGATAAGAACAGCTCCAGCGGCTGTGTTCTCGGCAAAGCGCCCCTCTGTCCCCCCTCAGCTACGGTGTCGGCTGGCGTGACCACAGCTCTGGCCCTCCCAGCCTCCCAGTACCCACACCTGGGAGCTCTCATCCATTCCGAGGAGTCCAGACAAGCGATCAGGTAACGCCTGCTGTGCCCTGGGCACCACGCGGCGAGGTTTCTGGCAGACGAGTGTCTCAAGTCCATCGTCTTGCAGAGCCAAGAGCTGTCATTCTCCCTTTACCAGCACAGAGCAGGCCAGCTGAACGGCAGCTCCGACGGCTGCCAGCTCACCAGGGGGCTAACGAGAAATTAAATCTGCGTTTAACAGGGAAAAATCACGACGCCTTGCCGTGTAAAATGTCAGATGGGTGAACTTCTTCCTTTTTTTTTTTTCCACCAACGACTAAGATACCATTCTACCTGCAAATGTTTCACACGTCTCTTCCTGCTGTTGCTAACACACACTCACTCTCCGCACCCAGACACAGGGAAACAGAACTGGGCTGGGCAGAGCGGAGGCTAAATCTGGGGCGGAGTCGACTTTCATCAGGGGAAGAAGACGATGAAACCAGCTGCTCGAACACCGAGCCAGCCCCGATGGAGAGGCCGTCCCTTGCACGGGCTCACCTCCTGCGCCTCGGCCCCTCGAGGCCACAGCTGCTGGGACGGCGGCCCCAGTTTCACGTTGCACCCACTGGCCGTGGTCCTTTGAGGAAGCAGGGAAAAAGATGAAATACTCACTAAGCCTCCACTGTGGGCCAAAGACTGTGCCAGAAACTCTCCATTCAACATGTCAACCAATGAGGCACCATCCGTCCTATCTCGGAGACGAGGAAATTCAGGCTCCGGAGCGACAGCCTGCCCAAGGCGGAGCAGCTCGCGGGCTGAGCCAGGGTCTGATCTCGGGCGGGTCTGACCACCGGGCCCCGGCCCCAGACCCAACCAGGAGCGTCTCAAGGCGGGGTCAGTGCCCCTCCCGTCCCTGGCCCCGGGGCCGCCGGGGCACCCTGTGGCCACAGCTGAGACCCGCAGAGAGCACAGAAACGCCAGCGTCCACTGGCTGCTCGGGGGAGACGGGTGACTCCCTGCCGCTCTGTCAGGGCCCAGGAGGGGCTCCTGCCCACGTCACCGCCCCCCATCCGGGCAGACAACCCGGGACAGGGCCACACGGGGAAGGAAGAAGAAATGCCAGCTGCAAAGCCTGCTGAGTTGCCAAAAGCAGAGGAAGGGGGACCAGCCGGACCCAGGGAGGCACCGGGAGTGCCGGCGCTTGCAAACAATGACAACACGTCTACTGACGATTACTCTC